GACATGATAAGGTGCTCTATCAAATGCAAGATTATTATTATTAAAAGACAAGGACCAATCTGAGCTGGTGTGCAAGGATATGCTCTGAACCAAAGGTACGTGCATGGGACTATATTGCATCCCACTAAGCCTTTCAGTTACATTTACGTACACTGCAAATTGAGCATGTCGTGCAAATATAGTGCCTGAAATAATAAGCTCTGAAATCAGTGTAAACCTCTTTGTGTCAGAGGGAAGTACTTGTTTTAGTGCCTCTCAAAGTCTAAAATCACTGGAATATTCAAACTTTAGTTGGGAGCTTGTTCACTTTGTTTAAACACTGCATCCTATGGTAATCTTGAATTGCTGTAGAAGCAGTAACGGTTTGTATGTGCTTCCCAGAGGAACAAATGTTAAAATAATATTTTTTTCCTTCTTGAACACTGTCATGTAAAGAGTCTGGGAAGCAATCTAATGTGCAGGATTCTTGCAGTTACTCACACCGGTAATGAATAAACGATATCCCCTCAGAGGCCTGAAATTCCATGTAATAAGCCTTTAAGCTCATTTTGTCTTAAAATTTAAGATGACACAGAATTGTGGAAAATTCTTAAATTCAGAATTAATTTGGAGGCCAGTTTCTTTAAAAGAAATGGGATACAACCTAAGATTGATTTTAAGAATCCATGTGGAGTTTTATGATGGGATAAAAACATATCACTGCTTTTCAAAACATCAGAGAAGTAATCCTGAATGGTAAAGAGAGCTGCACTGCCTGTCCACTCTTAGTGAGAACTGCTCCAAGTCATTTTTAAATTGGATCCTGTGGTTGAAGTAATGTGTTAGGGCTCCCCCTCATGGATTAGTTCCATAAATACATGTGTGGAATTGAGACAAACTAACCAGTGGAGGTCGGAGGTAGGATTGCTTGCTGATCTCAATTACAATTGACTTCAGTGCCATGGAAGGATAAAAATTTGCGAAGAATCATGGTTCTGGTCGCTATTTAGTGACGCCCTGCTGGAAACCGCAAGTCTTCAGATACTAGGACATCATCGGGCGTGATTCTGGTGGCCTTCACAGTTATAAAGCTTCCTGATACAAGAAGAATGACAATTTCTAATAGGGAATAATAATAGTTGAGATGACAGTGAGCAAGATGACATACGTTTAGAGTTGTAAAGGGGAATTTCAAGACAAATACCAGAAAGTATTTCTTTACTCAGAGGGTAATCATTGACTGGAACAGTTTGCCAGGAAAGGTGATAGAGGTGAGGACATTCATTAAAAATGAGTTTGTTGCAGTGATGGAATGATGGGTGTGCTAGAGGGATGAGATCGGTGGGCTGAAAGACTTTCTTCATCCAGGCCAATCTTGTGATTGTTGTCTAGGACACTGGGAGAAACTCCCTTGTGTTTTTGAATAGTGTTATGGAAACATTCTTTAACGTTCACCTGAACGGGCAGATGGTGCCTTGGTTTAATGTCTCATCCAAAGGAGGGAATTTCTTGGGATTGCATGGAACCCCCAGCACTATATTAGAGTGTCAATTCAGATTATATGAACCCAAAGTCTTGACAAGAGTTTGAACCTACAACCATCTGCCTTAGAGGTGAGAGTGTCACCCACCTAGCCAGGCTGACACCCAACATGAATTATGTGAATTCAAGTTTTGTGTTCACAGTAGAAGTAGAGCCATAAGGAAAGGAAGCAGGAGAAACATTGAAAAATTGCTTGTTTTCAACAAATTTCAATACAGTTATTAAAGATCAAGAATAAAAAAGGTATCTTTTCATGTAGATGGAAAGGTTTTGCACATGCTTTATTAAAATAAAGTAGAGAAAATTGTCTCAAGTCATGCATTGGAGGCCGGGTGCATGGTGATTTAGCAGAGTTCCTGCTGTATATTTATTGAATTGAACAACAAAGTTTATGGTATATTGTTGAGTATGTTTACCACTGGTCTTTATTTACTCTTTTATTTCTTACTTACAGCTGTAAACAATAAAGCTAATTGAAATAGGAACTTAGTTGGCCTACAACCAGAGGAGTGCATAACTTTATAAAGGAAATCTCTTCCAGATATCCCGAGCATATCATTGTTGAAGAGGTTAAATGCTAAACAAAACAAGCATGATGGTTTAGGAAATGCATCTTTACAGCAAGAGTATTTTACACACATAGTTTTATGAAATGATTATGGTAGGAGATGTCTGGAAAGGAACATGAAGAAACAGGGCCTTATTTTAACTTTAATTTTTTTTAGTATGTTTTATTTTCCCAGCTCTTTTTGCCTGTGCTTATCTCATTCTCACCCTCTGCTCACGCCCTACTTAATCACTTAACCAGCCTGGATGTGTGCAGTGCGAGAGTGCTACTGAGTAAGGAACCCCCAATGTTTTCTACCCCGTGAGGAGTACTTGATCTCCAGCACAATGGGGTTGGAAAAGCTTTCTTTTTAAAAGCGGTTGTGCCAGAAAAATTGTGCAACTAAAACTAAGTACTTGGCAGGGAATCCTGTGTGCGTCACGCCAACTTGCAAAACCTAGGAGATCTTGGGATCAGAGCTGAGGTCTCCCAAGTTTGCGTGATAGACATGGGATTTCCTGCAGAAAACACAGTTTATAAAGCAAAAGGGTTTTTTTCCAGTACCAGTAACACAGATCTTTCCCCGGAAGTATTTTTCGACCACGGTAAGTCATTGTGTGAGGAACCCCACTCTGTGCAACTGCTTCAGGATGACTTATTTGGATATTTTGTTGGCAAGTATAAATGTCAAGACACAGCCTCAAAGGACATTTTCACAAACCATTAGTTCGGCATTCCCGAAAAGTACTACAGATAATGAATTGCATGGAGTTTCTCGTGGTAGCAGCAGGTGCTCCCCTGGTTTCCATTAATTTCCAGTTGTAAACCAGTTGTAATTACAGTATTTTCACAATGCAATATCTGCTAATTCTTGGCATTGATATTTCTTTCCTTAAATTTAGTTTATAGCTCAATGAATAGCCTTGAGTTTATTTTATGGCAACCACAGATGTTTTGTATTACCATCAACTGAAACGTGCAGCCATCCCATCTCTGAGAACTCACAGCGAGCACATTATTTATCCTCCTAATAAATAGGGTGGGAACACATGCATTTTTTGGTTTTTTTAAAAAATCAGTGTAACAGCAAGCTATTTTGCTAATATTGTATTCAGAAAAGAATAACAGCACCTGCTACATTGCTTCAACCCTATTTTGAATGTGAGGATATAAAGTTAAGTAAATTTGGACCAATGTTTAACCCAGCTTTTAGTGTGCATGAATTCAATGCACAAAACTGCCCTGAATTCGCAGACAATTGCTAACTGGCATCAAATAGTTAATCTGAATAGATAGCTTGCACTAAATCTCGCAATATATGTAGTAGAAGATTCTTTTTGGAATCTATAATTAAATCCATATTGTGAAGATGAGATAGAAGGAGCTTTACTCTGTATTGCTCCCCAATCCCGGAATGATAAAGGAAGGACAATTAAGAGGATGCACTGAAAAAGTGATAGAAAGGATGGCAGATGGATCCTCTTGTGCATTTTGTCAGTGGGGCTAACTCCACTGGCTCCCCTTCCCACAGCTGAGCGAGTTCTAACTTTTAAAACCCTCCATGGTCTTGCCCAGAGCCAGTCGAGCGGAAGCAGTGGGTTGTGGTTTGGGGTAAGCAGGTCAGAGAAGTAAGGAGGTGCCACGGCACGAAGTGATTTGAAAATGAGTGTGAGGATCTTAAACTTGATCTGTTTGGTGATAGTGAGCCAGTGGAACCTGGCTAGAACTGGTGGTACGGAGTTTAGTGCGGGTGAGTATGTGGGCGGCGAAGTTTTGGATCAGCTGGATCCTGTGCATGGTGGAGCTGGGGCGACCGGCAAAGAGAGCATTTGAAGTTGATTCGGGAGGTCACGGACACTTTGACGAGTGTTTCGGCTGCTTCTGGGGTAAAGTACAGTCAGAGGCGGACAATATGGGAGAGGTGGAGGAAGGTGGTCGTGGTCAATGACTGGATATGGGGAAGGAAGGACAGCTGTAGGACTAACCGTTAAGCTGTCTCCACTTTCTAGATCTCCATCGAGCTTTTATCACAGTTTTATGCTTTTTAATTGCCAAAAAATGGTCCAAAAGCAAAACTCCGACCACATCTGTGACTTCCCGCTTGCAAAATAAAACTTGTCAAATATGTTTCTGGGAGCTTTTTGTTATTTATTAGTAGTCATACAAAAAAAACTTAAATTGATATTTATATCAGAAGAACATTATTCAGTTTATCTTTGGATTTTTCATTTAAAAAAAATCTGAATAGTCACCGCAAGATGTCCTCGTTACCCCCCGTTTTTTGATCCAAGACTTTCAGAGAAACTGATTTTCAGAGAAACTGATTGTCAGAGAAATTCATCTCCATGACTTTCAGAGATATTGGTGCCACCTACTGGTGGCTGTTAATACTACCTGAGTTTGGTACTGAGACACATTGTTGATAAAAAGCTTTACACTCTATTGAACTCTTATGATGTCCTTTGGCAGATGCTGAAACTGACTGAGCCCTTGGAAAAGGAAAAGGTTAACTTCCAGAACTAAATTCTCTCAATGAGTTGAGCAAAGACCTTTTTTTAAAAAATAAATCAAGCAGGGAAAGATGATCATTATCACTCCTCAGTTAAAACTAAAGACATGGGGCAGGTATTCTACCTGTGGTGCAGTTAATATAATATCTGAATAAATTGAGCAATGCAATGTGTTGTACTGTTGAGTTTGTGGCATGGGATTAAGCACTCTTGTTGGGATCAGATCTGCGTTTGTTCAGATACAACAACAAATTACATTTGTATAGCGCTTTCACGTCAGGAGGACGTTCCAAAATTATTCCCTTCCACTACAGCAGGAAAATTGGATCTTAAACCTAAACATGGATAGCAAAGACCTATCATCATTACCATGTCACACGTTTGCCACTGTTGAACTGATACATCCATGTTATTGTTAACAGGGTCAGCCAGGACCACCGGGGACTCAGGGGAATCAGGGCCCAGATGGGCCGTCTGGACGTTATGGTGTGACTGGACCAAAGGGCGAAAAAGGTGAAAGAGGCCTAAGTGGAAATCGTGGATTTAAAGGAGACAAGGTATGAACCATATACTCATTTGGAATTGATGAGCTGTTCAAACAGGAGAAACCCAGCATCCAGACTGGCTGAACTACTTCTGTGAACAATGGTGGTGTCACTACAGTCAACAACACCGAAGTATGTTTTCACTCATTCCCATTTATCTGTGGTATTTGTGTTATGAAATTGCTTATACATCCTTTTTGTGGCATTGGCAGCCAAGAGTTCAATCCAACTGCCACCACAGCACGTCCCATGCAGTGTTGTGGTCACAGGTTCAATGCTAGAATCAATGCCAAGAATCTGTGTGGCAAAATAAATGCAGCAATGAACTATGACTCACAAAGTCATGATGTGAATATCACAAGCCATTTGCAAGAAAAACAAATGAATTCTGAGGAGAACATTGTAAGCTGTTTCAAAAGCTTTATGACTGCAGACTACTTGAGGTTGTTGGGCTGTGAACAGAGATGTGTAGGAACCAAATTAGAAAAACAAATTTACTACAATGCACAAGTTTGATAATTGACTCGTTCCACATCTAAGTAAAAATCACCATTATTGTGAGCTGAGATCACTGTCCGATAATGGGCTCTCTCCACCACTCACTTTACCTTACTCACACCTTACTACCTGCATGTTATTCTTGGATTTGTGCAGCAGAAGAATCAAATACGTCACCTATGGTTTAGCACCCACAGTGCCCTTTGGGTGAAACCAATTTAACAAAGAGTGTGTATATGGAGGAGGGGGCTGTCCTCCCTGTATGGAACATAGGAAAACAGGAGTAGAGGAAATCTTTCCACCCATTGAGTCTGCTTCATATTTTTAAAAATATTGGCAAATCTTTTAATCCCTTTTGCCCTCTCACACTTAGAGGGACGTTTACCAAGGGATGGGTCATCCAAAATCTAACCTATCAAAAACTTTTATTATTTAAATACCTCAATCAAATCACACTTTAACCTCCTCTGCTCTAAGGAATATAACCCATCTACTCAGCCTCTCACCTTAGCTAACTCCTTTCAGCCCAGGGAATTAGAGCAGTGAGCTGTCATTGGAGACCCTCCAAGGCTACTATATCCTCCCTAACATTGGGCGCAGTAAACTGAACATCGTGCTCCAAATGAGGTCTGGCCAGCATTCTATATAACTGGACAAACATCTCATTTATATTCCATCTTATTTGCGTTATTAATGTTTTTCTGCACCAGTGAATTGGATTTCAATGATCTAAATCGCTACAGCAGTTATCAATTGGGATAGATCCAGAAACAGTGTTTCCTATTGTGATAATATCACATACCTCACTTTTCACCTTGTTGTATGAAATGTTTTGACATATTTCAACATGGATAAAATTCAATATCAATTATATTACCTATGTGATGGACCATCTGCTTTCAGTTTATTTTTCACAAAACATCTATAAGGAGTAAAAATGCCTTTTGGATGCTCATGACGGGAATGTGGAGTCCTGTAGCTTAAATGGTTAGAGCACTCACTTGCCTCCACTACCCTTTGAGTGAAAAACTGCCTCCTGATTTCACTCCTAAATGGCCTAGCTATGACTATGCCATTTTGCCACCTTGTCCTGGATTCTCCTATCAGAGAAGATAGTTTATCTGTATCTACCCTATCGAATCCCTTTATTATTTTAAAAACCCTTGATTATTTTAAAAATGATATGGAACTCAATAGTTTACACTTATCTAGGCTTTGGCACTTTAATATTCGGCATTGTCTAGTAACATTGTTTAATCATATCCTCTCAATCACTATTGCCTGTGATACAGATGTTCACAGCAGCAACACCAAGGTTTATTTTGATCATAAGAAAGGGCCAAAAAATACTTCTCTAACCCCAGGCTGCTCCCATGAATTATAAAATCAGGTCAGATTATGAAATTCTCTGAATGCTGCAGATATGATTAGTCAAGATTCTGGGTAAATATCGCTTTTGATCTAGAAACATATCAACAGTAGGATCATAGAATTAATCATGTTAATGTTAGATTTAACTGAGACACGTAGTTAAAGATCAGGTAAATTGTGAAGTAGTAGAATTATTACCAAGTTTGGCTTTAAGAACCGTTTATATTGTAGGAAGAGTTAAGACTGATAGTAGGGGTAGAAAGGAGACTGTGCTATGGTGTTCTGAGTTTAACATATTGAAGATGCAAGAGTGAGAGGAGCAAGTATATTTGAGTGCACATAATATATTTTGAGATGGGGAGAAACAAGAGAGAAAAGCTCAGAGGAGGAATGAATATAGTAGCATTGACAAATAGAGAAAGACGAGAAAAGTTGCAATAGAGCTTTGAGCCTAGTGGCAAGAGAAATTTGAAAAGTGGAAAGGTTGTGATGCTCGCCAACATCTGTACCTAATGTATCCCTGTTTGTTTTATATAGGGGCCAATAGGTGTTCCAGGATTCTCAGGCAATGATGGCATACCAGTAAGTATACCTCCATGGTTAAACCTGCAGTTTCTTTTCATATAATCAGTTTCTGGCACTGTGCATTCACTCGTGCAAGCTATCCGTTTTATTCAAAGTCTTTGTGGAAAGCCGAGGACAGCAAAGTGACTCCCAGGAGGATCATCACCAGTCATATAAACAGATCTATTTTCACACGAGTCAAATTTAATAATAGTTTTAAATTCAACAACAGCAACAAGATTACATTTGTATAACACCTTTCAAATGTAATCTTGTTGTTGTTGGATTTAAAACTATTATTAAATTTGACTTGTGTGAAAATAGATCTGTTTAATTCCTGTCATTTGAAGAACTCAAAAAGTACATTATACACAAAGAAGATCATAAATTTTGATGCAAAACTAGATAAATATCAGCTACAAACTTTTGTTAAATATGTCTTGGTGTACAGATAATTTCATTGTAATAAGAGTTGTTGAGTCAAGAAGATTTTATATGAATTGCAGGTTGTGCCCAGACAACACAAAATCCAATCTTGTAGCCACAATAAAGATCTGGAACCACGGGCCAGCCATGCAATGCAGTTGTCTTGGTCCAATGTCTCAGAGGCCATCCTATAATGAAGCACAAAAAAATTGGCCAATGTCTAGATTGTGAGATTGCTGCTGAAAACACTTTTTGCACAGTTCATATGCACTAACCATAAGAAACACCATTGATGGTGCTTCATGCACATAGTACACATCACATAGGAAGTGCTGTTAATGACGCTTCTTGCACATGTAGGAATTGACTTCATTGGTTACCTGATGACCCAGAGATCAACAGGTTTTAGCACAGGGAGCTGGTTTATCAGAGCCAGAAGCTGGGCATACCACAAATCTAATAAAGTGTGAGTGTACAGCAGGCCTAAGCAAGCCCATGCGCAACCAAGATGTATTCTAAACACAAAATGTTGGGCAAGTTTCCTTACTCCATGCGCCTCTGTTTACCTGCAGTAAGTAGGAACCCAGTTGTTAGTTGATTGGTGTATCGCTTTTCCGGGATAATAATCCCTCAAAAACATAATAATTTGGTCACTCAATCCACAACTGTTTGTGGGACACTGCTGTGCGCAATTGGCTGCCACGTTTCGCCCACAAGTATACAGTCAATTCGCTTTACAGTATATTCTGCGAAGTGCTTTGAGACGTCTAGAAGATGTAAAAAGCATTATATCAAATGCAAAGATTATTATTTATTATAACTGCCTTTAATTTGTTTCAAATTAATCTCATGAGATGACTACAGTAAATTATGTGAAAATAAAAGCAAATAATCCATCAGAAATTGTGGCTGAGGTACATTTTTGGAGCAAGTTACTCTCTAAATTACTCGAATATTTGATCTGGAAGTGCTTCTCACTGAGGCCTGGAATTCCCCCACCTTGTCTTCATCTGTAAAACTATTTAGTCTTAAAATTTAAGTTTGAGCAAAATTGTGAACTTTTGGAAGCTTGACCTTTTTAAGGACATGCAAAACATTCCTTGAAACTTAAGGTCAAATTTAAGAATTTTCCATAAATCTGTGCAATCTGAGAACAAACTGGTTTTATAGGTTGTGTGGAATTTTGGTCCTCTGGTGGCTAAATGGAAAAATTTTCTATTTCCTGGTATTAATATTGCATGAGTCAATGTGAATGTAAAGTAGTTTTTTTTAATTATTATTGTGACATAAGTGCCATGGTTTAAGAGAATGGTGTGATCTTAGAGAAGTGAAGAAATGTAACCAAATATTGTTGCTTTTTCCAAGGGTCATCCAGGGCAACGTGGCCCAAGAGGTCCATCTGGACATGACGGCTGCAATGGAACGAAAGGAGATCCTGGTCTGATGGGACAACCTGGATTTACCGGACTGCCTGGCTTTGATGTAAGTACATTTCACTTAAGATACATAATATATTGTGGGGCAAACTGACCTCAACTAATGTTATTGCAGTTAGTAAAACAATTACAGGACACTATTATCTTTTACATTTTAATTTTTTTGATAGTTGATAGTTAAAACACAGAACAATTGAACAATTAAGAACAATTAGCCAAACAAAACACGGTGGGGTTGAAAAAGCAATACTGTACCTCAGTGTAAATGATGGAAATGATCCAACGTGCTTTGGAACATTAACTGTTTCTCATGCAGGGAAGCATTCCATTTCCATCTTACCAACCTGTGAAAACACAGTCTGAGGAGATGTTAGGTCGGTGCCACAGGAGTCAGAATTTGACCTGTATTGGGTGCCCTGGATAAGATGTACATTTTCTGGGGCTCATGCCATTTACACTGGTTCAAGTGCTTTGTTTCAACCCAATTGATTTTTTAAAAATGCTCAAGGAATCGGAGACTGGCAGTAGGATAAAGCCAGTAATCAGAAGCACTGGAGACTATCATATGCTGATGGCTAAAAATAATGCAAAACCTCAATAAAAATCTCAATATTTGTGGAGTCCTATAGCTTAGTGGTTAGAGCGCTCACCTCGGAAACGGAAGGACCTGGGGGTTCAATTCCCGGACAGGGTGAAACCTTAGGCAATTTTCCTTACTCCACGAGCATCTGTTTACCCAGCAGCAAATAGGAACCCGATTTGTTAGTCGATTGGCAGATTGCTGTTCCGGGCGTAATAATCCCTTCAAAAAAAAAGTAATAATAATAATTTAGGAACTCAATCCATGATTGATTGTGGGTCACTGCTGTGTGCAATTTGCTGCCACATTTCGCCCACAAAATATGGAGTCAATTCACTTTACAGTATATTTTGTGAAGCACTTTGAGATGTCTCGAAGATGTGATCAGGCACTATATCAAATGCAAGGATTATTATTGCTGTTATTATTATTACCATTTTATAATTTATAAATGAACCCACTTTGATCCTGGACTCCAATATCCATTTTTAGTTGATGAAATCTGCTGTTCTGAAATCTTGCAAGTTTACCCCCTTTGCATCTTGTTTGATGTCTTGTTTGACCCTCAACTATCCTTTCTAGCCCACATCCGTGCCATGACCCGCTCTGCCTTCCCTCACCTCTGCAACATTGCCCAGCTCTGCCACTTTCTCACACTGCAAGTCGCTGAAACCCTCATACACACGTTCATAACATCCAGGCTTGATGTTATGCAAATATGCAAACTCCCTGCTTGTCAGCCTCCCCAACTCCTTATCTTCCATAGGCGACAGATTATTCAGAACTCCATGAGCCTATCAACCCCATTCTCATCTGACTCCACTGGCTTCCCATCACACAAAGGATACAGTTCAAGATCCTGTTCCTCACCTTCAAAGCCATCCATGGCCATGCTCTCCCCTACCTCTGCAACTCCTAAGCCCCTTCCCACTCCCTCCACTCAGCGGGCTCCATCCTGCTTCATGTCCCCCGCCTCGCCCGCCTCACCATTGGCGGGTGGGTCTTCAGCCACTGTGCCCCACCCTCTGGAACCCCACTCCGCAGTCCCTCCACCTCGCCCCCTCCCTTGCCTCCTTCAAGACCCATCTCAAGACCCTCCTCTTCGACCATGCCTCTGATCATCCACCTTTCCCCCTGTCCTCCACCCTCTCTGATCCCGACCCCCAGCTCGGGTCCAAAACACTGATTGTCCAGCACCTTGGGATGTCCTCCTGACGTGAAAGACGCTATACAAATGTAATTTTGTTGTTGTTTGAGTAAAGCATCTTTTGTAATTAATTTTATGTCAAAATAATTTCTTCAAACCTGCTACTAATGTATAAAACGTATACAACTGAACAAAATTCAATGTGCTATGTGCAGAAAAGAGAAGATTTGCAACAAACAGTTTAAGGTACCTGCAAAAGGCTTAAGAGAAACAATATGCCCACAGCTTTCTTTTACGCTGAATGCTAAAGCAGCAGAATTTCATGATATTCTTCAGAAATGTAAATGAACTAACCTCTTTATTTGCTGTTCCATAACACAGGGTCGCTATGGACCAAAGGGTCAGAAAGGTGAACCTATTCTGGTTAAAGTCGACCTAAGGGTAAGTTTCAAAGAATTTTGCTAACGACATGTTTAAAAATGTTAAAAGGATATGAGTGGAACAGCAGCAGAGATCTGGTGCCAATTCAATGGCCTTTGTGAATTTCATTTATATTTGGTCAGATTAAATCTAGGGCGTGCTCAAAAGATAACTATTGGTCATGTCTGTTTTTCACTCTATTTTCTCCTTCCCTACTGGGATACAACCGTTGTGTGTAGATCTGTGCTGGTAGACCAAGTACCAGTAGGGAAGACTGCTCTTTGTAGACTGCACCTCACAGTGAGACAACAACAAAATTACATTTACAGAGCGCCTTTCACGTCAGGAGGATGTCCCAAAGCGCTGAACAGTCAGGTGTCGGGGCCCAAGCATGGGGGAAGGCAGAAAGGTGGGAGGGAGACCAAAGGCACGATCGAAGAGAAGGGTCTTGAGACCGGCCTTGAAAGAGGCAAGGGAGGAAGTGAGGCGAAGGGACTGTGGGATGGGGTTCCAAAGTTTGGGGGCAGAGAGGCTGAAAGCCCAGCCACCAATGGCAGGACGGGTTGGGCGGAAGACATGGAGCAGGCTAGAGCCCACTGAACGGAAGGAGAGGGCAGGTTGGTAGGGAGTCAGCAGGTCAGAGAGGTTTCGGGGGCAAGGCCATGGATGGCCTTGAAAGTGAGGACGAGGATCTTGAATCAATCTTCTGGGGGATGGGGAGCCAGTGGAGTCGGGCGAGGGTGGGAGTGATGGAGCCTGGTGCGTGACAGTACATGAGCTGCAGAGTTTTGGATGATCTGCAGCTTGTGAAGGGAAGATTTGGGAAGGCCGATGAGGGAGTTTCCCTAAAACTCCTCAAATTAGACCAACTCAAATTAAGTAACTCCAGGAGCAGTTTTGAGCTGGTGCAAATTCAGGAGCCACTTCTGGATTTGTCGGTCAATGCTATGTGCACAGTTTATATCAACAAGATGTTAAATCAAGACATTTGCCAGTATTTGCAACACTAAGCTGTGCAGTTTTATCTGCTTAAACTCCAGCTGTACCTCCTAGGCAACTGTTGGGAATCTTGCCAACTTGCTCCTAAACCCTTTACGATTAGGCATTCCTCTGGTGAGAGAGAGTGTACACTCCATAACAAGCGTTTGGAAACCATACATATGTAGAACTCGCAGTAGATTAGTTTGAAGAGTTTTAAGCATGGTTATAGAATCTGCATGTATCTAATGCGCAGTTAACCAAAAAAAAACACTTAAACTATGAGGGACCACTTAACTTTAACTTAAACTATGAGGGACCCCCTTGTAACTTTAACTTTACTTTTTTTTGAAAATATGTTTATTTATAAATATAATGTTTGGTACAACAGAAATCCAAAACAAACACAGCATCTTCTTTTAAAATGTTTTCCTTTTCTCCCGATACAAAAAACATTCCGTTGTTTACGGTACATTCCTTCCCCACACATAGGTAGTGCACATGTTTTTTGGGACGCTTGTAATTTTAACTTTACAGACCAGTCAACGACTTCTATTCACCAATGGATTTTACAAGAGAACGGCCTTTGTGTAATTCTAACAGTCTGAGCTCACATCAGACGTACTTTGCATTGGTTTCAATAGGGATGAAAGAGTACTTCTCATTAAAGTGATAATATTAGTGATATCTAGCTGGAGTAGGGTGTAAAGGTGCTTTGCAACATAAAGCACAAGAGATAAAGATCTGCAAACTTGCAGTCATCTGCCCAGGATCTTTCTAGGAACTATTAAGAGCAAGAATCCACTTGCAACATGGGGCAGGGAAAATAAATGAAAATAAAATAAAATTATTCTAACTATGTGCCTCTGTCTTTTTGATTTACAGGGTGAACCTGGTCATCCAGGTTTGGATGGTTTTCCAGTGAGTATTTTCATTTTAAATTCTTATTAAATTAAGTAAAATAATTAAAGTAGTGGTAGGAAATTGATGTTATTTATTTACTTATCCATTTCCTACCACAACAGAAATTATTTCATTCTTAAAAAAATTCTGAAGACTGAGATGGTAAAATGAGATCCCGTCTGCCTGCTCTTCAGGTTGGAATTAGAGGTTGTTTTACACTATCTGAAAAGAGAAGAGAGTTTCCCTTGGTGTCCTGACCACCAATCCTCCAGACAAATTAATCATTTGCCTCATCATGGCTCTTTGCAGAGACTTACTGTGAAAATATGGGTATAAATATGGAACTATAAATACAGCCTCAGTGAAAGTAATCACTTTGAGATGGTTTTAGGTGATAAGGCACGTTAAAAATCCAAACTCTTTCATGATCTTCTATTACATATATGAGGAAGTTGTACATTTTTTGACTCTCTAACATTCCTGCTCTTGTTCTTGAAGGATCAGGAAATAAACATGTTTATCAAAAGGAATTCTGTACAAAGCGGTATTGATGATCAATATTATGTCTTAATAATTCACTGTTTCTATTTCTACAGGGTCAGTCAGGTTTATCCGGTCTAATTGGTCCAAGGGGTCGTAAAGGACAGTTGGGACATACAGTATGTATAAATTCTCTGAAAATTTTTATATCTTCAATATGAAATTCTAAACATTTTTGTGCAATCTAGTTTTAATTTGCATTGTTATAGTTCTGACCTATGTTTCTAAAATGTTTTTCAGTTAATAAGATGTCCAGTTGTTTGTTTTTAACACAATTGATATTGTTTTTATGTAACAGGGATTCCCAGGGCCTCCAGGACCTCCTGGACCACAGGTCAGAATCATGTCATTCATTGCTCGTGTTTACACTCTTAATAACAGTGCCAATGGGAAAGTCTATTCCTTCAGCTCAATCTAAATACTCGGCATTTAAATGCAAATGTCTCTTTATGTTCAGTCTCAATACTCCAAATCTTTAGAATTCTCCATTTCTCTTCCTCTACTTCACCCCCTCTCTATCTGCCTTGATAGCCCACCTTTCTGATTTATGGAATCCGTTGTTGAAATCCCTTTGCATGCAAGTACATGCTTTTGGCCTTGAAGAAAATGACAACTCTAACCTGGAAGTCTGGAGAGCAAAATGGACAGAGTTGGGGAGATGGCATTTTGTTTTCTGTTGTTCTATTGTTTGCAATTTGATAGCTTCTGGAAATCACAATTAATGCTGCCCATCCTTTCAACATTTATATTGCAACTTAGATCTTCCTCTGTAAACAATGTTTGGCTAGTTGTGGCAATTAACATTGTGTTACTGTTTCAATTACAGGGTAGTGACGGAATAAGTTTCCAGGGTGAAAAGGGGGATAAAGTAAGTGCTTGTTATTTCTATAATATTTTTGCGAATGCTTTCACTTGGAAACGTTTAAGAAAAATCAAATAAATTAAAGATCCAACCATTTAAAACCCATGGAACCTGATCACAGAGATCTCCACCATCAGAAACCCTGCACTCAACAAGTCAGAGATCTGCACCATGATAGGGTATCCTCTTCCACTGCCCCTCCTCTCAGCTCAACCTTCACGAACCTGCCCTTGCCTCATTCAAATCCTACCTCTCTCAACATCCCCACTTTGTCTCCACTAACAGCTTCTCCTCCAGCCTCTTCATCGTCACATGTGGCATGCACTGTCCTTGGTCCCCTCCTTCTCAACATTTACATGCTCCCCCTCCGTGACATCATCCGTATACATGGGGTCAACTTCCACGTGTGCGGATAACACCCAACTCTACCTCTCCGCCTCTACCCTCGACTCCAGGACCACTGCTGTCCTCACAGACTGCCTGTCAAACATCAAATCCTGGATGTGAGCGTTCCTCCAGTTGAATGTCAACAAGAATGAGCCCCTCCTGCTTGACTCTCGTCAGCACCTCCATATCTCGAATACTGATAGTGTAATCCTTCGTGGATGCACTCTACACCTCACGGAGCCAATACAGAACTTCGGAGTCCTGTTCGACATTCAAAACTCCTTCATCCCCCACATTGGTGCCATGGCCCGTTCCACCTTTCTGCAACTCCGCAACATTGCCGGGCTCTGCCACTCTCTCACCGCAAGCCGCCGAGAACCTTATCCACGTGTTCATCAATCCAGGCTCGACCACGCAAACTCCCTGCTTGTTGGCCTCCCCGACTCCTCCCTCCACAGGTTGCAGATCATCCAGAATTCTGCAGCCTGTTTCCTCTCCCGCAACAGGCTCCGCGACCCTATCAGCCAGAGGATACAGTTCAAGATCCTGGTCCTCACCTTCAAAGCCCTCCATGGCCTTGCTCCTCCCTACCTCTGTGACCTCCAAACCCCCTACCAAAATGTCTGCTCCCTCCACTCAGTGGCTCCGGCCTGCTTCACATCCCCCGCCTTGCCCGCCCCACCATTGGTGGGCGGGCCTTCAACCTCTCTGCCCCCACCCTCTAGAAATCCATCCCACAGTCCCTCCACCTCACCCACTCCCTTGCCTCCTTCAAAACCTGTCTGAAGGCCCTCCTCTTCGGCCCTGCCTTCCACACCCTCCACCCCTCCTGATCCCAACTACTAGTTTGGGTGCGGATCCCTGACTGTTCAGCTCCTCCTCCAGTTGGGTCGTCCTCCTGATGTGAAAGGTACTCTACAAGTGTAATTTGTTGATGTTATTGTTGAGATAGGGCAGGGCACGAACACAATTTAGAAGTAGGATAAATAGGATGGTTTTGTTTCATTTTGGTTTCACTAATGGTTTATTGCTGTGTCTCAGGGTGAAGTGGGATTGCCAGGACCCACTGGTCCACGTCCAGGAACTGGACCCGCTGTGACCATCTACATAAAAGGAGAAGCAGGAGAAAAGGTAACATTAATTTCAGTCGTGTAACAGCACTAAACCAGCAAAAGTAATTTGGGTCTCTTATCCCTTCCCAAAGTGCTGAGATAAAATATGTTATAGGCAAATTACATATTTTGCCTGTATAGTATAGTTGTGCAAATGGTCACATTGCCAACATTACTCATTCAAGAGCTTCAGCAGGATTAACTTTTAACACTTTTTTCTATGAATCACAGTAAAGATTACAGTGGAAACTGGGCATGGTACATATTGTAAAGATATTCATCACAAAATGACAAGATTAGTTCAAAAGAAGAAGGTCCTTCGGCCTACCTGATCTCATCCCTCGAGAAGCCTACCCTAACATCCCCCCATCACAGGGACAAGCTGTTTTTTTAAACGAGTCCAGGATCCTGGCCTCAACCCCCTTTCTGGAAAACTCTCGTAAATTACTGCAAATTACACTGAGTAATAAAAAACCTCCTGTTTTTTGTTCTGACGCTAAATCATGTGGGGTTGGAGGAAGGGGGGTTGGAGGGAGGAGGGATGGGGAATGCCAAACCCAAGGGTCAGCAAGTGTGATGAAGACTGTGAGCTGGCTTCAGGCCCAAACATCATGATGCATTTGGGAGGAAATACCCCAACTCAGGCTCCATGTCACCAGTGTAAAACACTTCGAGCTGCCCTACTGCCATGAAATGCCCTGTATAAATATACAGACCAAAGTCCATTGGTTGAGTCCATTAATTACAGCGGAGTTTTCTATGATAATCACACATTGCAATTTGTACCTTTTGAAAGTGTAATTTATATTATGATGGGATATTAAATTATTCATTTTGTCATATATATATATTGCTGAATGTTTCCAATTTTTTTATGTTAAGGGCGAAAGAGGTTCCCGAGGATTTGAGGGGGAAACAGGACTTCCTGGACTTTCAGTAAGTTGCCTTGTATTGTAACCATCAAGTGGGTGCTAAGTGAGACGATTTCAAATCTGATTGCTTAACCAAGGAATCCAGAAATATGTCAACTTAAGAGAACTTCTCTCGGATTCAATCAGTTCCCCCTGACTTCCCATGTTGTGTGTGATCAACTTCTGCCTTGTAAGAAATTGCACAGATTTAACCAAAATGAGTAGAAATGGTTCAAATGGTCAGTATTGTTCCCTTCACTCCAGATCTGAACATTTCTTCACTTCTTGTTAACTGCTATACTGTGAGACCTTATTTTACAAAATACCAAATTATAGAGGGAAACACCATGTTGGTCAGAAATTTACATCTGCAACACTCTGAAAGAAGATAAAAACAGATTTAAAAGCTGTACTTTTCTGGGTGTTTCAATGACTGAAATGGTCAATAAAAAGCAGTGGGTATTGGAGATGATCTGTGAAATTCCAAGTCTCAGCATTCTGACTCAGAAAAGACAGAAGGCAGAATTGCTTCTAATTGAAATGCCAGTATTTCACTGGTAAGAAGTACATTTTAGAAAGAATTTGATTGTTAAAGTCTTGTATGATCTCATCCTTGAGTGTTCCTTTTAAAATCTCATCTCTATCTTAGGAGCAGAATAATCAAAATAATTGTATATCATACTAGTGTTAATAGGCTTTTCGTCTCTGTAGCTTAGTACCAAAAATCCATTCAGGTAGCAATGATCCAGACAGATGCGTAAATTCACAGGTATGGCCACTGGTCTGTCTTCAGTTAGAACACCAATTTTTTTGGCAATATCTGGAGCATCTCTGGCCTGGAGAGGAGAAAAGCATCAGTCAGGATATGACTGGGTTTGCTATAATGTGAGCCCTTCTTTGATTGATCAGTGTTTTGTTTTAGGGAATTACAAGTTCACCAGGAGAAAAGGGAGAACGTGGAATAATGGGTCTCCCAGGATTAAGGGTAAGACACACACTATAAAAGAATATTTAACAAATCATTTTTTTCATGAAATAAAAGTCACTAATGCTGTCTTTATATGATGCAGGGTTTGAGTGGTTTGGATGGCCTCCCAGGACGAAAAGGAGACAGGGTGAGTTGTTAAGTAAGATTATCTTGGTGTTCTGTGATGCATTGAAGCATTGAATAGATTCTTGTGGCTTTGTTTCATTGTCCTTTCCTTCATAGAGCTGAACTGTAGCACTCTCACTTCTATATCAGACGGTTGTAGCGTCAAACTGAAGTCCTGTAGCTCAGTGGTTAGAGCCCTCACCTCTCAAGTGAGAGACTTGGGTTCAATTCCCAGCAGGACGAAACCTTGGGCAAGTTTCCTTACACCACACACCTGATAATAATCCCTCAAGAAAAAAAACAATAATAAATTGGTCACTTAATCCACGACTGTTTGTGGGACACTGCTGTGCGCAATTGGCTGCTGCATGTCGTCCACAGATTATACAGTCAATTCATTCTACAGTATATTCTGTGAAGTGCTTTGAGACATCTGGAAGATGTGAAAAGCGCTATATCAAATGCAAGGATTATTATTATTATAAACTCCACATTGGGGCTTGAATTCATATAGTCTAGGCTGACACTTCAATGCAGTGGGTGGTGGGGGTATTGGTAAATCTATTGACCCAGGTCGTCTTGTTTTATAAACCTATTGGCTCATATGTAAACCATGAAGAATGAATTTTATGCATTATCCCCTATTTTGGTTGGAATTGCTGCCCTGAGTAAGATCCCTCTTCAAGTCTGTGGATTGAGCCAGCTTGCTTCTACTTATATTATAGTTCAGGGAGAGTGAACTGTAAAGGTTGTTGCAGGCTTCCTCAGTCTACTAATAGCAACAATGATATACCTGAGTACAGAAAAAATACCTGAATCACAGCAATTCTCACTGAATCTATGCCCCAGAATATTATATAGCAGTATCTCTAATTCTTTCAGTGCTGGATAAAGTACAAGAGCATCCAGCTCGCTGTGCTGCAGCCACAGATTGAGCAGTCTGTATAGTCACCCTGTTGATCAAGGGTCCCTCTTGAAAATGTAGTAGTAAGACTTGATGTTCAGTGTGAAGCATTGATTAAAATTTGTCATTGTCCAATTTATGAAGCTAGATGAGCTTTTGTATCACAATCTTTTATTTTTCTACCTTTTACCCCTCATTTACTATATGTCTTATGTGTATCTTTGTGGTGTCCAGGGTCGCCCAGGTCTCCATGGACTTAAAGGTACAAATGGTCGTGCAGGAACAAAGGTACTTTACATTCTTAGTTTTGATTGTTACTTTCATCAGATTAGAGCAACATAACCTCATACAGGAATTATTTATTTCAGGATTATGCAATATGCATAATCACGAAGGCCATATTTATGTCCTACATGGTAGAACAGTCAAACTAGTTAGTTTCTGACTGCCAAACAGTTGATATCAGTGAGAAAAGGGGCATGGATGTGGGAAAGACTTATTACAACACTATTGAATACAAGAAATTTGCATTTAAAAGCAATAAAGTAAAATAAATTGAAATTTCACACCTCTTTCCCCATTCTACATTCTCTAATTTTCTTCCTTTATCTTTATTTTTGTGTTTCTTTCTTCGGATTCATTTGTGGTCTCTACCTATGTTGTCTTTTTCTACCCAGTGTCTTTTTCCCTGTTCTATCTGGCCACATTCTCCTTATCCTTGTTCCCTATGTCCTCCCTGTCCCATTCACCTTGTCTTTATTATTCTTGTTCTCTCTAGCCCTCCTCCTGTCCTTGTTCTCTCCTTTCCTTCCTTTGTCCTGTTCTGTCATTGCTCTCACTCTCTCTCTCTCTCCTGCCTGACCTCATTCTCCCTTAGTTGCCTGGCCTTTGTTCTTCCTGTTGACTGTCTGTCCTGTCATCCCTCATTTCATTTTCTCCTTCCCTCTCTTTGTCCTACCTGACCTTGTTTTCTCTCTATCCCTCTCTCTATCATGTCAATAGTTCTCTCTCTGACATTCTCCCCAGCCTGCCTGGCCTTTCTGTTGATTTTGTGTCCTGTCATGTTTGCCCTTGTTCTCTCAATAGATTCTCATGTTAAAGCCAAGGCTTGACTATCTTGCCCAATTTTTGCTTCCCCTCCCCCATTTCCAGGGTTTCTGCATCCTTAGATCTAACCAGATTACAAGCTCTGTGCAGGACTGAAGGTGCCCAGGGATTTTGGAACAGGAAATGTAGACAACTGAATGTCATTTACCCCTTATGAATTTATGATTGGATCAGGGACAGACGTTGGAGCCCAGTCAGATCATTTTTCTCTACACTGTCTTTACTGCAGTCATTAGACAAACATTATACATTGGAACCAGAGTCCTGGCAGACAGTGTCCTCTAACAATCTTTATGATGTTTGTCTCCAGGGTGAACGTGGTGATCAAGGTGTTCAAGGAGAATCCGTTAATTTTTCTGGAGTTATTCCCAGTGGTAATGTGGCTTTCTTTAACTTTTTAAACAAATAGAAAAGAGCAAAGTATCTGGTTGAGAGAGGCAATATGTCTTTCTAATGTCTGGTCTATACTGAAGAAAAGCATGCCCAAATGCCAACTTCATGGTTCAATGTTTTCTGTGCCAGTTACACTCAAAGAGTCCTCTCTCCCTGTTCTGCCTACAGTAGGTATAAGATCTAAAGAAAGCATTTGGCATTTGGCTTTAACTACACCTCAGAACCATTTTGTGATAAAGTGATGCATTCATACACACAGCATGTGTGAGGTCATGAGCACTTGGAGTTCACATCCATGATTCTCCCCTGTGCTCTCCGACCCAGCACCCATGGAGTTATAGCTTTGGATACTTCATGATGATAAATACTGAACAAAAGCTGTCAAGGAGCAAGAGAGAGACATTTCTAGTCTCTCCAGCGCTCCCTGGCTAGAGATTAAAGAACGGTTTTGGTAGCCAGAGCAGCTTGGCTGGATCTGTTGTGCTATGAATATTGTGTACCATAGTACAGGGAGAGACTTTGGGAGAAACGGTATTATGCTAATCGAACTCCTTCAAGAACAAAATCTTCTTGGTTACAGTTCATTGGCATCCTTACCCAGCCAAAGACAAGTCATTTTTATGTGATTGCTTAATGTTCAAATACAAGCACTGTTCCTTGTACGTTGGGTGTCTTTAAACATGTATTTTCTTGCTGCTAGGTCTTCGAGGTGACAGAGGTCCGGAGGGTGATAGAGGTCTCCCTGGAGAAGTGGGTCCACGAGGCCCATATGGCCCACCTGGCCCTCCTGGAGAACAAGCCTCCTATCCAGGTGAGGGAAATAGCTCAACTGAAGTTCTCCCAAAAGCAACTCGTTTCTCTGCTTCATATGTGACATCTTGTTAGAACTTGAACTGCGAAACCTGAATTTTTCATGGCTTGTTAGAATCAAAGATAGCAAGTTTTAACATTGTTTCCATGGTGGGATTTTTTAGGTCCTCGGGGACCCCAGGGTTCAACTGGCATAACAGGACTCAAGGGGTATGAAGGTGAACCTGGTTTTTCAGCGATCCGGCCTGGGCTTCCTGGGTTTCAAGGAATACCCGGTCAACCGGGACCACCAGGGCAACCAGGACCACCAGCTTCAGGAGGTCAGAAAAAACTTTAATCTCTGAAGTCTCTATTGATCTTTAATGATGCAGGATATGTTATGCTCTGTTATGAAATCACCTTTCCTTTGGTTAAATTTGATTAGATGTTATTGGAGATCCCGGGTCACGAGGTTACAGAGGTTACCCAGGTCCAGCGGGTGGAAAAGGAGTCAAAGGTAAGAGGGAAAATAAAGGAAGCAGGACACATACTTTAATAAGGTTTGCAAGTTATAGATGTATTCGGGGTCAATTTTTAGTTTGGGATTTCTCACGTACAAGAGTATTCTTCTGCTCTTCTGACATTTCCCTCTAGTACACCCCCTGTTTCAAAAACAAATAACATTTATATAGTGCCCTCCACTTTGACTGTTGCCTAGTCCACGTTCCCCTCTCTTCACTGCTCATTGTCATGCTCCATTACCATTAGACGCTTTGAAACTCTACCAGCATGAAGGGCACTAAACAAATGCAAGTCCTCCACAATGGGAGGACCTCTCAAAAAGTAGTTTACAATGCCTCATTGGCCCCCAGACTGGGGAGGGGCAACTGGGGGAGGAGTGCTCTTGCACTTCAAAGTGGATTTGAATAGTTAGGTCATCAGGTAGGTTTTCGGAACGGGAGGAAGGTTGACTCTGGGATGCTGCTCCAGAGAGATGGGCAGAATGGCTAAATGCCCATCCACCGATGGTGAGAGGATATGGCAGGGGAGGTGAAGCAGGCTGATGTTTGCTGAGGTACTTGCAGCATGTCATAAAAGTAGGGTAATTTCTAAGTGGATTTTACAGCTGTCAACTATCACAAATATCTGTATGGAATCACATTAAAGTGTCAGCATCGTCTTGTTGGTGTGACAATTCACCAAGGGGGAGAAATTTTACCTGTGTCTAAATATATTCTATTTTCTCAACAGTTCAGAGCATTCAGAATCTGTTAGATTTTTCAATACAGTCTGAATTTTCAAACCGGTTTTTAAGTAAAGAAAACCTGCTTCAAAGGCTGAATTCAACAATTTGCCAAATTCTGCTAAGATACTAAGAAAAGAAAAGAAATCTAACCCAGGTGTAATTCCCCCCAACTACCCACTCACCCACCCTTCCCAAATTGCTTACACAGAATTATGTTTTCTTAATGTTTGGAATAGATATTTTTAGATTTTCTCCTTCAGATATTTTAATTAAAAATGATGGTTCTCTAATTCTGCACTTTGATTGCAGGCGAACAAGGTGACTGTGCTTGCCGTGTGGAGGAGGCTTCTCCTGCAGGGCCCCCAGGTCCTGTTGGAGTCCCAGGTTATTCTGGAAATTCAGGAAGAAAGGGTCAGCCTGGAGATCAAGGTCAACCAGGCACTATTGGTGCACCCGGCCTTCCAGTGAGTAATCTTCCGATACAGTAAACCTCACCTAAGTCGTATCAGTTGGGACCATGCATTTAATATGACTTATGGAAAGTATGAGTTTTGTCAAACTTGCATAGAATATAAACTCTTTAACAGGACTTGGGCAGATATATGGCATAGGCGATTATATGATTTATACAGATTAGACTTGTGCACGTTTTACTGCATTAACTTCTAAGCCACCAAAATGTCCTATACATAAGTGTAGATGAATACAAGTCTAATTACATGTCTGGAGGCACTGGTTTTAAATTGCTAATATAACCCACCTTTTTGAAATGTTTGTCTCGAGTTAAAGATATGCATTTTAAAGCATATCTTGGTACAATTTTTACATTTTAACATTTGCCATATTTTTGGACTGTAAGTCATCTCCGTATTCATCAAAGAAAATAAGATGACCTGCTTGCTTTTATTTCACAATAACAGGGTGTGCAAGGTGCTGTGGGATATCCGGGTACCAAAGGACGAAAGGGTGACTCTATAATCATTAATACCATTACCACCAAAGGTAAGTGTATCTGATTGAATATTGAAGCTGTGTTTTTTAGTAAGTTATTATTATTTATAAACTGACAACAATTAAAACAAATCTTATCCTGCATTTACTGTGCTCTTTTAGAAGTAACTAATTTTCATTTGGTCATGTATTTCTGCATTTAACTACTACAGAAGTGGGTCCACGAGGTCTGTTTGCGCTAAGAATAAATCTCCTGCCATTTGATTTTATCTTCTTTTAAAATAAATTAGCTTTTGTCTTTTACAGGAAACTAACATCACATGTGACTGACTGCAACTGTGGAAAATCCTAAGTTACTGCAAAAGACATAACCTTTTGTAAAGTTAATTTTTATGACTGTGAAAGCACGTGTTTGAGAAATAATCCAAGAATGAGTTAACCCAAGCCTTTGTCAGTCAAACCCTAGTGGCCAACTCCAACACAATAGTTCTGCAGAAGCTCGACAGCAGCTCTGCTGTCTACCTTTGTCCAGGCTCTGCTGCATAATGTGGGCGCTCCTTAGCGACTGAGACAAATAATATATGAAATGAGAGACAAATGAACAAAATGAAACAAAAATGTAATCTGTATAATATTTATTAAGGTACCAAAGGAGAGCAAGGTGAGCCTGGTCACATAGGTTCTTACGGTGAGGCAGGAGTACCAGGCCTGGATGGTCGTCCTGGAGAGCCAGGGCCTCGGGGTCCTTCTGTGAGTTTACTTTCACCTGATATATTTACTTGCATCAAGTTAATTTCTCCTCTGAGTTACTTCGGGAGATTAAGCTCCTAGTCTAGGTTGACACTCTAGTGCAGTGCTGGTAGAGTGCTGCATTGTTGGACCTGTATCCTTCAGCTGAGATGTCAAACCGAGGCCCCGTTTGCCTGTTCGTGAGGGTGTTAAAATCATATGGCACTATTTGAAAACAAAAGGGATCCTAGCCAACAACTCCCCAGATAAAAATAGGCATTAACTTCATGGCTACTTGTCTAATATTACTGTGCACAGATTGGCTGCCATATCTGTCTATAAATTGAGTCACTATCTAGTACTTGCAAATCCCAGGAAGCGTTTATGAGGTCTTCCTGATGTGAAAAGCATATTTTCAAATGCAAGAATTATTATTTGTTATTTTCGTTTTGCAATGTGTATGCAGTACGTAAGCAGCTTTGCTGATAAGATACTCAGACAAAATCTGCAAATCAATTCTTCCCAAAGCTATGAGTCATCCATTATTTACAAAGAACAATAATTGACGTTAACATCCTTCACTTATATTCTGTCCATTTTCATTCCTTTAAAATATTTTGGATTGAAATAAATATATGGTGTATATTATATCTTAGGGTGACGGTCGTAAAGGCTACCCTGGTGATTCGGGTGATCAAGGTGTCCCAGGCCCTAAAGGACAACCAGGGAATATAGGTCGCCCAGGGCTATCGATTTCAGGTCCTCCAAGTATCCCTGGTCTTCGTGGTGACCCAGGATTTGATGGATTTCCAGGAATTCCAGGTATTCCAGGACACCAAGGTCCTCCAGGTAGGTGTGACATCTTCTTGCTTGTATCTTAACTGAATAGAAACAAAATCCTCCTTTAAATAGCTGCCTTTCAGCCTATCTGCTCCATTCCACGAAAAAATCCCTTCACCTCACCACTTCCCTCACCTCCTTCATAGTCCAAGACCTTCCTCTTTCACCCCACTTAGCCCCCAATCCTCCTGAATCCAACCCCCAGCTCGGGTGCAAACCATCAACTGCTCAATGCCTCCTAACGTGAAAGGCACTATATAAATGCAATTTGAGAATTAGCCAGACCATTGCTCTCCTGTGCACTCACCTCAGAGAACAAAACCCAGAACCTTACACTGTACTTCAGGTGTGGCTTCCTCAGAACAGCTTAAGCATGACTATTAAGGATCAGAACTCCGCAGCAAAATCGCTCGGCATCCTGTTTGCCTTGTCTATTACTGCCTCCGCTGTTTGGATGTGTTGAGCAACTAGTCAACTAATACCACGAGAATGGGTTTAATGAAGATAGTTCCAGTGGGGAAGCACAGTCACAGTGAGGTGAATAGTCTCCACTTTGTGCTGTAATCTGTCTGCAATTTTATGAAAATTAAATTCAACACATGTGAATTCTGATCAACGTTGATCTATTTCCACAATTAGCCCTTGTTATGAGTTAATAACCCAATGAATAAAACTTTAGAGCGAAGGCTGGATTGAAACGAGCAGAAACTGGAAAAAGGATTATAAAATATACAAGTGATCCTTTAGGAAAAACTCCAGAATACTAATTGCAACAGATTTGACAGGAATCTGTTTATGTTTTAATGATTAAAGCAGTTGCTGAGACTTTATTTTAGCTGCATATATAAGCCACAGTAATCGTACTTTAATCCCAATTATGCTTGTTTCTCCCTTCTGTTTGAATTATAGGTGACTGTTGCTGCATTGATGTGACTTTGCTGCATGAAAGAAATTATACAGACATTTCAGCAGGTAAAGGATGAATTTCAATGAGCAAAAAATATGGGCCGAATTACCAGCTTCTGTGCTGTGTAATTCTATGATTCTATGATTCAGTCTGTATGACTGAACTTCCAATATTACTATTGAAACTATTTATTTCTAAAGAGTTTCATTACAACAGGGTTGAGCTCTGTATTAGTTTTGTGGCAAATGTTATTTTTAATAACGGCATGTTGATATTTACAGGTATTCCTTGTCAAAAGCCAGGACCTCCGGGACCACATGGTCTCCAAGGATTCTCCGGAGCAAAAGGTAGAATTACACATCAGTATCTGTGCCAATTTTTTCAAAAAAAAACCTTTTAGATTTATTAATACTGGACAAATTCATCATCTCATTTAAAAAGAAAATGTTCCATTCCAGGTGTAAAGGGTGAAAGAGGACATCCAGGTTTTCCTGGCCAACCAGGATTCCCAGGACCTAAAGGATTTGTGGGTGACCCAGGCCCCGGAGTCACAGGACCACCAGGTTTCACAAAGCTTTTAAGATGCTATCGTGTAGAACCATTTTGTACTATATAATATCTAGAACCAACGTGTTTATGTGGCTGAAAACGAAGTAACAAAAAGATGGTTTGATATTAACTGGCATGGGAAAAGGGACAACTAAATGCCCCTTAAAATGTGAGTTTTACAAGGAAAGCTTTATGTGGGAAAGTTTTACTCTCTGTAAATGTACTGTCAAAGCAGTCAAAAAAGGTAGCTAAATATGATGCATTTTGTTCAGGTTTTATTGGGCGTCGTGGAGACGCAGGAACACCGGGAGCCCCTGGGCAGCCTGGTACCAGTGGGTTTCCAGGATTACCGGGAAAACCAGGACTTCTCGGTATAAAAGGAGAGGCTGGAGAGGCAATTGGTGCTATTCCAGGATTGGAAGGTGATCGAGGAGGCCCAGGAGAAGTCGGAGTGAAAGGAACACAAGGAGACACAGGTTCACTGGGAGTTAGAGGCAAGAGAACATTTTTATTTATTAAGTTGGAGCAAAATGCTCCAGGAGTAGAAATTCACAATTTGAATAAAGAGCACTGTGTTCATCAACCTCCCCCAAGTGTGAGGTCACAGAGCCATGGTAGATATTAACAGAACTCACACAATGCATCATTTACCCTAATGTTCTAATATATTTTAGTAATCTAGTTTCTTTAACATATTTGTCACATTTAAAACACGGCAGATTCTGTTTGATATAGGTTAGATGTCTAATTGCTATCTAACATTGGGTCCAGCCTTAATCTCAGATTGAAAGGTCTTGCAGCTCCACATTGATAATATATTTCTTCTCTCTGACTTGCAGAATACTGTATTAAACACACAGGAACATTCCCCCTGTCTGTAATGAGACTTAAATAATTCTTGAAACACTGGTACAAACCTCCTGAAGCATTAAACTTTGATGTAACAATCGACTGATTTCAGCAGAACAGAATAGAAAATCAAACTATTGACCTTGGAACAGCTGATTAACTGCATGTTTTATTCATGCACTATCAAGGCATCAGTCTGGTTAACACATGCTTTATGTTCACAAGCAGATAGCTAGATCTCTGAATCTGAAGTAATCTGAATCCAAAGTAATTGGAAACAACAACGACAATTTGCATTTATATAGCGCCCCTCACGCAGGGTAGCATCCCAGGGCGCTTATTTTGTTTGATTGTGATACCACTGCATAGTGTGAATATCCTTGTTAGGCATTGTAAAAAAAAGCAGTCTCACACTTCTCCCATATCAAGTACAGACTCTTCCTGGAGTGAGAGGCTACAACTGTGCAAAATCAATATAAATCGCAAGAATAAAAGCACTAAAACAGAATGCAACTCCAAGTTGTAAAATTCCAATTCAGATTGTTCACTAAATACAATTTGTATTTTCTGATATCTTTTCTCAGTGGAGTCCTGTAGCTCAGTGGTTAGAGCACTCGCCTTGCAAGCGAGACATCTGGGTTCAATTCCAGGCAGGGCGAAACCTTGGGCAAGTTTCCTTATTCCACACGCCTAATAATAATTCCTCCAAAACAAAAGACAATAATAAATTGGTCATTTCCAACACACGACTGTTTGTGGGACACTGCTGTGCGCAATTTGCTGCCACGTTTCGCCCACAAATATACGGTCAATTCACTTTATAGTATATTCTGTGAAGCACTTTGAGAAGTCTAGAAGACATGAAAAAGCACTATATCAAATGCAAGGATTATTATTTTGTAAACTTGCTATGGGGAAAGGGGGAGAAGAAATTGCAGGATGTAATGTGATAATTATCCTTGTTAATAAATTATAACATCATATCCATCATATTTATTCCATTGCTCATTTTATTGTTTTTAAGAGAAAAATTGGCTCAGTAAATATGATTGAGCATACTAGGATGTAATTGAGATACAAGCAAATAATAGGTATAACTTGGGTGGAACTGAGTTTCTGTCTTAATTTTCTAACTTCAGTCTTGCAGTCCTTACTTCATACAATGCTAGAAATTACAGAGAAAAAGAAGGCCATTCGGCCCATCGTGTCTATCCTGACTCTTTGAAAGTGATTTATTTTTTTACAAATTTATGCCACTTTCGGCCTACTCTAGACATGGATACATTTCCACAACCAAACAAACTTTCCTTTGCAAATTCATAATAAAAGAACCAGTCAAAGTAACTGAAGTATTTATTCCATTCATGCGGAATTAGGACAGGCCATAGTTTTGCTTGAGAAAAAATCTGTTTTGGATTGATGGTTAACGTAACTACAGTGAGCATTGAGAGCAACAACCTAGGTTTTCATATACAGATTAATTTAAATCAGTTTCATTTTTCTCAGGTGCATTTGGAATAACAGGTATGCCTGGTGCAAAAGGCATACAAGGTCAACCAGGGCTACCTGGTCTCATAGGATTCCCTGGGGTAAGAGGAGACCCTGGCTCCCTAGGATTTCAAGGATTCCCAGGTGTGCAAGGATTTATTGGTGCTCCGGGAGTTCCAGGTAAGTCAAATGTTTTCAGTGATTTTGCATTATTTATCTTGGCACTTTTGATATCCCTTATATTTTGCAGAATCCATCAATGCAAATGCGAGAATTAATTAAAAGGGAATTAGATAAACAGTTGAAAAATATATAAGCAATATAACATTTATATTAGTAATAATAATAAATATATAAGGAAAGGGCAGAAGGACAGTTCTTCCAGAGACTACATGAGTATCATGGGCAGAATAACCACTGATGTTTGATTTTAATATCTAACATATATTTATCAGGAAATAGAGGGATATGGGAGAGGTGGAGATTTACGTAAAGTATAAAAACCAACCCAGATTAGTTAGATGGAGTGGCCTGTTCCCATGCCATATCGTTTTGTGTAATTCTATGTAAAAAGCTAACCTTTCTATTGAACAAAACACTGTGCCTCCATAGACTTGGGTAAAAGTACACAGGTTGGGGTACTTCAACTGCTGTTAGACAGTAGTGGAAGCGGTTACAGGCACTAAACTAAAGCGGCAGTGTGTCAAACTCTGTTCGAAACTTGACTTGATTAGATGGGTCACCTGAACTTCAATCTTAGATTGCAGTTTTGAAATCATCTCAGGGATATGTGATTCTATAACTTATTGTGCTGAGTAACATGCAGTGGTTTTATTTAGTTTGAATCAATTTTTATGGCAATTGACAGTGCGCTCTGAATCATAACTTGGAGTCCTGTAGCTCAGTGGTTAGAACAGTCGCTTTGCAAGTTAGAGACCTGGGTTTTATTCCCAGCAGGGTGAAATGTTGGGCAAGTTTTCTTAATCCACATGCCTGTTTACCTAGCAGTAAGTAGGAACCTGTTTTTTAGTCGATTGACGGTTCGCTTTTCCAGGGATAATAATCTCTCAAAAATAAACAATAATAACTTGGTCACTCAATCCACGACTGTTTGTGGGACACTGCTGTGCACAGTTGGCTGCTGTGTTTCACCCACAAATATACAGTCAAAGCGCTATATCAAATGCAAGGATTATCATTATTATTATTATATAATGTGCAACAGCATTCACAGAATTGCAATACCATCATTGGCCATTTTTATCAGTAACCTGCAGTTGAATTTAGGCAGATCTTGTGTCTGACATATATAATATGAATATGGATTGTGAGCAAGGTCTCAGTTTAAATTGGTTGCTGAGAGCTTCCTTTCAGTGAAATTTCCTGGAGCCATTGTCTTGTGTATTACAGGCTTTCAGGGTATCAAAGGACAATCTGGTGATCAAGGTCCCCCTGGCCCTGCTGGAATGAAAGGTTTGCCCGGGATAACAGGTTATCCAGGTTCTGCTGGGGATAGAGGGCTTTCTGGATCTCCTGGTCAAATTGGGATGAATGGACTTCCAGGCCTTGATGGATTAAAAGGTAAAATAGTTATTGGTTGATAATCCCATGTTGCTTTTAAAACATTTTTGTTATCAAAGCCTATGTATTATAAGCCTTTGTATTAGCATTCCTACTGGATGAGTTGTCGAGCATGTGAACTGATAATTATCTATTCCAGAGATTAAATAATCTCCTTTTAAGAGACACTACTTTATGCAGAGCGTTGTGAGAACATGGAACTCGCTGCCCAAAGCGGTGGTTGAATCAGATAGTATAGATGCAATTAAGAAGAAGCTAGAGTTTCACATGAGAAAGGAATTAATGGACTAAATGAGCCAAATTACCTCTTTCCCTGTTGTACAATCTGTGTAAATCTATGTAAATCCTGTCTAATCAGGAATTCAAGCATGTTAAAATGAGTGAAGATGTATGATGTTTAAAAGATACATTTTATTCTAATGCTGTGCTATTTTATCGATAAACAAGAAACCAAATAGGTTGTAGATCATCCAGAACTCTGCAGCCCTCATTCTCCCGTACCAGGCTCTATGAACCTATCACCCCCATCCTCGTCCGATTCCACTGGCTTCCCATCACAGAGGATATAGCTTAAGATGCTGGTCCTCACTTTCAAAGCCCTCCATGGCCTTTCTCCCCCTACCTCTGCAACTGCCTAACCCCCTAACAACCTGCCCGCTCCCTCTGCTCAGCAGGCTCCAGCCTGCTTCACGTCTCCCGCCTTGCTCACCCACCATTGGCGGGCAGACCTTCAGCCACTCTGTCCCCACCTCCTGGAACTTCATCCCACAGTCCCTCCACCTCGCCCCCTCCCTTGTCTCCTTCAAGACCTGTATCAAGACCCTCCTCTTCGACATTGCCTTCGGTCATCCTCCTCCCACCCCCCCTGCCCTCCACCCTCCCCCATCCCGACTTCCAGCTTGAGTCCAAAGCACTGATTGTCCAGTGCCTTGGGATGTCCTCCCAATACAAAAGGCGTTAAACAACTGTAATTTTGTTGTTATTGTTGCCCCAGTGGAGCAGCATAATCTGCGCTGAAGGTGGAGAAAAGAGGCTTGCTTGTCTTTCATCAAGTCCTGGAAGTGCTACAACTTTGTGCTGAACATGGACAAGATAGAAGCCATCCTCCTTGGCTCCTGTCAAAGTCTTCTCTGTGGTTCTGAACTCTTTAAGCTTCTTGCCTATCCCTCAGACTCACCAAACCTATAGGCTACCTTGGCACCAGGTTCAATTTCTAGTTATCCTTCCTACCCTGCATCCGGTCCCTGACCAGGACTGCCTTCCTCCACCTCATCACCCACCTTTGATCCTATCTTTCTTCAAATGCTGCTAAAACCCTCATTCAATAATAATATTATTATTATCCATGCTTTCATCATCTCCAGCATTGATTTTTCCAATGCATTCCTCCTTAATCCACTATTAACAAGGTTTAAATGATTCAAAACTCTGCTGCTCATGTCCTCACCCATAAAAGGCTCCGTACACCAATCACCACAGTTCTTGTCAGTCAACACTAGCTCCCTGTTCCAGAACAGATTGATTTCCAGGTATGCACTTTCATTTTCAAAGCAGTTCTGGCACCTCACTACCTCTCTGATTTGCTCACACCTCAATCCACTACATGTTGCCTTCACTCTGGTCTTCTGCACATCCCTCGTCCACTTCATTGCACGATTGGCAGCCGTGCTTCAGCCACTATGCCCCGATCCTCTGGAACTCTTTCCCTCAATCCCTCTGTTTTGGCTCCTCTTTTGGCACATCCAAATCACACCCTAAGACCTTCCTCTTCAACTCTGCCTTGGGGGACCTCCCTCTCATTCCAGCTGGGCGTCAAGCCACACCATTATTAAGCGCTTCAAGATGCTATTCCCGTGCCGGACACTATATAAATGCAAGTTGTTGTTGTATTACTTAGGTAAAAAAGGTTCCCCTGGAATGGCAGGCTTCCCAGGCCTGAGGGGTGCTCATGGACGGACAGGTGTTCCAGGCCTTAAAGGTGAAAAGGGACAATCTGGCCATCCAGGACGCAGAGGTTTGGCCGGGGACAAAGGGACAAAAGGTAGGCATTTTGCTAGAGTGTCTTTTCCAGTAGTTACTGTTTGTCAGATAGCTGTATCATTCTCTTTGTGCTATTTTAAGAGTACTAACAAAATCTAATGTCTTCTCCTCCCACTCCCAATTACATCTGTTTTCAAAAAAGACTGCTTTTGTCTTATCTCACAACACAATAATCTTAAAACTATGTACCCTATAAGAAAGACATATGGGTATAATAATAAAACCTATAGTTTATTTCATTTTTCTCAGTTATGTAGGAATCAAATGAATTCCTTGGGTATTCTGATATTGCTCGCAGATGTTTTTTGAAAAGTTCCAGTTCTTTGTGTGAAAGTCTCGACATCCAGCTTTACAGAATGATGAAGTCTGTTTGGTAGCTGCTGATTTAAATCATGCCAATAAAATTGAAATTATTTAAATCATTCCATTTCCCAAATAGAGGTGAGAAATGTCCCCGAAGGAATAGGAAACAATAAGCACAGGACTTAAGGTTGCGTTTTTGTGACATTTATAACCAATTCAGTGTGATAATTATCATCCTCCATCTTCAAGCTTGAAGTTGGAGGCCCGAAAATCTCAGGCCCACTATCGCGGATGAAAATCTAAAAACATCTAGAAATAGAGTACTGGTGATTCTTTAAAGCAGCATTCAACTGCTTTCTAAGTTGATTGGAAAAATATTTTCACCCAATTTTTTAGGCCAGGACACTGGACTCAAAATGTAAGAAACAGCCTGGCACTAGGATGGGAGGGTGGGTATTGTTGTGAATATCTCCTTTGAGTTGTAATCAACTTATATTCACGGAACTTTGCATGCAAAATCATTGGAAAGATATGTGATACTGAGAATGACTATTATACTATATATTATAATTTTATGTATTTGATTATACAGTATTTAATCATTTTTATTACATTTATTTTAGTAATATTTATTAATAATTATAGGTGCTCGTGGCTTCCAAGGGCCCCCAGGACCAGCACCGCCATTTAGTCCTAAGATGTCTATGATGGTGAAGGGTCATAAAGGCGACACTGGTTATTTTGGCGAATTTGGTTTCTCTGGGCCCAAAGGTATTATATACAAAAAATCTGAAGGTTTACACAAACTTGAGTTGTTAATTGCCCATTCGAATGCACAGTGTATCATGCTTCAGGGAATCTGTGATTTGGGGATGAAAAGAAAGGTTCAACTGACCATTGCGGTACTGGCACCTCACACTGGAAATAAATCTCTGTGATGTAAAGTACGTCTTCTGCAAAAAAACCTCTGAACTAAAGATATTGTCTCATTACAACACCACCCCCCACCCCACAATGGTTGCGTTATAAGAAGTATTTTTACTCTTTTGGTTGAGTTCAGCCACAAATTATCAAATCCAATGATGCAATCCACAGGCTCACATCTGTGCGGTTCAATACATGCAGCTATGTAATCGCTTGCAATTAATTGCAAGGTTTATTTTATTTATTATTATTACTTCTTGACTGACCACCCTGACCACACTTTTCAACAATGTAATAAGTAACACCAGTGTTAGTTAAAACATCACATGTCCCACTTTTCTACGTGTTACAATGAACAGAAAATCAGGTAAAAAATTTGCTTCCCTTTCATTTATTCTGATATAATTTATGAATGAGCTTTAGCAACAATACAGAAGCTTTATTTCACAGTATTGTAATATGAGACATTGCTGTGTCCAAGTTGGTTGCCAAATTCACCCACAAGATACATACAGTCTATATATACAGTCTGTATATATATATTATAATCTATAAAATATATTTACTTTGTAGTATATCCTGTGAAGCACTTTGAGACATCTCAAAAACTGTTATATCAATTACAATGATTATTAGTATTATATTAGTAGAAATTGAGGAATAAAATACTTATTTATGCTCATATTAACCAAAATAGTTATAAAAGGAATTGGCTGACAATAGACAAGAATCTAATTCCAGCCCCTGTAACGTAACATCATCTTTAAGAAAAATATCAATGTTTTGTATCTTTTAATGTTTAATGTCTTTTTAATTTTTAATGTTCACAACTATTTAATTATTTTACTTTTTTTACAACAGGTGAGAAAGGTATGCCAGGGTATCCAGGTTCATATGGCCAGCCTGGTTTTCCAGGTATTCCAGGACACATTAAAGGCCGGCGAGGGTTACCTGGTTTTCCCGGTGATACTGGTAGTAAAGGAATGCCAGGTTCTTCTGGTCCTCCTGGGATTCGTGGCTTCCCTGGAATGCCTGGTGAAAAAGTAAGTCTGAGAGTTGCATTTTCTTATGCAGTAAAGGGGAATCCCATTACAGTGCCATCCCGTATACAACGATCTTACTGATAGCACTCGTGTCCTATTGATCCGCAATATCTGGAAGCCTGATGTACATGCTGCCAGTGCTGATTGGTCAGCTACCCGCTTAAACAACGTCTGACTTCCAGGTAGGCAGGTTGCCACTGATTTCATTTCCTATGCACAGGAAGTGACGCCAGCAGCACTTGCTGCACATGTGCTCAACATACATGAAGTGGTGTTAGGGGTGACCATGACTTAGACGTCAGCCTTTTTTGTAATGAGGTTCCCCTATATTAGATTAATTTTAGAGCAGAGTTTATAATGTTCACAAATTGTCTATTCAGTGTCTTTTGTCTGATGTTTTTATAGGGGAGACTAGGCTCTTCAGGCTTCCCAGGTACCAGCGGACCACCTGGTTTCAAGGGACTTAAAGGTAGATAAATACAGTACTGTTTATTAATTTGCAAACCAATATGTTTATTCTACATTGAGCTTATTTTCTTTCATAAATATACTCTGGAACAAGAACAACATTACGTTTGCATAGTGCCTTTCACATCAGGAGGACGTTCCAAGGTGCTAGGCAATCAGTGTTTTGGACCCGAGCTGAGGGTCACAATGGGAAAGGGTGGAGGGCAGGGGAGTGAAAGAAGCTGATCGAAGGCACATTCAAAGAGAAGGGTCTTGAGACGGGTCTTGAAGGAGGCAAGGGAAGGGAGAAGGCAAGTTCCAGAGGGTGGGGTTAGAGTGGCTGAAGGCCTGCCTGCCAAAGATGGGGCAGGCAAGGTGAAGCAGGCTGGAGCCCACTGAGCTGAGGAAGCGGGCAGGTTGGTAGGGGGTTAGAAGATTGCAGAGCAGAGGGGAGCAAAGCCATGGAGGGCTTGGAAAGTGAGGACCAGGATCTTGAACGGTATCCTCCGTGTGATGGGAAGCCAGTGGAGTCAGGCGAGGATGGGGGTGTTACAGTCGCGGAGCCTGGTGCGAGAGAGGTCATGGGCTGCAGAGTTTTGGATGATCTGTAGCCTATAGAGGGAAGAGTTGGGGAGGCCAACAGGCTGGAAGTTTGTATAGTCAAGCCTGGACATTCTGAATGCATGTGTGAGGGTTTTGGCGGCCTTAGTGTGAGACAGTGGCGGAGCTGGACAATGTTGTGGAGGTGGACAGAGGGGGTCATGGCATGGATGTGGGATAGAAAGGACAGTTGAGGGTCAAACAAGATGCCAAGGTTCCGGACTGGCTCAGTGAGGTGGAGTATGCATCCTTGGATGGTGATGCTGTCACCAAGAAGGGAGGGTGGGGGTGACACATACATGAAAGATAAAGGTTTGAAGAAGTATCAGCAATGGGATTGAATGAACACTTTGCTCTGAGAGCCAGTGCAGACTCAATGGGCCGAATGGCCTCTGACTGTGAGGGAACGTTTTATGATTTTGTGACTGATAAGATCCAATTCTATCAAGGCACATGGAAATAAAGACAAACTGACTATAACATCTGCCATGAGTGTAAAAGAGTGAACAAAGAACATCATCTGGAGCCCCAAACAGTGTCAAGTGCCTGGTTGTAATCACGTTTTGACCATGACTGTGACATTGGGTGTTGTCAGTGTTTGGAAGAGAAATGAGGCCGAAACTTTATTTTTACTTTAAAGAGATTACACTTAGTCATGATTCTCTTAAATGACCTCACTTACTATTTTGATTTAAATATCTATCCATTTTAAACTTTCAATGAATTAGATCTCCTTTGACAAAAACACATACAACTGGCAAATTAAAACTTCAATTTACAGCATTAATTTACTAGTATTAATTTAAACACTCTGAAGTGACCTTATTTTGTAAATGCAAGTGAACATGGAGAATATAGAGCACTCTGTACTTAATGCTCTGACCAGGTCCAATTTCTTCCATTTCCAAAACAGCTTTTGCCCCTGCCACCTCACCCATTGCCCATCTCAAACCCTCATATACACCTTAACCAGGTGTGAAACCAGTGTATTTACACTGACACCTGATTACCCACTATGAACACTCATGGTGCTTAAGAAGGTTTCATGCAGAATCAATGAGTACAGTTGCACAAACTAGCTTTACATTCTACCAGCACAATAGAACAAAAACCCTACAGTTTATTTGTTTTAACTTTCATATCTTGAGTGATTGTTTTTCAGCAGTATTTATATAATAATTATAATGATGTGTGCTTATAAAGGGATTTACAGTGCATGTCGGCAAAGCTATTACAATAGTGGCAAGAGGAATTTCTCACTCCCTGTACAGCTAAACATTTCTCTAGAGGCTGTTGTTTGTCTTACACCCTTTCCAGATATCTCAAGATTATGTGCTGGGTAATGTTTCATGTTTTTTGGATAATTAAGATAGACATTTCATGTTTTTGGATAACTAAGATTAATTCAGTCCTAACCATTAACATGGCTGTGAGTTCTTGTTCTTTACTTGATTGACTTGACTGTGAAGAATATGTTACTATTTTACATTCTAATAATACAATCACATTTTTAAATCACTCAGGTGACCAGGGAGATACTATAAACCTACCAGGCCAACCAGGCATCAAGGGAAATATAGGTGTAGCAGGTTCAACGGGTAAGTGACCTATCATTGCTGTAATGGTGAATAACATTGCATACATTTACACAACGGCATGTATTGTAGCTGGTATATTCTAAGTTAATAATCCCTCCAAAAAAACAAAACAATAATAAATTAGTCATTTTCAATCTACGACTGTTTGTGGGACATTGCTGTGCGCAATTGGCTGCCCCGTTCGCCCACAAATATACAGTCAATTCACTTTACAGTGTTTTCTGTGAAGCGCTTTGGGACGTCCTCCCGACGTGAAAAGTGCTATATCAAATGCAAGGATTATTATTATTATTATTATGGAGTCCTGTAGCTCAGTGGTTAGAGCACTCGCTTTGCAAGTGAGAGACCTGAGTTCAATTCCAGGCAGGGCGAAACCTTGGGCAAGTTTCCTTACTCCACACAGAGCCTAATAATAATCCCTCCAAAACAAAACAATAATAAATTGGTCATTTTCAATCCACGACTGTTTGTGGGACATTGCTGTGCGCAATTAGCTGCCGCATTCGCCCACAAATATACAGTCAATTCACTTTACAGTATATTCTGTGAAGCGCTTTGGGACGTCCTCCCGACGTGAAAAGCGCTATATCAAATGCAAGGATTATTATTATTATTATTATTATTATTATTATATTACAGGTGAACCAGGCCTTACAGGATTGCCAGGTCAGGGTGGATTTCCAGGTTCTCCAGGCATTGAGGGTTTGAAAGGGTTTCCAGGTTTTCATGGTTCCCCAGGTCAACAAGGTGAGATACCACTGCATGACTTAGCATGTAAGTGTTTCCACTGCAAAGTATTAGACATGAGTAACTCAGCCTTCCTTCTCTTCTTGTGTAGGCTCCCCTGGGTTTCCTGGGCCACCAGGTGACAAAGGGCAGTTTGGCTCTATCGGTTCTGCTGGTCAATTTGGACATCCAGGATTTATAGGATATCGAGGGGACAAAGGTATTTGTTTCCTGAAGAATGATAAATAGCAGGTTTATTACAAATAACTCAAGGAACACAGAAGACAAAAAACATACAATAATTTGGAAGACATCCAGATGACTTAATTGAAAATGGTACTTTTTACATAAAAAAGGTTGAGGATTAAAAAAAGCTAATACAGTAACCCACCAAAATTCAACACTGCCAGGATATTAAATTAATTCAGTGAATTAACTAAATTGCAGGTGAATTCCATTTTACTCAAATATTCTTTCTCAGAGGTATTACAGCAACAACTTTATGGCCTAGAAACATTTTTTTTAGTTGTTTTAATTGCTGCGCCAGATCTTCACATTGATTGCTCATAGAGATTCTTTATCTTACACTGATCAAATGATACTCAGAGAGATGGAACACAAAACATTTTTGCTTCCTATTATTATTAACAACCACTATTACAAAGTGATGGGGAAGTAAATATTGAAAAAAGTATGGTTAAGAAATATTATTCACATATTTACGGTTTTATTGCAACAATTTCTTATTACCCTGAATGATTATATTTCTGAACTATTATATTTGTGGGTAGAAATTTCACCTGAGCCCAGATTTACTCTATTACTGTAGCACTTCTGGAAATCCAGAATTTGATAAATTCTTAAATATATTCTTTAGTTTTGAAGCATGTTTTTTGTAAGTTCTTTAGAGTTAAAACTCAATTCAACAATTTACCAACTTCTGAACCCTCTGAAATGCTATGTTAATAGAGCAAATCTAGACCGGGGTGGAATTTCTATCCATTAAACTAATGTGGAACTTTTAGCAGTCAATACAGAACTTCCACTACAGTTCAACAACCTGATGTTGCATTTGTTTTAATCCTTACATGTTTATTATTAAGCATTGCAATGGGAATGCATGGATATTCATTATTATGTTAATTTTTTTAAACATTTCAATAGGTGTCATAGGTTCTGATGGTCTGGCGGGTTTAGATGGTTTGAAAGGACTCAAGGGTCTCCCAGGAGCACCAGGTATTATTACCAGAAATTATTCTCTATGAAGAAATTTGAAAAATAGAAAATGCTTCATGAATTCAGACAGCTGTGAGAATGTTTTAAATCATGCTTTCTTTCATTGCTAATGAAAAATGTAGGTTGTGTACTGTTAGAATACAAATTTGATTCAGCCTGAATTAATAAGTTTCTTCCTGCTTCATTTAACATTCATGGAAAAATAAGTAGGGAAATGCTAGAATTCTGATGGCAAACATTTAAATGGTCATACATAATGCTCACATGTCTACCTAGTCTACATGTCTAGGTGTCAGGTTCGACCTCCAATTATCCTTCCTCCCCCACATCCAGTCCCTCACCAGCACCGCTTTCTTCCACCTCCAACGCATCACCCGTGTCCGCCAATACCTCACTCCAAAAGCCGCTGTAACCCTGGTCCATGCCTTTGTCAACTCTCGGATGGACTATTCAAACGCCTTCCTCACCGGTCTCCCCTCCACTACCATCCATAAAATCCAGATTATTCAAAACTCTGCCTCCCAGATTCTCACCCGCACCAAACTCCACTCCCCGATTATCCCAGTCCTTGCCAGACTGCAATGGCTCCCTGTCCCAGAGAGATTCGATTTCAAGATCCTCACCTTTGTTTTCAAATCCCTCCACTGCTCCACACCCCCTACCTCTCTGACCTCCTCAGTGCCTGTTGCCTTTGTTCCTCTGGGTCTGGCCTCCTTCTTGTCCCCCGTGTCCTCCGCTCCACCCTCGGCAGCCGTGCCTTCAGCCACTATACCCTGAGGCTCTGGAACTCCCTTCCTCACTCCCTCCGCCTCGCCCCCTCTCTTCCTACTTTCAGGTCTCTGTTGAAGACCTTTCTTTTCGACCACGCCTTTGGTCACCTTCCTCCCCCTCGCTCGGCCCCGGGATCCTTTACTGTGAAGCCCTCTGAGTGGCCATCCAGTGTGGAGGGCGCTATATAAATCCAAGTTGTTATTGTTGAAGTTGTTGTCCATCCCCACTGCAGAAAGTGCCTTGCCTTACAAGCGCACTTTATTTCACAGCTCCCTTTCATCAGCAACGTTTGACCCTAAAATTTGCAAGTATTGTAAAAGTGTTATTCCATTGCAACCTAATGTTTCCACACAAAACCACTTCCACTTTACAGAAAGGGTCATTGGATAGCAATCAGGAATAGAAACCAACTCAATTTTCCACTTGTCAAGGCACAAGTGACAATTACAGCAATCCAGGTCCTTCTTTCGTTTAAAGTAGCCACAACAACAACTTGCCTTTATATAGAACCCTTCACGAAGGGTAGCGTCCCAGAGTACTTACTAGCAAATCACTGCATCCTTCTGAACTGTATAGTTTAATGCTACCTGAGCTAATGCCTTTTACGGACAGGCCATTGAGGCTCCCTAATCTGAACTCAGCTGTTTGGTGAGAATGTCTAAGTATGAAAAATCTAATTCATATTCATATCAAACTATACATGTTTGTTATTGCTGCCATGGAGTTGAAAATGCAGTTAATGAAGTTAAAACTAATTTAGCATTTTCATTGTTAGGAATACCTGGAGAAGGCCCCCCGGGGCAAACAGGTCCACCAGGCGAGAAGGGTGAAGTTGGTATTTCAAGCACTCAAACAGGTTTCCCAGGTGTAACAGGGGAACCTGGGTCTAGAGGAGACTTTGGTAAGTGTTATCTACATCACAATACTGCTTAAGGAAACATAGGAACTGGAGGAAGAGTCAGTTAATCAAATACTTGATTATTAGATCATGACAGAACTTTCTGCTTAATGCTTGCGATTGAGCAATTTATTCTGCAGACATTATTGATTAGTAAGAAAAATCATCTAAAATTTTAATGGAATATTAATTATAAAGATTTAGTTATACAAAGACACAGTGCCACTTGGTTTTAATTTTCAACTCAGTTCTCCAAAATTCTAATGCAAGTTATAATTTATATGTAAACTATTAGAAGTTTGTCTGCACCACTGCAACATGAAGAATCTCCTCCAGGCATTGTAACCAGGGAGGAGGATGTGATATAAATTTAGATCAGAGGGAGACAGAAACATAATACATAATCAATCCACCTCTCCCCCAAGTACTTGGCACGATTCAAAAAGAGAACAGAATGGAATCAGGCAGAAATCAAGAAATATTGTCAAGGCTTTTGGATCTTTTGTTTTCTTACCTTTGCCAGCTTCATCATAATTCTTATCGATTTTAGCCCTTTTAGTGATTTCATTAGCTTGATTTCATCTTTGGTCAGGTTTTGCAGGCTATTGAGCTGGATTCCTAGGTTGCATACAGTATATTAATCCTCTTGTGAATTTGACTTGAAGGCAAAGGTACTGCGTCATCTATGTGATGTTATGAGTGCCACTAACATTCCTCTTCTTGTTGGCTCTTTGTGCTTTGTATGAGAACGCTTAAAACGGTAATCAGTAGCTGTATTGACTGGCCTTCCAGCAGTAAGCTGTTCAGGTACTTAGTGAGCATAAGATGCTTTAGATGGAATTTGGGACATTTCACAAAGATTTGATGTGATGTGATGATTCTTGAGCCGAATCTAGTATGAAATGTTCCTTATTTACATCCATTTCCTTAAGACTAACTGGAATTACACCATCTCCCTTAATTTCTGCACAATGATTTGCTCTAATTTGCGATTTGAAAAAAACATTGCTCTAGCTTGGCTATCGGGAAGGGGGAGTTGGAATGTGTTTAAATCCTGGAAGCAGTACAGTATTGTATTAATCTGTATTGTTTATGACAGGTGAGAAAGGTCAACCTGGTAATTCAGGACCACCTGGTTCACCAGGCCCCTTGATACCTTCAGACAAACCAGGAAAATCAGGTGAACTGGGTGTACCAGGAGAAGATGGTCTACAAGGTAAATATTTTGTTTTTCTTTAAAATAAGTTTAATAATAATAATCCTTACATTTGATGTAGCATCTTTCAGTGAGTGAGAGCTTCACAGGATATACTGTAAAGTGCAGTAACTGTTTTGTGGGTGACACAACATCCAATTTGCACAAAGCAGTGTCTCACAAATAGCCACAAAGTGAATGGACAATTTTATTTTGAAGATTGTTGGGCAAGACGCCTGAAGCAACTACCTTCTCTTTTTGAACAGTGTCGTGGAATCTTTAACATTCACTTGAACAGGCAGATGGGGCCTTAGTTATATTGGGAATCATCAATGAAAACTTTACTGGCATTATTTGTAGTCTTTACATTCGGACATTTGTTGTTTAATGGATAAAGTTTGGAGTCCCGTAATAAGAATAATAATAATCCTTGCATTTGATATAGCGCTTTTCACGTCAGGAGGACGTCCCAAAGCGCTTCACAGAACACACTGTAAAGTGAATTGACTGTACATTTGTGGGCGAATGCGGCAGCCAATTGTGCACAGCAATGTCCCTCAAACAGTCGTAGATTGAAAATTACCAATTTATTATTGTTTTTGGTTTTGGAGGGATTATTATTAGGCGTGTAGAGTAAGGAAACTTGCCCAAGGTTTCGCCCTGACCTGCCTGGAATTGAACTCAGGTCTCTCGCTTGCAAAGCGAGTGCTCTAACCACTGAGCTACAGGACTCCACCGCAGCTCAGTGGTTGGAGCACTCGCCTCACAAACAAGAGGACCTGGGTTTGAGTCCCAGGCATGGCGAAACGTTGGCCAAGTTTTCTTACTCCACACGCCTCTGTTTACCTAGCAGTAAGTAGGAATCTGATTGTTAGACCATTGGCTTCTCTGGAGGTAATAATCAAAAATAAATAAATTAGTAATAATAATTTGGTCACTCAATCCACTGTTTGTGGGACGCTGCTGTGTGCAATTGGCAGCTGCGTTTCGCCTACATGTACAGTCAATTTCACTGTACAGTATATTCTGTGAAGCGCTTTGAGACATCTGAAAGACTTGATAAGGCGCTATATCAAATGCAAGGATTATTATTATATATTATTTAAATATATATTGTATATACAGTGTGAAAAAATCTTCTTGAATTATTCTATAGGTTATCCAGGCCCAAGAGGCCTGCGTGGTAAAGCAGCTGTTCCTGGCAAGAAGGGTGAAAAAGGAAATCCAGGCATTTCTGCCTTTTCAGGACCACAGGGCATGAGTGGAAATAATGGAGCTCCCGGTTCTCAAGGAATTGACGGTATTCCAGGGAGAAAAGGTAAATCCATTCATAAATGTTAGTAAATAATTGTTTGCTTGAAAGTTGCCATAAATTAAAGGTAAGTTTAGCAAAGAGTAGGAAACGGAAAATATAAAGGTGAGATGGCGCTCATGAAAAAAGGAAACTGATTTTTAATCGGGGTAGGGTGGGGAGGGGAGGCAGAATGTTAAGCACGATATTTAAGGACATGTTTCAACTTCATTTTCTGTCAAAGTGGTAATTATCACTTGACATCACTCCAGTGATTTGCATAATTTTTTCTTCAGAAATAGTTTCAGTTGCAGAGAATTTGAATCCCATGATACTGTTACAGATTTACTGACAATACAGTAAAACTGGATGGCTTTGTTAAGTCAAACAGATGATATCCCTCAAAATTCAGAACAGTTGGACTGAATGGCCTGTTTCCGTGCTGTACAAACTATACAAATCTACGTAAATATTGAAAATCACGGGATACAAAGATTTTTGAGAGCGTCAATGCCCTCATATGTTTAATATCTTTTTACAATGCAATATAGCTCATAAGAGATCATTTACTTAAGTCCCAGTTAGGAATTTGCTAATATGACTATGCTAGAAATTTTAAACAGCTGCAGCGTGCAGAAGCATGAATGTGTGTGCTGAATGACTTCCTAGAGACACTGCTATACAATTAGACAGTGTATCTATTTAACGTTAACTGGCACCTAACAAAGAGGTCATCCTGGATACAAGTAAACTTAGACTGATTTGAAGCATTAAATGAAGCAATAGATTTTAAATCATGTAGGACTTCAGTGTGGTAGAAGAGGCAAAGGCGTGAGTTGAATTGGAGAAGGGATTTTATACTGAGCAGCAGAAATCACTTGCTTTTTTGGGGACGTGGAACAGTCTTTGAATGTTCTGATTAGGTGCATAAGTTAGATATAGCAACAACAACAACTTGGGTTTATATAGCAACTTTCACATAGCATAAGGTCTCGGTGCGCTTCACTATAATGGAGTCAGGCTGTAGCACTGAAAAGCCCGAAAGAAGCATTATTTTATCTTGTTCTCAATTTACTTGTAATTGATTTATTTTTGCCAGGTCAAAAGGGTGATCAAGGCATGATGGGTTACCCTGGACGATCTGGACCACCGGGTAACACTGGCCCTAGTGGGCCGAAGGGTATAACTGGATTACCTGGTGAGCACTATTTCCTTTTCATGTTTTGTCTACTTTGTTTGCTAAATACTAGTCTAGACTGCATTTGATTTACTGCAGGAAAATGATTCATTTATAGATTAGGCATTTCATTTAACTATATCATGTAGCCAGGAATACAGTATATTTTGAAGAAACTACAGAAATCTTTTCCTTCATATTGCATTAATAGCTGTGGACGATTACATTGTTGTAACACTTCTCTGAGTAGGTGCGGCTCACTTAATTGCCCTGGGTGGGTTCCTATATCATTAAGCACACCTTGAAAGATGTAGAATGAGAGATTACCATTGAAAACAATTTTGAATCCAGGCAAGAAATAGCTGACCACAATAGGGTAGGACATCAATCTGCAGGACAGCTCTGCTTTGGGGTAAACTTATTTAGAGCACAAAACTCTCAACATTTACACCAGAGAGCAATTGAAATATCACAGATAAGATCTTTTGAAAATCTTTGTTCATGAATTAAAGCTACCAAATGATCAGAAGAAAGCATGAAATGAAGAAAGGCTACTCACTCTATCTATCGAGTCCATCGCTGTGGCAGACTTTACAAAACCTCCTCAATCCTCTATTTGACTCGCTCTACCTCCTGTGGGACGATTCTACATAAAATACTCCCTAATTCTCATTGGGTATCAAGAAGAACTTGCATTTCATCATTTCTACGTTTCACCAATCAATCTCAATTTACCTCCCTTTACAGATAACATTCCCTACATTCTATTCCTGCTTGCTTCCATCCATCTCCGAATTCGCCTACAAAATGCACAGTCACTATGAAGCTATTTAAGACATTCTCCTGACATGAGAGGCACTATAATGCAAGGATTATTGTTATTAAGAAAATCCTTTTGATCTATATTCTCATTTGAAGCTTTTAATTTTAAATCCATGACTTTTAGTTCTCTAGACACTGTCCTGCCCATACCCAGTTCCAATGGGTCGGAGCCAAGTTCATACCAAGTCAGCATAATGTACATGAGATTCCCTGGAGAAGGCACTATTTATGTCCCATGATGCTTTTTTCTGGGATGGGAGGTATGGGACGATGATTATACTGCTGTTTTCCTGGCAAGTGCTTTATCAACAGCTCTTCAAGGCTTTCCCCTTAAGCTAGAGTTCTAGCTCCCATATATAGTTTTGTTGCTTTTCTCTGACCCTCATCCAAAACATTAATGTCTTTTTGAAGGCTGAGAGTCCAGAATTGAACACAGTAATAATAATAATCCTTGCATTTGACATAACGCCTTCTCACGTCTTCGAGACATCTCAAAGCACTTCACAGAATACACTGTAAAACGAGTTGACTGTATATTTTGTGGGTGAAATGTGTATTCCAAATGTGGCCTTAATGGTGCTTTACACAAAGGCATGATGATTTCTTGTAACTTGAATCCAAAGTGCTTTGAAAAATAACTTAGTAATTATTAGCTTGCTGATAATTATATTGTTTGTCAGGCTGGCTGTGGTAGCACTCATGTCTCTTAGTCAGAAAGTTGTGGGTTCAAGCCCCATGTTGAAACTTGGAATCACATAGTCTAAGTTGGCACTCCAAAGAGGCAGGGGAGGGGGGTGGGAGGGTTGCATTGTTGGAGCTCCCGTTCTTCGGATGAGATGTTAAACCACAGTCCCATCTGCCTGTTCAGGTCCCATGCCACTGTTCAAAAAGAGAAGGGAGTTTTTGCCATTGTCCTGGCCAACAATCCCCCAAATAAAATTGGTCACTCACTCATGGCTGTCTGTGGGACATTTATATGCACAACTGGCTGCTGCGTCTTGACCACAAAAATACACTGTCAATCCACTGTACAGTATTCCCTGTAAAGGGCTTTGAGACGTCTCAATGATGTGATAAGGCGCCATATCAAATGCAAGGATCATTACTATTATTACATTGGAAACTTTCAGTGAATGAACAATAATCACATCAAATCCTTTGATTTTTCTCCATCTATTAGTGAATTTATGTGAACATTGTATAACATTGTGAAGTTATGTTTACAGTTTCCTGTTTTAATATGAATTACCTTTCCAGTTATTTAAGTTAATCTTTGACCAAGGGAAATTCAGCCCTGCCTGTAATCAGAGGCAAAATGGACTTTTCATGCAATGACTACAAGTGGAATGTTAAACAGTAACATTTCTTACTTTGCTTATTCTGTTTCTAATTTGAATGGATTGCAGGGATACAAGGAATTGCAGGGATACCAGGACCGGTTCCTATACCAGGATTCATCCGAAAACCTCTCGGTCCTCCTGGTCTGCCTGGATTGCAAGGAAGCCCTGGTGTTGGAGGTGATATAGGCCCTAAGGGATTTCCTGGCGATCCAGGTAAGAGGGAAATTACTTTATGAATATCGGCAGGATTTTGAAGGGCAGACCAGTCACTGGGGGTAGAGAATCCTCCCATGCAGATCTATAGCTCAGTGGTTAGAGAACTCATCTTGCAAGCAAGAGACCTGGATTCGATTCCCGACAGTGCGAAATGTTGGGCAAGTTTTCTTACTCCACACACCTCTGTTCACCTAGCAGTAAGTAGGAACCCGGTTGTTAGTCCATTGGCGGATCACTTTTCCAGGGGTAATAATTCCTTCAAAAAAATAATAAATTGGTCACTTCAATCACGACTGTTTATGGGATACTGCGCAATTGGCTGCCGCGTTTTGCCCACAAATATACAGTAAATTCACGTTACAGTTTATTTTGTGAAGCAATTTGAGACGTCTCGAAGACGTGATAAGGCGCTATATCAAAGGCAAGGATTATTATTATTATTATTATTATGCACCTGTTAACGCTTCCATGACCAGGACCTCTTTTTCACCTCTGTCACATTGCCCACCTCTATCCGTACATCACAACCAATGCAGCCAAAATCCTTGTCCATGCCTTCGTCATTTCCCAACTGGATATTCCAATGCCCTCCTCGCTGGTCTCCCCAGCTCCACCATACACAAAATTCAATTTATATAAAACTCCTTTGCCTGGATACTCACCCGCCCAAAACTGTACCCGCATCACACCAGTCCTTGCCAAGCTTCACTGGATCTGAATTGCCAAATGGATTGATTTCAAGAACCTCTCACTCGTTTTCAAATCCCTTCATGCCCTCGCACCTCCCTACCTATCCGATCTGCTTAACCCACACTCCACACTCGCTGCCTCACTCAGTTGGCTCTGGTCTCCTGTTTGTCCCTCATCCGCTCCGCTCCACCTTCGGTGGTCATGCCTTCAGCCACTACGTTCCGAAACTCTGGAACTCTCTCCCTCAATCCCTCCTCACTTTCAAATTCCGCCTAAACTCTTCCTCTTTGATTGTGCTTACGATCACCTCCCCACTCCCTCTCCCCCTTGCTCAGTGTCAGACTCTGCCACTGTCAAGCGCTCTGGGACGCTACCCCCATGGGAAGCTTACCAAACAGTTGTATCAATGGCAAGCTATGTGGTTTTAGCTGTTTAGTCTCCAGCAGTACCCCAACAAACACTTTGGTGGCCCCAAGCCTTGGTTCCTGACAACCTGAACCTAATATTTTCTGGAATCAGGTTAACAGGATGCGTCTCTCCAGGGAGAAAGTATGCATTCCATTCCAACAATCTATCTCTGGAATTTCCACACGTAAATGGGATGCATGGAATTCTCAGCTTAGTTTGGATATTCGTAAGCATGATGACGGGTTTCTGCATTTGTCAGACATCTGGCTGACCAAACAAAACCTTGTGATTTTTCTTTTTACGTTTCTTAGCGCATAATTATCAGTTGTCCTGGAGTGCCAGATACGCTGTACTTTCCAAAAATCCTTATTCTGTTTTTCTTCATGTGAACGTAATTCTCGCTTTCTCTCACTCTATAACAAAGGAATGTTGTTTGGAGACAGGATTATCCCAACCAACATCTATGTGTGCACAGTATCCTTAATACCTGTATTTATCTCTGATCTTCAGGCTCAATTGGTCCACAAGGACAACAAGGGACTCCTGGCCGCAGTGGTGCTCATGGGTTGACAGGTGCTAGAGGTGATCCAGGTCTAATGGGTCAGCAAGGTACACTGGGATACGAAGGTAAGTTGTCATCAGCTGTTACAAACAAGCTTTAAAATATTAATACAAATTGTAAAAATATGTAGTCTCTTAGTTGGAGTCAATGTTTTCTCTGCTGCTCATATAGATGCAACCCTTGAAACTGCACTTGGAATGTAATTCTGATCTTCTGATTTAGGCTGATCTAGGCGCTGACCGCATCAGCATCCAAGGCTGCACTCTCCACCTCTCAAAGCCAGTCAGAACCTCGGGGTTCTGTTCGACCCTGAGCTGTCCTTTCTCCCCCATATCCGTGCCACAACTGGCACCGCCTTCCACCACCTCCGGAATGTCGCCAGACTACGGGACTACCTCACCCCTCACGCTGCTGAAACTCTGGTCCACGCCTTTATCACCTCAAGGCTGGACTATGGGAACTCTCTCCTCGCCGGCCTTCCCGGCACCTCCCTCCACAAGCTGCAGGTCATTCAGAACTCTGCAGCTCGTGTACTGTCCCGCACCAGGCTTCGGGACCACATCACTCCCACCCTCGCTCACCTCCACTGGCTCCCCATCCCCCAGAGGATCGAATTCAAGATCCTCACCCTCACCTACAAGGCCATTCACGGCCTTGCTCCCTCCTACCTCTCCGACCTACTATCCCCCTACCTACCCGCCCGTACCCTCCGTTCCTCTGGCTCCGGCCTGCTCCACATCCCCCGCCCCAACCGCCCTACCATCGGTGGCCGGGCCTCTCAGCCCCTAGGCTCTGGAACTCTATCCTCCAGTGCCTTCGCCTTGCCTCCTCCCTTTCCTCCTTCAAGGCCATTCTCAAGACCTTTCTCTTTGACCGTGCCTTCAGCTCCCCTCTCGACTCTCTACCCCCTCCTCGCTCCCTCCCTTCCCTCCCCTCACCCTGACCATTTCCCCCCTGCTCGGGTCCTGTCCCAACTGTACAGCGCCTTGGGACGTCCTCCCGACGTGAAAGGCGCTCAATAAATGGAATCTTGTTGTTGTTGTTGTTGTAGGCTCATGTCCCAAACTTTAACTTAATGTCCAGACCCTGATTGACCTGATATATTTTGCCAACATTGTCTATTTTTAAAATAAAATGACTACCTTAAAATTGTCTCCTCTATTTTTTTTAGGTGAGCCTGGGAGATCAGGTTCTCAAGGTATGCCAGGAATGCCAGGCCGAAGTGTTAGTGTTGGCTACCTTCTAGTAAAGCACAGTCAGTCAGAACAAGTGCCTCCTTGCCCACTTGGCATGAACATGGTTTGGGATGGATTCAGCATGTTATATGTGGAGGGACAGGAAAAGTCTCATAACCAGGATTTGGGTATGTTTGGAAAGCTAGTGTGATCCATTCGTTTTTACATCAAAACTAACAGAACAAACTCCAGATATTCTCATTACTGAATCAAAATCTACTCTACCTCATTATATTGAATTTGGCATTCAAGTCTAAGCTCATCGTTAGGTCAATAGAAAAATGCAGCCGCAATTTTTCCTCAGAACCCGCTACAAATCCTCCCCCCACTCCCCCGCTACAAACAATCCTCCGCTACAAATACCCCCTCCCTGCTAAAACAGCCCCTCTCCGCTGCAAACGCACGTCTCCGCTACAAACACCCATCTTCACTACAAGCATCCCTCTCCACTACAAGCACCCATCTATGCTACAAAGCTGTAAGCACGGTGAGCTTGGGCCCCTGGGCCTCTCGCACTGCTGCCATCTGTTTACTTGATGCTACAGTGGCCAGAGAGGCTCTGGGCACACATGCACAGTGAGGCACGAGCGGGAAATGGGCTGCACTCACCCCGAAGCCCTGGCTGTTGTGACTGTCTGTATCTCTCTCCTCTGTATGTATGTGTGAGTGTCTCTCTCTGTCTGTATGTGTGCGCGTGTCTCTGAGTGTATCTCTGTTTGTGAGTGAGCGCATGTCTCTCTGGATGTTAGAGTGTCTGTCTATGAGTGTATGTCTCTCTCTGTATCTTTGAGTGTGTGTCTATCTGTGTCTGTGAGTGTCCCTGGGCCTGTGAGTATGTGTGTGTCTCTCTGTATCTGTGAGTGTTCATCTCACTGTGAGTGTTTGTTTGTGTGTATGTGTGCCTCTCTCTGTCTGTGAGTGACTGCATGTCTCTCTGGGTCTATGAGTGTGTGTATCCCTCTCTATCTGTGAGTACAGCTTCAGGCAGGAGTAGCCTATCCAGCCAACTTCTCCAAATACTCCTGTGACACATCTATCTCATCCGAAACTTTCTCAAGTTAATGTGAATACCACCGCCCTTGCTGCTCTTCTGTTTCTCCTTTTCTGTGATGCTTGCGATCCATCAACAACCCGAATTTATATAGTGCCCTTCACGCACGCGATGTCTCAGCGTGCTTAAACATCTTATGGATGTGTAAATAATTTGACCCTTTCCTTATATTCCGTATACATTGATATTGAGGCTTAAAACATAAAACATAAAAATTATGTTGAATGTCATAATGAGAATTCCTATTAGTGGCCAACATAACCACAATTGATGCACATAACATTCAATGCAATTTTCACCCACACGTGTCTAACTTGTTCTTATGGAAAGAACTCATTTGTAATAGATGATGACAGACACTGCAAAAAAGAGTGGTAGGAAACATCAGGGTTAATATATGTGTGATGTAACACAAGTGTATTGTTTCTAAAAAAAATGACTCTTTACTGTTATGTTTCCTTTAGGCCTGGCTGGCTCCTGTTTGCCACGGTTCAGCACAATGCCATTCGTGTATTGTAACATCAACGAAGTTTGTTACTTTGCAAGCAGAAATGATAAATCCTTCTGGTTGTCTACAAATGCCCCCATTCCGATGATGCCTGTGGCTGATGATGATATCAAGCCGTACATCAGCCGATGCTCAGTATGTGAAGCACCTTCCCTTGCTGTTGCTGTCCACAGTCAGGATATAACCATCCCACAATGCCCCAATGGTTGGCGCGGTCTATGGATTGGCTACTCTTTCCTAATGGTAATGCTTTAAATCATTTTATTATAGAGTTATGTAGAGTGACTTTATAAATCTTTTGCAATCTTTCTGCTTCCATGCGCAGTTACTTCTTGTTTGTATGTTTGTATAAGAGAGTGCGCATTCCATTCCAAACACAGGGAAATTTCCATACATAGGAGCACACATGTGTGGAACTCTTACTCTTGCTTGGGTACTCTTAAGCATGGTGAAGAGTTTTCACATGTGTCAGATATCTGGTTGATTAAAGATAAAATTGGTCCTAGCGTACAAAACAATTCTTGGTGAAAGAGAACACTAAATTTCAAGAGAAGGTTAATTAATTTAGAATCTTTGTTATTGGTACTACAGTTTACATTTATATAGCATCTTCACGTCAGGAGGACATCTCAAAGCAATTCATACAGAATTTGTTCAAACCTAGAATTTGACTGAACAAACAGCAATGACAATGTTTACAAATCAAAAATGTAATTTTCTTTGATTCTGGCTGCATAACATTTAACAAAAGTTATCAATATTTATTGAGCCAAAGGTTACTTATCCAGTGTATTTGCTGCTATCTGTATTGACTGTATTGCTAATTTGTAGAAACTGATTTGGAGTCTTATGTGCATGGCACCAATGTTCTTGTTTGTTTCTGCAGCACACATCAGCAGGCAATGAAGGTGGTGGACAGTCACTGGTCTCTCCTGGCAGCTGTCTGGAAGATTTTCGTGCAACACCATTTGTCGAATGCAATGGGGCTCGTGGTTCATGTCACTACTTTGCCAATAAGTACAGCTTCTGGCTTTCCACAGTGGATCCTAACCAGCAGTTTGAGACTGAACCTATACCAGACACTCTGAAAGCTGGACAGCTTCTAACTCGAGTAGGGCGATGTCAAGTGTGTATGAAGAATTTATAAGAAGCCCCAAAGCAGCCTTACAGCCCATCTTTCTGATGTTACAATTTTGAGACCAAAAAAAACCCAGAAGTATTTAAACAAAAGAAAAAAATGTTTGCTTTGATTAAATGGTGCTATGTTCAAATTTGTTACCTCAAAACACAGAAAACAATCTGACGACGATCCAAGTAATATATCCATCTACTTGCTTTAGGTTCAGCATTCCACTTAGCTGTATTAATGCACTCAGTTTTCCGCTTTCTTTTTCATGCCAAAAGTAACCTCATTGAAGCAGAGATTACTAATGCTAATACAGTAAAACATGGTACCATTTTCAGGAAAAGCAAAATATGAATTTCATGACTACTAAAACCACTTCAGTTTTAATTATTATATCCAGTAGTTCATATATATATATTAAACATTTGGATGATTTTGGAGAGCAAATGTTTTAGGCCTGCGATAAACCATGACGTTTTACATCAATTTCAAGGCCTTTGAAATTCAATGTGTACAAGTCAAATGAAGATGCGATGGGAATGTTGGGGAATTGAATTTCAAATACACCATTGTACCACAAAACAGTAAGATAAGCATTTAGCATTAATAATATATATTCATTGAAAAATGCACATAAATCCGTAAATGTTATAATTACTAAAAGAAGACTTATGTATATGGAATGCATCATTTACCATTGATTTTAAGCAACAATCCTGGATTTGCATAGCAGCAGGTTGGCACTGATAGTAACTCGACTTTCATGTTTTCTGCATGTGAAAGTAACCAAAAGTCTCACAAAAGGCAATCCTCTCTAGATGTATTTCTTCTGCCATTATCTACATTAGAAATTGGCTGACAGATCAGCACTTCCACTAATGTGCCACCATTAGCCTCTCCAGTCTATTTCCCTGAACTTTGCTGGTGGCTAAACCATTGCTACCAGTACTAGGGGAAAGGATGAAATCTGCCACAAACAGGTAGTGGCAGGCTTTTTAAAAAAATGATTGTCTAGCAGTAGTGCTGGTGTCTACTATGTGCACCCTTCCAACCAGAGTGAATTGTTAAGCTATAATGTTATTAAGGATTCAAATGGTTTGTGACTAGTTGAATCGAGAGATTCTAATCAAGCTTAGAAATCACTCCATTGCAATTGCTATATTTTTATAATAAATAAAGGACAATTTAGAAAACATAATTTAGTTTGAATTTGTGGCAAAAATACAATTTCAGTCAGTTCTGGGGTTAGGCATTAAGGTCAATGGCTAAAAATGGTGCAGCGAGACTTTCACAGGCTGGTGTTGGGCTTGCTGTGCTTTTATTACTGTAGGTATGTAAAGAAATGTTTTGCATTACATTGCAGGGGAATTCTACCAGGCTTATATGTGATATTCTGTCAAATGTCAAACTTCGGAATTGTACAAAGACCACCCCTCACAATCTCTTGAGACTTTAAAAATAGTAATACACTGTAGTCATAGTATCTCCTTTGCAGACACCTTGCAATTTATACATTAATACTGCGCTTACTCTGTTGCTTTGATGGTTTATTTTTTACACAGCATTTTAATATATCATGACATTATTTCATTGAATGTTTGACACTTGACTCGTAGTTAATTTGGCAATAGGCAACATTGGATTATACTGGTAGTCAGAATTAATAAGTAAACAAAGGTGCTTTATTGCTTTTCAGCCACTCTAGTTGTGGAACAAGATGGAACTTGAATCATTAAGTTATGTATTGCGTTATTGCACTACCAGTCCACAGTGTTGGTACATCATAGGTGGAACCAAATGGACCATTAAACTGAAAAGATGAAATTCTTAAAAAAAAACAGAAACCAAATTTGATAGAGTAGTAATCATGTGTACATAACATCCCTTTTATATGTATTGTATGAGGAGTAAAAGCTTTTCATTTGATGTAATTATCCAAATTAAAACTTATTTACCATTCTGTTATGGTTTTAATATGGTTTCCTCTTTTTCTTATTTATTTTTTATACTTCTGCATATTATGTGATGCTTATTTGTTGGATTGGGAGTTCCAAGATCCAGAGTTCTGTTCGTTTTTGGTGATCATGAGAAACTGCAAAATATTCACCCATGACAATCACCAAAGAACAGATTTCTGCTAGAAAATAAAACTCAGGATACTGTGTATAGTTTGGGACATGACATGTCAAAGAACTGCCAGGATGGTGGAAGGCAAACTAGATGGACTCTGGTCTTCTTTCGCAAATTCTTATATTCTTATCAAACATTCTAGAGTGTGAATTATGATAGCGTACTCAAACCAAACATTATGAACAGTTTGGAGCATCTGTATTGATGATAGTTCAGCCATACACTAATCCTATTCCTCTGCCTGTATACTTTTATACAACTTTACTATTTTTCTCTCATGCATTTATCCAATTCCTTTTAAATTGCTGGAAATGGATTCCAATTCATCAGTAATTTGTGGTGATAACTGTAAAACAATTCCTTTTAACATCCCAGTCTAATGAGTGCAAACTTTAATGTAAATAAATCTCAGGGCTGGATAAATTGCATCTGAGGATCCTTAAGGAGCTAAGGGAGGAAGTCACAGAAATACTGGCACAAATCTTTCAGAAATCAGAGAGGTACTGAAATGGAAAAAAGCAGGTGTTACTTCTATTTTTAAGAAAGGTAACAAAAGTGATCCAGGAAACTACAGACCAGTAAGTTTGAAGTCCATTTGGGTAAAATTATGGAGACTTATTAAAGATAAAATCACAGAGCACCTAGACAGACATAAAATCATAAACAATAGCCAATGTGGTTCAAGAAGGGAAGGTCTTGCCAATTTTAATGTACTGGTTTTCTTTGACAGTAGACAAGGATGTTTGATAAAGGTAAAGCTGTGGATGTTGTATATCTGGATTTTAGTAAGGCCTTTGATACAGTTCCTCTTGAGAGGCTGGTACTGAAATTAAAGAAAGTTGGAATCAGTGCAAGCATATTATAGATATGTAACTGGTTGACCAGAAGAACCCATAGGGTGGTGGTACAGGGAATGTTATCAAACTGGGAAAATGTTAACCAGTGGAGTTCCACAAAGATCTGTTTTTCAACTTCTTTTGTTTAATATTGTTGTGAAATGAGGAGTCGCAAGCACAGTGGCTAAGTTTGCACTTAATGAAGGTGGTAGATTGCAAAGCTGAACAAAATAGGTTACAGGAGAATTTGAATAGACTTGGGAATTAGGCAGATCTGTGGCAGATGAAATTCAATATGGAGAAATGTAAAGTACTTCACATGGGCACAAAAATCCAGCAAGGGACATTTCCTTCCATTCAAATGGAAGGAAAATACATATGGAAAATGAAAAGGACCTGGGGATCCTAATTGACAATAAACTGAAGCTATCACAACAATTCTCTGTGGCAGGGAGTAAAGGAAACCAGATCTTGGGATGTATCAATAGATCAATAGCAAGTCAAAATAGTGTGGTTATGTAGGATTTTGTACCGCAGTACAAAAATGATATGGGAGAAATCGAGAGGATACAGAGGAGACCAACCAGAATGATTGAGGGAATGGACTATGAGGAGCGACCTAGTAAGTTGGGCAAGTTCACACTGGAAACGATTGAGAGGTGACATGATTGCTGTCTTTAAGATTCTAAAGGGGCTACAACAACAACAAAATTACATTTATAGAGCACCTTTCTCATCGGGAGGACATCCCAAAGCGCTGACAATATAGATCATGACAGACTGTTTCAACTAGTCCAGATAGTAAAACCAGAGGACATGGCCTGTGATTGAAAAGGGGTAAATTCAGATCAAATCTACAAAAACACTATTTCAGTAAACCTGTGGAACAGGCTCCCTAGGGAGATGGGTTAAAGCAGAAAGTATTGATTCCTTCAAACACAGATTAGATGTTATTTCCTAAAACTATTATCGGATATAGTACATATGTAGTTCAGGACATGTGAATGTGTCCACCAGGAAGGTGGAAAGTGAACTAGATAGACCGTGGTCTTTTTTTTGTCCAGCATTTCTTATGTTCATGTAGCCACTTTTAAGGCCACTCTTTTTATCCTCTCAAAATCATTCATCTTTTTTTTTTAAGCTACAGTATTAGATTTCCCCAAAAAAAAACTGCTCCAGTGAAAATAGTCCCAGCAGAACCTTCAGGTTGGTGGTATCCTAATGAATTCATACCCACATAATTTCCTTAATACAGTGACCAGATCTGGGTGCAATACTCCCAACTATATCCTAACCACTCATATAGTTTTAAACTTTCAAAGCTTATAAATTTAGTGACTATTCTCAGGAAGGGGAGGACAGTGAACAAAGAGTATGAAAAAAATAAACAAGGTAAGCAGTGAATGATCTGACTCCATGGCAATCTTCTTGACAGTGGATTGTCGGAATCAAGTCAACTCTCTGTTGTGCTCTTGGTATTCTGGTTCCTGGACCAGGTGGGCCTGAAGTAATCCAAGGTACTGTTGAAGTCCAAGCCAGTTGATAAGGCAGCCTGTCTCCTTCTATGTGGCCAGATTCTATGAACATGAAATGCAGAGACCTTCCTATTCTATATAGAAGACAAATCATTTACAAGATAAGGAAAAGAGGTAGGCCCCAACACAGACATTTGATTATGGCAACTTGCTTGTGGCTGAATTCTCTGAAGTACCACTTCATAGAAGCTCCTTCTCTAAATTGCTGATGAAATGCAGTGGAGCTGGAGGCGTCTGCATTTAGAAGAATCAAGTTTCAGATCACCATTTGAACAGGTTTAATTCATGGAAATATCTACAACAGTCAAATTGTTTGGAACAGATCTGATAAAGGTCAGCCACTACAGGAGGTACAAAAAAAAACAACCACCACTGAAACCAAAACAGACTGAACACATGGAATAAAAGTTTCCCAGGTTGTAGATAGAAAATTACCCATAGGAGAGACATTAGGGAAATGCAGAAAGCACTTGTACAATAGTTTAAAGTCACCTAACTGCAAAGGCAACAAAAAGATTTGAATTTGCATGAAGGGTCATCATACAGTGGCAATTTTTTCCCAATCTACGGGCAGCAAACCAACCATTATAACTGAAAGTCAACACTAATTACAAATAACTGGTTTTAAAAAAATAATTTTATTCAAGATATCAATACATATTATTAAAACATATATTGGATTACAGTGCAAATCAGTTTTATTGTAGAAAAATTACCTTTAGTAATTGCACACACCATCTCCAAAAGATAAGTATTCATTCTAATCACTATAGGATTTGGTATCAAAAAACATTCATTGCTGACACCAAGATACTTCATGGCCAGACATTCAGAGAATTACATCATTCAAAAGTCACTCCAGTACCAGGAAATGTTAGCATTTAGAAAACTGCTAAACTAAATGTTAACAACTAATCAGTATTTTAGGGCATATGCTTACATGCACAAGCACGTAACCACATTACAAGATTGCCTTCACCATTCAATTTTAAATTTGTATCATTTAAGAAAATAGGTCTTTGGTCTTCAATAAGCAAATATTCAGTTGTGGTCCATCAAGCTGCAGGTTAAGGCTATCTAAAAAAGAAAAAAGTTCACACCCCCTTTAAAGCATTCCCCAACCAAACCATTCTATGCATCTTGCTTAAAACAGCCATCCCTGGCATTAAATCTTTCAGTCGTTGACCACAAGTCCAACCTACACAGGTCAAAGAAAGTAGGACTTGAATGCTTTATTCAGGTGATAAAATGCAGCAACTGTTCGTTAAATTTAGAATAGTTTGAAGCCATATTTTTCTCATACAATTGGTCACCAGCAGAAGACAGCTGCCACAGTAATTTTACGTGGAAACTTCACATATGTAACAAAAGGCCATAATTCATCAGCAAGATCACAATATCCATTTACTCTAGACCCTTGTGTGATGCAGATCACTGTGTGAATTGCACTTCACTTGGAGTCGTTATGTCTTGTAAAGGAAGAATGGTTCATCCTTTACAGTTCTAAAACTAGAATTTCTCACCTCCCATACAGATGGAGATTACAATACAAAATATCATTTTCAATATTTCACCTCTTAAGAGCAGCAAGGTGATTTAGTCCTTTTGGTCTTCAAACTATGTCTGAGGACCACAGTCTGGGGTGGATTAACTCTCTTCTTTAGAACAAACGAAACTACAACTTCAAAGATAGTCTCAAAGAGCAAATCTACATTATAGCCAGTTTTGGCACTGGTTTCAAAACACATCTTTTCTGCTGCTGGCACATCCTTTTCTTCAAGCATCTTGTATTTAATGATTTGTTTATAGAAATATATAGCATCCTCCATAAACACTTGTTTGTGCAAAGTAGATGGAGAGACTTCTTCCTCTTCTCCCACCTCAGAGGTTTGGACTATGGCACATTCGTCCGTGAGATCAGCTTTATTTCCTACGACAGCAAAGATGCACTCAGCATGTGCTGTGTCTGTGAGCGCCAGAAAACGGTCTTCAAGTTCGCTTAAGCTCTGTCTGTTGGTCACGTCATAAGTGAGTATCACAGCGGCAGCTCCTCGGCAGTACATGGAACCGAGGCCATGGAATTGTTCACGTCCTGTAAAAATTAAGAAAAGGACTTAATAAACCTGGTTTATGTTAAATAGAACTTGTGTACTTAACCTAGCTAACTGTGTATTGCTCAAATATTCTGTTACACTGATGAGACAAGCTTTTAAAATCAATCTGCATAAAAAAAATTGCAATGTACAGTAACAAAATACAAATGTGATATTATTGGATATTACTTTTAAAAACGTGTTGAGACATTTTGACATACAAGCACTGGAAAAGCACCTGTCTTCCCCCCCCCCCCCCCCCCGCTCCTTGCCAGTAGTTAAAACAAACTGGTCTCCACTTTAGAAATGTTCTTCCTCACCACCTCCCAATTCAGACCATTTTCTGGCATTGACAGCCAGCACAGCAAACAGAACTGCATTTGGTCCAAAAAAGCATAGGTTTACCATCAGTTTATTGGGTCCAAGAAGCACTTGACAGTGAAACAACAGTTTCAGTCATATTCTTGTACTATAAAAAGCACTGCGGGGAGTCAAGTAAGTGAAGCTTCCCTAAACAAGAGTCTGGAATGTTAAGATGACAGAACTACATAATATACAGCAAACAATAAAAGAAACATTTCTGATGTAAAATAAACAGCCAATACCACAAAAAGTCAAGTTTAAAACAACACTTTCCTGCAAGAGAAAGATCCCTTGAAAAAAAATGGCAGCAAGTAACATTATTTTAATGTAGAATAACCTGGGTGATATTTTCCTTACTATGGAATGAATTAATTTGTGGAATGTGGGAGTTCAATTTCCTGAGCTAAGCAGGTTCACAGAGCTCCAAAACACAGTTGATGTTAGATTAGGCAGCCTGGCCCATCAGCGGTTATTGGAGTAAACTGGACACTGGGGGCAGGAATTCTGCCCACTCGGCTTTTGTTAGCCCTATAAGCCAAAGTCCTAATAGGTAGGTTGACCCTAAATGGACATGGTGTGGGAAGCTTGCAAAGTGATTTAGTTGGTTAAATTCCAGCACCACCCCAATGCACACTCTGGGGTCCCCAAACCTTAGCTCTCATAAAACTTCACCTAATACACTTCGGAATTAGGTAAGCAGGATGCATCCCACCAGAATGAGAAGAGGCATTCCACCACTGTGATGTGAGACATTTAAATGTGGTAAAGTGCTATGAAAATCCTTTCAACTTTGAGCAATCAAAGCTGCACAAAGTACTCATTTTTTCCCCGTAAAGTATTCCAATAAGTACTTTTCATAACTTTTGCTGGATCGATTCAAAAAGCATGGAATTCACATCTCACTTTCATCATTCACTTCTCCTTTCTTCTCTAGTTTTGCTAGAGTTTTCAAGTCATTTCACAGAAAAACAAAATATTGGCATCAAAGCCAGATGAATCCTGCAGTATGTTAATAATTATTCTTATTTTTTTTAAAAAAATTGTAATGTGACAAGCTGGATCACAAGAGTTAACTTCCCTTTCTAATCCAAATACTGCTTTGGAACATTCACTCAGGATTTTGATCCAATATAGAAAATTTAGTTTGTTCAGCTGCAGGTAATAAAAGTTTGCTTCAGAAAACAATCAGTGTAATGTTCAATTTTCTCCATTTGCTTGAATGCCAGACCACATAGTCATACAATAAGCCATGACTAGTTATTTGTTTTTTTTAAAAAAACGTTTTATTAAAACAAAATTAGTTTGTAAACATTTCTACTGGAAAGGATCAAAATGTAAAAATTTTTGACCTTGGTTTGGCTTTCTATTCTAAAATAAAAGGAAACCATAAAGAAGCTAAACATTCCGTAAGCGTGCTGAACATGTATTTACTTGTTGTAAGGGGCTTATATGCACCAAATCAAGCTTGTGCCAAGCACAGAGTGTAATAATCATTATATAATACTGTAATTCACCTTTTATTAAGTATAAATATAAGCATCATCCACAAAAACACTCTGCTGAAAACTATGCAATGAATTCTCTACAATTAATAAAAAGTTGCTCTCTTCCCCCCCTCCCCCAACCCATTTCTGTGGTTGAATATCATCACTTACTGTCGAGATTCATACAAATGATGTCCACATGAGCAAGGTAATGGAGGGTGGTCAGCACACAAACTAAATTAAGGATACAGCAACAATGGCAAGAGTACAGCATAGGTGTATGAGGGTGATACCAGGACTGGCAGGTTACTGCTATCAGGAGAGACTGGATAGATCAGGCCATTTTTTGCTGGAGAAGAGCTGTTTATGTGGGCACCTAGTGGAGGTGTTTAAAAATCATAAAAGGGTTTGATAAGGTTAACATAAATATGTTGTTTCCACTGGTTGGGGAGTCTGTAATCATGAGACACAAATACAAGATAGTGATTAGAGATCCAAAAGAGAATTTAGGAGGAACTACTGCACTTCAGAGGATAACAGATATATTCAGAAGGAAGCTAGACCTTCACATGAAGGAGGGGAAATGGAAGACTATGGGAGGAAGTAAAAAAATGGGTGAAGACTTGTGTGGAGTATCAACACCAGCCTGGATTGGTTGGGCCAGGTGACCCATTTCAGTGTTGTGCACTCTTTGTAAATCCCAGTTGAACAAGAATTGTCAAAAGCACTTTCAGGCAGAAATTGCAGGAGAGAATTTGTGTGGGGTGGGGTGAGTAAATAAAAACTGCAAATAAGTTTTCACTTAATAAAAAAACAATTCCTGCACTGAAGAATAATCATCATATTCTGGCTTCTGTGCAATAGTTTTTTCGTTCATTATTTGTTAGCAAAATGCAGCAGTTCACTGGACTCAACCCAGTAGCAAATGGACATGATATGACCTGTCTATGACACGATATACAATTCAGAAGTCATATGGTCAGCTGATGTACATAAAGGAGCAAACTGACTTGGCTCTTTTTATACAGAAGTAGAGTCACATGCTCTAAATGAAGTAGTGAAACAAGTTCTTAGAGACTTGGTTTAACTGTCTGAGAAAGTTTAAATGTCAAGAGTGAAATCAAAAAGCCTCATGTCCCCATCAGCACAAGTTTTAATAAATGCCTTACAATTACCAAGTACTACAACAACAACAAAATTACATTTATAGAGCGCCTTTCACGTCGGGAGGACATCCCAAAGCGCTGAACAGGCAGGTGTCAGAGCCCGAGCATGGGGGAGGGGTGGTGTAGGGGTGAGGGAAGGCAGAGAGGTGGGAGGGAGACCAAAGGCACGATCGAAAAGAAGGGTCTTGAGACCGGCCTTGAAGAAGGCAAGGGAGGAAGTGAGGTGAAGGGACCGTGGGATGGAGTTCCAGAGTGTGGGGGCAGAGAGGCTGAAAGCCCAGACACCGATGGTAGGGCGGGTCAGGCGGGAGACATGGAGCAAGCCGGAGCCCGATGAATGGAGGGAGCGGGCAGGTTGGTAGAGAGTCAGCAGGTCAGAGAGTAGGAAGGGGCAAGGCCATGGATGGCCTTAAAGGTGAGGACGAGGATCTTGAACTCGATCCTCTGGGGGATGGGGAGCCAGTGGAGTTGGGTGAGGGTGGGAGTGATGGGGTCACGGAGCCTGGTGCATGAGAGTACACGAGTTTTGGATGATCTGCAGCTTGCGAAGGGGAAGGTCGATGAGGAGGTAGTTCCCGTAATCAAGCCTTAATGTGACAAAAATTGCAATAGTGAATTTGTGGCCGAAGAATGCAGTTCAGTCCTCTCTTCTGAGGCTTAAAATTGCTTACAATCCGGACGAATAGAAAGAAACCCTCTTTCACAGTGTCAAGGGTACTACATTAACAACTTTACATACAAATGTAGTTAGAATCAATGCGCATGTTGAGATAGAATAGATAGATAGAATAAGGAAAACTATTTTGCAATTTTTGACCTGTGACTATTCAATGGGAGTTTAAATAGCAGAGTTACACAACACCCATTCACATGAACTATTCCATAAGGAGGTTGCACAACAGCAGAGATCCCATGGACTACCAGGATGCATTTCCTGTTACATGCACACACACACCTAAAGGTAGTATCAATGCACTTGGTGGGCCAATTTAAGGAGTAAGCACAGAGCAAGTGCTCTGAGATGCCATCAGAGCCTTGGTTAAATGTCTCTTCCAAAGGACAGCAACTCCAACAATGCAGCACACTCCCATCACTGCACTGGAGTGTTAGCTTAGACTATACGAGCTCCAAATGCCAATACACAATCTTCTGATTCAGAGGCAAGAGTGCTACCAATTGAGTTAGGCTGGTAAAGTTATTGTTACTAAAAGGATATTTTATCTGTGCTCTGAATTGTCATTGATGCCTCTTGTTTTGAACCACTACAATTTAAGCACAATTGAATAGGAAAAAAAGAGAAAGTGTTCCAGCTTCTGTCATTAATCTCCCTCCTCCAGATATTCAGAGAATGAGTTAAATATTAAACAGGTGAATCGCTTTTACACAATTTAACTAGAACATTAACTACTGAGTGGAGCAACTGTGATACTTGAAAGACATTACCTATGAGGAAAACAGTGCAGCTTCACTTGTCAAAACACATTCCAAACAGACCAGTTCAGGTCCTGTGATTGTTACTAAGATAGGCAGATCACAACAACAAATGAGGTGGACTTAAAATTAAACAAGCTCTGACATTATTTCGCCAAATCACCCAAAGACATTGCAACAAATTGCAAAATAATGCTCTGTTTAGAGACGGATTGAAAATTGAAACCTACAATTTGTTACACAATGTCTGAGGTTACAAGAGAACTCAGATACAGTTGCCATTGCTGCAAAAAGAATTTACTTTTCCACCATTGCCCCTCACAAAAAAAAGATTTAAAGTAAAGCTTCTATAGAAAACATCCTTCTTGGTATATGCTCCATTGGATCCCTAAACACTGAACAGATTGACTTCAAGATCCTCACACTCGTGTTCAAATCCATTCATTTCCTAGCACCTCCCCGACCTGCTCACTCCCAAATGTCACATCCAGCACTTCCACTCAACTGGCACCAGCCTCTTGCTCGTCTCTCGCACCCTCCACTCCACCATTGAAAGTTGTGCTTTCAGCCACTACAGCCCAAAGCTCTGGAACACACTCCCTCAATCCCTCTGCCTTGCCCCTTCTCTCCCTTTTTTCAAGTCCCGCCTTAAAACCTTCCTTTTCGACCGTGCTTATGGTCAATTCCCCACCCAGCTCGGAGTCAGGCTCTGTCACTGTTAAGCGCTCTCAGCCGCTACCCTGGGTGGAGGGTGCTATATAAGTGCAAGTTGTTGTTGCCAAAATAAGTTTGTGGAAACAAACTAAAATATATCCATTTTTAGGTTTTCAGGGGAAAGAGAAGGGGACCTCTAAATTAGGTATATTACTACACAAACATCTACACGGACAATTTAAAGCCAGTTTTGTACAGTAACAAAACATTACTCCTCGGGGGTTTGGTCAGAGATTAATTTGAGTCATATGCTTACAACATCTGATACAAATTCCAGTAATAAATATCATCTGATTAACTAAACATTTTGCATTTGATAAAGTGCCTGCTCTCATCAAAACATCTCAAAATATTTCACTATAAATACAGATTATGTAATTATAGGTGAACACAACAAATTGCAATTATAAAGCACCTTTCACATCAGAAGGATGTCCCAAGGCATGAGACAATTGAGGGTTTGCACCCAAGCTGGGGGTTGGATTGGGGTGGGGGGCCAACAACAATCAATTTGCAAGAAGCAATGTCCCACAAACAGCCAATTTGGCCAAAACACTAAGAAAATCTCTTCCCTTTTGAATAACATCATAGATTCTTTAACACTTTAACTGAACTGGCAGGACCCCCATTAATAATAATTGTTGCATTTGATGAAGAGCTTGATCACATCATTGAGACTTCTCAAAGCACTCCACAGAACAGATTGTAAAATTGATTGACTATATTTGTTGGCAAAAAGCGGCAGCCAATTGCGCACAGCAGTGTCGCACAAACAGTTGTGGATTGAATGACCAAATAATATATTTTTAGACCACAAGTACTTTCTGACACTTCAAAAATTCCTTTCACAGGTTTCTCTCCAATTACCATAGAGCAAGTTTTTCAATTAAAGAAGTTAAATGTACACATGCAAATGTCATTGTGGAAGCTATTCCTTTTAATGTAATTGTAAATAGTTGACAAGGAAAAGTGGCACACCACCTTAGGACAAGCTGGCTGGGGAGTGTAACAACTAGTGGGGCTACAGTAGCCATATTTCCCCATGAAGTCACTTCAAAAGTTAAAAAAAGGAGGAAATAGATGGAAAGATTGGACCCAGAAATTCAATTTTTATACCAACACTATTACATGAGAAGCTTTATTACATATGGATTAATGTTATACCACCCAATGTTGCTGCAGCATAAACAGATCCAATCTAATCGATTGGAATGAACCAGGTAAGTTTTTCACAGGTCATCTCCAAAACAATCAATTCTGTTTTCCAACTGCTCACTGAGTTTCTCCTTTTATACAGCAGTAGTCATTAGAAACAAAATCTCAAGTACAATCAATCCACTTTAAAGTATATTCTATGAAACACTTTGAGACATCTCAATGACATAAGGCACTAAATCAAATTCAAGGATTATTATTATAATAAAAGTAAACATTGGGGAACACAAGAGCTACAGTATCAAATTCACTAAGTGTAAATAATCAAATCAAACCTGAAATGCCCTGCCAAGAAATGTGGTACAAGCACTGTGGGTTTCAAACAGGACACAGACAGGTACAAGTAAGATAAAGGCTTGAAGGCATATAAGGATATAACAGGACAGTAGGATTGAATTGACAATTTGCACTAACAGCTAGTACAGACCCAATTGACAGAATGGCCACATTTAATAATAATAATAATCCTTGCATTTGATATAGCACTTTTCACGTTGGGAGGACGTCCCAAAGCGCTTCACAGAACACACTGTAAAGTGAATTGACTGTATATTTGTGGGCGAACACGGCAGCCAATTGCGCACAGCAATGTCCCACAAACGGTCGTAGATTGAAAATGACCAATTTATTATTGTTTTTGGTTTTGGAGGGATTATTATTTAATGTAAATTTAGTAAAATAATTACTTACCATAACATTATTTCCAACTGTTGCATCAAATCAAAAAAATGGCATTGCTTATTTGGCGATTCTGACCCCTCTCCCACCCCAAAAAACAGCAACCCCTGTGACCATTACCTGCTGTGACCCACTTTGGCTGTTAAACCTACCTCTGGGCGTCTAGTGTCTGCCACTGCAAGTTTCTCCAGTGAACAGGAGCCTGGTAGCTCCAGGATTTAGGGTTGAAGCCATTGCTGTTAGGATGACACTGGTATCTGGCAGTCTTTTCCAGCTGCTAGTCCAGCTGGGATCACCCTATCTATTGGGGCTTTGGCTTGCAGGAGCTGAGGGTGGTGACTCCCTGCCCCCCACCCCCTCCAGTGACTGGAGTAATGCAGACCCGCCTGGCTCAGGAACCAGAGACTGCCACAGAGAGATGGCTCCATTCCAACATTCCTTTGCCAGGCATGTCAGCTTGGGAGTCAGGTCACCTCCAGGGAGACCCCTCCATTTACCTCCCCACCCGCCCTCCCCCAGGATGACACACTGACCTGCTGTGTCCCAGATGGAGATGTTGTATGGTCCCCACTGCTTCAGGTAGAAGGCTCCTCCCACAGTGCTCACCGTGTCCTGGAAGCGTTTCTCGATGTACCTGTGGAGCAGTGAGGTCTTCCCCACGTTCATGTCGCCCAGGATCACCACCTTGACATCAGGCTTCATCATTGTGGAGGCTGTTTGCAAACCAAGAGGAGGGTCTCCTGTGGGCAGAGGAGCTGCTCTCTCTCTCTCTCTCACTCACCCTCTCTCACACTCACTCTCTCTGCAGAGCTTTAGCTGCTTCTCACGGGACAGACTCTCTCTCTCTCTCTCTCTCCTCACAGTCTCCGTCCACAACTTTACTTTGGCGCAGCAAAGCTTTCCTTCTGTTCTGACGAAAGCGAAACAAGACGGACGAGCTTTTTTTAAAAAATAAAAGCCTCTTTTGTGGGAGCCTCCAGAGCGTGTGACTGACTGACTGACTGACTCTCTGGCAGATTTGCTGCAGTGTGATGTGGGCGCACTGTGTGTGTGTGTCTCTCTCTGACCTGAAGCGACGTGACCACTAACACGAACCCTCCCTCTCCTCCCACCTCACTGGGGCTTTTATGGGGGAAGTGGGGAGGAGGGGAGGAGGAGGCTTCCTCCACCACCAGCACCGGATCCCGCCTCTGCCTCAGCTCACTGGCTCCCAGTGGAATAGGGACAGAGTGCAGCCCTGAGAGAGCTTTGCCATACAATCCTCTCTTTACGCAGCGCTTTCCCAACTTCAGCTGTGCACAGGTTCATTTGAGACTATAACATTTCTTTATTTCACAAGAATTTGCATTTATTATAGCACCCCTCGGGTAGGGTGGCATCCCAGAGCACTTGACGGTGGCGGAATAGGCTTAATAATAATAATAATAATCCTTACATTTGATACAGCACCTTATCACATCTTCAAGATGTCTCAAAGCGCTTCTCAGAATATATCGTAAAGTGGATTGATTGTGTATTTTGTGGGCGAAACATGGCAGCCAATTGCAGTGTCCCACAAACAGTCTTGGATTGAATTGAATTTTTTTTGGAGTGATAATTACCCACAGAAAGTAATCCACTAATCAGTCCCTGCTTACCGCTAGGCAACCGGGTTCCTACTTACTGCAAAGTAAACAAGGGCGTGTGGAGTAAGAAAACTTGTGTAAGGGTTCGGCCGGGAATCGAATCCGAGTCCTCTGGCTTGCGAGGCAAGCACGCTAACCACTACACTACGGGACTGCACAGGCTTGCCCATCTTTCGTTAAGATAACGTGTTTGCTTTTAAGAATGCATCTGTATAACTAGTTAAACATTTGCTGCAACAAATATTGTAAAACTCTTTTGTAGTGTTTATGTTTCAATATCTGAACTAATTGACGAAGGGTGTCATTACTGGCAATATCTGTAACAACTTTTTTTGAGGTTTTGTAACTAAGATTATTATCGTGCTTTCCCAGGTCAGCTCAACTGTTCCGAGATACAATGTAATGCTTCCTCTTCCACAGGCATTAACTAATGCCTACGTGCACCTAGTCAGGGAAGGGGGGGGATTGGTACAGTTCAGAGGAAGACTTGCTTGCATCAGGTTTGCATCAGGTTGGTGCGTCCAGGTGGATATGAAGCAGGGGAGGGGAAGTGGGGAATTATATTATTTAAAAAAATAAAATTGATTCGAACAGTGAAACTTACTAGCATTGAAAACCTATAACTCTTTGGAACTGGAGATGAATAAGGCACTTTTGTGATTATGTGCAGAATTTGTGCAGTGACTAAAAATGTTTTAATTATATTTACATGTTCCCTCTTGATCAGGTCATCGCAGATATGGGGTCAACTTCCACATCTGTGCAGACAATTTATGTTTCCACCTCCAGCCGTGACCCCAGGTCCATCAATATCCTGTCCTCTTGTTTGTCTGCATCAAGGCCTGATTGAGTGCAAACTTTCTGCAGCTGAATGTTGACAAGACGGAAGCCATCTTTCTTAGCTCCTGTCAACATCTTCTCACCTGTGGCTCTGACTTCCTTAACCTCCCCAGCCTATCCCTCAGACTAACTAAACCTGTGCGCAATGTAGGGATCAGATTCAATCAATGATTGTGCGCAATGTAGGGATCAGATTCAATCTTCAGCTGTCCTTCCTACCCCACATCCAGTCCTTAACCTGGACTGCTTTCCTCCACCTCCACCACATTGTCCATCTTCAACCATACCATGCACCCAACGCAGCTGAATCCCTCATTCATGCTGTCGTCACCACCCATCTTGATCTTTCCAATGCCCTTCTTGCAATCTCTGCAGCTCCGCCACCCACAAAATCCAACTGATCCAAAACACGCTGTCAGTATTCTCACCTATACCAAACTCTGCACCCCCATCACCCCAGTCCTTGCCAGACTCCACTGGCTCCCTATTGCAGAATAGATTGATTTCAAGATCCTCACACTTACTGACAAATGTATTCAAGCTGTACTAACTCTTTATTTCTCTGACCTGCTTACACCCCATTTCACTACCCATCCCCTTCACTCAGATGGCTCCACCCTTCTATAAGCCCTTTGATCCTCACTATCAGCAGCCTTGCTTTCAGCCACTATGCCCTGAACTCTGTGCCTCAATCCCTATGCCTCACCTCTCCTCAGATTGCATCTGGACCTTCCTCTTGACTTGACTGTATATTTTGGGCGGAACGCGGCAGACAATTGCGCACAGCAGGATCCCATGAACTGTCATGGATTGAGTGATCAAATTATTATTGTTTTTTTTCTTGAGGGATTTTTATCAGGTGTGTGGAATAAGGAAACTTGCCCAAGGTTTCGTCCTGCCAGGAATTGAACCCAGGTCTCTCACTTGCGAGGCGAGTGCTCAAACCACTGAGCTACAGGACTCCTGTAATATAATTGCAAGTTGCTGTTGTATGTGGCATATAAATCAAAGGCAGAGAAGCCAAAATACATTCAAGGTCACTAAACTTTGGCAAGATAACTTGCCATTGTCGCCATTGTCTAGAAACCATGGTGCTTTTTTAAATCACTGTATGAAGACATTTCCTCCAGAACAGCACAACAGAATACTGTCACACAAATACAAACATGTGACAAATTCATAATAATTAACTCATTCTTTATTCATCAATGAGAAGCAGAACTGTATACCATAGAATAAAACAGCCCTTCTCTGGGGATTGTAGTAAAAACAATAAGAAAAGCACAATTTAAAGCAGCAATGTGTCACTTCACAGACCAACAACAATGTGACATCACTGAGGGAGCACTGGTGCCTATGGTGGGGAAGAGGGATGGGTAACTCTTCTATGAGCTTTTAGGGTGCGGGACACATTTTTTCATTTTACTTAAGTCATTTACAAGCCCATCGTCAAGGGGGAGCAGTTACCATCCCCCCACCCCATTTTCTGTTAAATATACCTTTTATAAATTTCTGCCCCTGAGCCCTGATTAATGACTTCTGGATTTTGAGTCAAATCAAGACAAATCCAATGAGAAAGAAACCACAGTCCCTCCACCTCGCCCCCTCCCTTATCTCCTTTAAGACCCATCTCAAGACCCTCCGCTTCAACCGTGCTTTTGATCACCCTGCTTCCCCCTGCCCTCCACCCTCCCCAATCCTGATCCCCAGCTCGGGTCCAAAACATTGATTGTCCAGCAACTTGGGACGTCCTCCTCGACGTGAAAGACGCTATACAAATATAATTTTGTTGTTGTTGTTGATTGGCTGATCGGCATGTATCTTCTTTTTAATCTGTTTTTGCTACTTTTATTAATAATAATGATAATGATTCTTGCATTCGATATAGCGTCTTATCACGTTGTTGAGATATCGGAAAGCACTTCAAAGAATACATTGCGCACAGCAGTGTCCCACAAGCAATCGTGGATTGAATCATTATTTTTCTTCGAGTAATTATTAACTCTGGAAAGCAATCCACTGATTGACAAACCACCATGTTCCTACTTGCTGCTAGGTAGGAAGGGAGACTAAGATGTTTATCGTTACATTGTGATGTTTACGGCATGCAATATAGATGCACAAATAAAGGAGCTTGTCCTTTTCACTCCAGCTTGGTTCAGTTGGTAACACTGTCAGCTGATGTCAGCTTGGTAGCACTCTCAATCTGAGTCAGAAGGTTAAAGCCCTACGTAGGGACTTTGAATTCATATAAACTGGGTTGACACTTCAATGCACAGGTGGGGAGTGCTGCATTTTTGGAGATGCTCTCCTTTGGTTGAGATCGAAGTCCTATTTTCCTGTTCAAGTGGACATTAATAATCCCATGGCACTATTTTAAAAGAGAAGGCCGTTTCCCGGGTGGCCAAGCCGACAGTGTGCAACAGGCTACAAACAGCCATGAAGTGATTTATTTGGCTGACACCTTTGCCTACAAATTGTACAGGCATTACTCTTCATAGTAAAATTCTATGAAGCGCTTTGAGATGTCCTTCTGATTTAAAAGGCACTATATCAAATGCAAGGATTATTTGTTTTTATTTCCATTTAAAATTTGAACAATATTATCTATAATCCAGAATCCTGACCAAAACCTACATTGCCAATATTAAAATCAACTTAGAACTCTGTAGGGATGGTAATGGGATACAAATGATAAATTCACGATAATCCAGAACTAATTGGACAGATTATGCTGAGATAGGACTCCAGGAATATTTCTCTAGCCTTCTCTGAGATTAAATAAAATTAGCTACAATGAGAGGCTAAATAAACTGGCATTACACTGTTATATTTGAGGAGATTGAGAGATGATCTGATTGATGATAACCCTAACCCTAACCCTAAATAATGGCAAATAGGATAGATGGTGACTTTTCCCTCAAGGGTATTAATAGATAATAATTATCATATCATTGATAAATGCAGTCAACAAGGCCAGTCAATATCTAAAGACTATTTTTGTTGAATTAAGACAATATCCCACCACCCAGGACATTAATAATAATAATCCTTGCATTTGATATAGCACCTTATCATGTGTTGAGACATCTCAAAGCCTTTCGCAGGATATACTGCAAAACTCCCACAACATACACATTATGAACTTTAGACTGGCTGGTTCAGCTGGCTAGGATAGGAATAGATTCAGACTTCAGATGAACAAATACTCCACATGACAAATTGATTGCTGTGCTGCTGGGGTTGGGAAAGGAAGAGAATGTTGGCTGTAATGGATGAAAGGAGAAGAGTAAATAGTAAAATGTGTGGGGATTCTGAATTTTTTGCTTAATTTTTTGCAGGGATAGAAATATGTAATGTGTGAAGAATTGGATATTGGGAAGAATCAGATGGATCCACAACCCTTATAGATTCAGCTTCAGAAATTAAGGTTCTGTATATTAGAACATGCAGTTTCAGCGACTGCACAGTAAGTGATTACTTATTACTGCAAAGCTGTCTAAAGAATATCTTAAGCCTGCAAATGGAAATAGAACAACTAAATATATTTTTGGCTTCATTAGATACAGGAAATGATATGCATTGAAAATATCCTTAGGTTCCCCTTTACACTATTTAATTGTTCACCTAGTTCTCATTTTCAGTCATTGCCCTGCCGCTTTCAAAAATTTTCTCGCCCAATCAAAAAAGAAGTTGACCGCAGTTAAAACTGGCTTGTTAAGCTGATAAGAAAAAATGATCAACAGAACCAAAGAACTATAAAAAAAAGCCCAACTTTTTGTCAAAGTACCCTAGTAAGCAAGTTTATAATTAAACTTTGAAAGTTTATGATTAAAGGATATACCAAAAATTGCTTTTGAAATGATTCTACTGTATTCAGCAAACTTTAGTTGGTGATCTGAATTCTGAACCATAGAAATTCCATCTAGTCGTAACCAGTAGGAAAATGTTGTCTTAGAAGTTAGGATCTCACAAAATTGTGTAAAATTCTTAAGTTCAATCATATTTAGAAGTGGATTCTGCTTAAGAACTGTGGAAAACCAGCTTCAAAGTCAATACTTAATGTAAACATTTTCCACCATTCTGTGCCACCTTAAACTTTTAGACAAAATGTTCTTACAGACTAAGATTAGGTGGAATTGTGGGCCTGTTCAGGTAATATTTAGAAATCATGCTGCCCATGTAACTCACAAATTCTTCTACAAAATGGAAAACATTCCCAGATATATTTTTCAGAGAGCTATCCTATATTTTGACAAATTTTACAATCACAACTTGTTTTTCTGAAGAAAAGGTATTAATATTACCAAATATCCTGTAATACATTTATTGGGTCTGTTGGTTACTCATCTACTTGAAAAATGTTAATCAATTATCTATTTGTATTGTTTATTAACAGCTTCTTTTTGGATAAGACAGTAATAATAAATTGTGATGAGCAATGCCCCATAAAGAGTCATGAAGTGAATGGTCAATATTATCTGCAGTACACCAGCACCACAATGGAGTGCAATCCATTTGATGAGCTCAAAGACCACATGTGTGGCATCTGACACCCAACAGCGTTTTGACTCAAGAGACAGGAGTACGAACAAATGAGTCAAGCTGAAACCTATAACAGTATTTTATTTTACTTTTCTCTAAGGCAGAAGGTAGCAAGAGGTTCTACACCTTTTTGTTGTTGTTGCTTTTGTAATTCTTCTTGTCCAAAATACAGGTGACAACTCTTAAGTCACCAAGAAATGTAGCTAATATGCTCTGTTGTGTGCCTTCTGTTCAATGTATTCCTATTCCTTCTCTCATCTCTTTCACTGCAGCCATGTTCCTGAGATCTGAAACTCAGACAAAATAAGGAAGTTAAACCTAGTTTAATAAATAGAATTATTTATTATGAAATATTGGCATAGATCCATAAAAATTGCAGCATTGAAAGGAAGCTATTCCACCCAATAAGCATATGTTGCTGATAATTTCTCCACATGAGCTCAACTACTCCAATCCCAATTTGTTGCTCATTGCCATTTTTTTTCTCACATTGCTGCTCTTCAAATATTTATCCAATTCTCTTTTAAATCTTATTATGGTCTTGAAACAAAAGGTCTCAGGGAATGGTAAAATCCATTACAATTGGCAATTATGTAATGGATTGAAGTCTACAAAGAATCATTAAAAAAGTAACTTTTAAAGTTGTATTTTCTATCCAGATCACACATATGGTCTAAGTAGTAATGGATTATTTTCAATGAGCTGTTTCTCTATCTGGACAGATTCTTTTCCTCCACAAGCCTCCCAGGGGAGGTTATATTTATTTTACATTCAGCATTGTTAGAGTGTGGAATGCTTTATCACAAATGGCTGTTGAATATGAATGCATCACAGCATTCAAAAGGTCATTGTACAAATGACTGAAGAAAATTATTAAAGCATACTGGGAAAGAGTAGGAGAATAAAATTACAGAGGTTAGGTTTAGTGGAGAAGCTGACATGATGGGACAAGTGGACACATTTGTGCTGTAAACCTACTATGATTCCTATGATCTATTAATATTTAAACCAGTATTAGTCAGTAAAAGCATCTCTGGATGCAACATTGAGCAATTCAGACCCTTAGGTCGTGGGTTCAAATCCTGGTCTGTGCTGTGTTAGCTGATCTCAGCTGGCATAGCAGTTGGGACTTTACAATTGATCTCATTGCTTCTGGGTTCAGAAGAGAAAGATCGACCAGAGTTCTCTCCTGGAAAGAGTGGTGTGACAAAATATCTACTGGTATCATTTTCAAGCTCAAACATGATGAATCGCCCTTTGGGGAATAATCAACAACAATGCTACAACAGACGAAACAAAAGGAGTCAGAAGCCTTCAAGAGGGAGGATGGGAGAGATTAGGGGGAGAAATTTGTATCATATAAATGGCTCCATTGTGACTCTTTGAAAAAAGAATAAACTAGTGATATCTTACTGATGTCATTTCCACAATGTTGCACAGGGGATGAGCACTGTGACGTGCAAGGGTAAACAATCGTAAATTATTTGGGGTAAAATGTGACAGATTGTATCTTACGGGTTGAAAAATGATAGTTCAAAGGACATAGCGTGATAATAGTTCAGTAAAATACATTTTGGTTACACTTTTATTGGTTGATGTAGCCTGTTCTTTATTGATGCTTTATGCATGTTTCTCATGTTTGTATTGTGCCAAATAGCAGAATTAATTTGATCAGGACAGACATTCCACCAGTACAATAGATTCAAAGTGGATAGATATTTGTTAGGTCAGAATATTAAGGGATATGGGGCAAGGACTGGTAATTGGACTTTAGGTACAGATCAGCTATGATCTTATAGAATGGTGGAACAGGCTACAGCCTACTCAGGTTTCCATGTTTCTCATATATCCTTTCAATCTACCCAAATATTTCATCTGAAAATACTACTACTAATAATAATAAAGAATATGCAACTCACGTAAATCCACAATGAATGACAATAGCTCAAATGGCCTCCTGCTGTGTCTTCGAGAAACCAATGTTTCTAAATCTGGTACTGTATTACCTAAATATCCATAACAACACGGAGACTTGAGTTTAATGGATCATCTAATGTTTAACCACATAAAAACAGTCAATTAAACAATTCATTTAAAATAAAATCATCAAAACAAATATTAACTCAATTTAATCTGTAACCCAATCAGTTTTTGGTGTATATTCCATCTTTATCTGAACAATGAGTGTAAAATTTTAATGTTGCATTCATGTTGATTAATTTAGTCACTCCTCTGGCCAGGGACCAATGAAGCTGGTAGATAAAGATCCAGAAGCAATAAGATCAATTGTAACACCCCAACTGCTTTGCCAGCTGAGATCAGCTAACCAGTACAGATCAGGATTTAAACCCATGACCTTAAGTAGGTAAAGTTTCTGTTCAGTCAGTTTTTGCGAAAAGGGTTTTTGAATCAGCCGTATTTGACTATTTCTACCAAAGTGCAGGAGGAAAAGATCAAGATGCTGTAATACATGTATGTCAAGAACAATGGCCAAGATTGTCAAAGGAAGTGAATCATATGTAATATGTCTTCAGGACGTCTTGAAGATGTGAAAAGGTGCCATATCAAATGCAAAAATCATTATATTTTTATGTCTGAAAACCCTTTATAGACAGTAAATTTTATTTAAAGATTCAAATGACACCTCAATATTATCATGGGTTTAAAATTAGTAAACAGATCATCATAGACCCCAATAAGATGTTATTGAAATGATTATAATTGTATGTCAGAAAGTCTTTTTAAACAAACTTTGTTCTTTTTCCCACAAGTTTGTTCTCAAATCTAATCTGAAACCTTATGATTTTGTGGTAACAAAGATGCTCAGTCTGTATCAGTCTCACAATATGGATTTGCTTAAAATAATAGCAGAAGGATTCATATGCAGGCGTATGACTCCTTCCACTAGAAGCATGGAGGCAGATTATTGTAGTATTCTGTCTTATTAATGTGACAAACTGCTTGGGGACAGAATTAGATAGTGATAATACAGTATGTAAACTCTATTGGATTAAACCTGTTTGGCATGATGGTATAATTTATGGCACATCCTCCCCTCCCATGGGCTATGCAAAGTTATGGTGTCAGATAATCATTCTGACAAGCTACAAGGAACTTCTATTGTTGTGCCTCAGAAATTACTCAGAGACTGCATTGAGAAAGGAGTTGCAATAGTGTCATGAGGTTTTGTTGGGAGTTTAAATGAGTGGGACTGTTCTTTGATGTCAGTTTAAAAAGGTGTAGAACCTGATAGCTTTTACATAAACCATCTGAGTGATGTAGCTGTAGCTGATAGTAACTTGGTGTCTTTCAAGTCTGACATAATACAAAGAAAACAGATCTTATCTGCAAATATTTACATGGTTTAGCTCAGTGTTTTAGTACTAACATCCAGTGTTGTAACCCTTTCTGTTTACAACACTTTTTCTTATCCATTCGGTGTTTTTGAAACATTAACTTTTGCTCTTTTCCGGGCAAATTCTTGATATGAAGGGATTTGTTGAGGGATCTTTTCACTAAACTTGATCAGTGCAATGAGTTTGCAATGACCCAAGTGAACCGTTTGCCGCAGCCACAAAACAATTTAATTGTTTTAGCATTAAACAATACTCATTGCTGAATTCTATCTAATGTACCTCACAGGTGTTGATCTTTTTTTTTGCCTCTGGCATTCGTCTGTTCTCTGTTTGATTGTGCTATGTGTTACATTGTGCCAAGTAAATATCAAGGACTTCAGCAAATACAATTTCTGGTGCAACTTCATTGCATGACACTATTCTGTAGGGTCATTGTGAGGAAATAGGTTCATAAAACACATCACAATGGTGAAACTGTTTCCGCTCCACAAAAGAAAAACAAATAGATCAAAGAACAAGATTACAGCACTTTTTGTTCTGTCCTTTTAATGAGATTTCATATTTTAGTGCAGAACAAAATGTTCCCTAGCATTACTGAGCATTATTGTATATTGTATTATACACACACTTCAGTGTCTACAGACGAAAGTACTGTCAGTGAAAAGCATTTATATGCATACACTATAGAAAACTATAACTTCTTAAAATAATACTTTAACAAATAATAGTAGGGTCAGGCCTACCAATAACCTAGATTTGAAAGATTGGGTATGGAGGAGGAAAAGAAAATATATAAGTGAGAAGAATAAACATATTTGGCTGCAGTGGCTAGAAACATATTATAGGTAAATAATGATTCATATGTAATAATATTAACATCACATTATAATGCATATGACTAATCTTTATAACTGTTAAAAAAGCACATCTTGGGAAAATGGCACCAATGATACAATGGCACTAGATAAAGCACTTCACAACTGTATTGTGCTGGGAAACCGATGAATGTCAAACAGAACCACAACCTCCCAGCTCTCTTCACTCAATCCTTGCATCAAAAATTCCTTTCTTTGAAAAAGGGAAATATCTATCACAGTGATATCAATTTAACATTTTTTCACATTCAATGTGCAGGAGATGGAACCTGAAGCCATTAAAGTGCTCCGGGATGCATGAAAGGTGCCGTATAAATGCAAGTTGTTATAGTTGATGTTGTTATTGAATGTATTGCTAAATTCACTCCTGTGTGACGGTGTTGTCAGCATATAAGATCAGTCTGTCATGAGCTTTTTTTATTTTGATTTGTTTTGGCTTGCCTTCGCCAGTGAAATCATTAATAAATGATAAAAAGTGGTGCATGTGCAGGTCACTTTCTTTGTTGTTAGGAAATGCCAAAAGAGGAAGACAAAGTCATGAATGTATTTAGCTGTAACAAATGGTATCAGCAGCATGGTCGCAGAGGGACAAATAGGATGTGAACTCTAGCCCACTTCTGCTGCCTACAACTCATTCCTGACTCACTTTAAAGTTTTCAGGCCAGCCAACTTTTGAGTAATGATTTATATCTGATGGATTTATGTGTGTTATTTTCAAAACAATTACTGAATGGTAGAGTAAAGGTGTTGACCTTTCAAAGTGATTCGAAAGGGACCTTTGAACATTCATTGCTATCCATTTGACATGAACAATAATTTTCCAGCAAAATGCAAAAAAAATCTGATCAGAACCCATCATGTTTCTCGCACATTAAATAAACCAATTATTCTGAATTTTATATCTTAGATGTACATTACAAGTCAGACCTATTACAGTCGCTAGTCAGGCATGTCAGTTTATTAGTGTTTATTTATATCACATGTTGATTTGTGTCAGCCTGCTTCAGTTGGTAAAACAGTCACGTTGGGTCAAAAAGTTGTGGGTTTAAGCCTGCTTGGGGACTTTGAGCTCATTAGTCTAGACTGACACTCTGCAGTGTTGGGCGAGCATTGCAATGTCTGAGCTGCCAACCTTCGGATGAGATGTTAAACCTCTGTCCCATCTACCTATTAAGGTGGACAGTAAAGAGCTCATAGCACTATTCAGAAAGAGAAAGGTGTTTCAGCTGTTGTCCTGGCCAACAATTTGCTTAATTTTAAAATTAATCAATCACCTCATGGCTGTTTGCAGGACATTGCTGTACGCAAATTGGCTTCCACTTTCACATCACATCCTGGTCTCAACTATTCTTTCTGGTTTAGAAATTACACTCTGGGTAAAGNAAAAAATCCCTCTGGGAAGGATTATTACAACAACTTGCATTTATATAAATGCAGGTAGCATCCCGGGGTAGCGTGAAATGGTGTAGCGTCCCGGAGCGCTTGAACTTTGGGATACTACATTAGTTGCAACGGTGTCTGTTCCAATATTACAGAAATACACATTAAATAATTATATTATTTCATTGGCACTTCTGGTAGTAAACATTCATGTAACGTATTTCCAACTTCTGCAATGTGTTACAAAAATGAAATACATTGTTTTAAGTTTATCAGCAGTAATAACATCTGCTTTGAATAGAACTTGTAACACTGATAATATCAGAGGGTAAATATTTGGCAAATAATAAATGACAACAATTTATATTTACACAACACCTTTCATGTAGGAGAAAGTCTCAGAGTGCTTTACATGGAACACAAAGTAAAGTGGACAGAAGGGAGGTCTGGGAAGGAGGCTTAATGAACAATTTGAAAAGGTAGATTTTAAAATAGTTTGAACACAGCTGTATATGTGTGGGAGAATTTCTGACCTTGAATACAAACCCAATAATTTAAAATACGTTTATTTGCAATTTTATGTTGAAATGCAAACAGCATAATTCCTCTGTTCTCCCCAGTAAAACACATACTGTACTGGTAAGCAAAATTCAACAAGAAGCAAGCAAAGTAAAGTGAAGAGCTTTGAGTCGTCTCAACCCGTGATAAGGTGCTATATCAATAAGAAGAATCCTTGCATTTGGTTTAGCGCCTTACCACATTACATAGATGTCTCAAAGCGTTTCACACAATATACTGTAAAGTGGATTGACTGTTATTTTGTGGGCTAATAACATTCAGTGGAAGCCTGTTAAGCCGGTAACGTCGGGGGCAGCCATTTTGTCCGTGCTGCTGCCGTGGTTGTTGTTGTGTTGGAGGTTACTCAAAGTTCTCTTACTATTTCTCGCTCGGCGGAGGACCAATGGTGCCACTTCCTTCCTCCCATTGTCGTTCCTATTGACAGCCCAACTCCAACCGCTTATAATGCATTAAATGCAAATAGTATTATTATTAATACAGTAGAGGCCGCTTAATTCGGACATGTTGGGGCAGGGTGTTTTGTCTGAATTAGCAGGTGGTCAAAATTATGCGAAGTCAATACATGAAATATCTCCCAGTTGTCTTCCTTGGGCGACCTATACAGCACTAATTACAAGACACTGGTGTCCAAATTAAGTGACTTCCATTCTATTATTGAAGATGCTTCTCTCTGCTGTGTATGTAAAAACCTTAAAAGAATGCTCAGTAATCATTTACCAACAAATAGGCTGATTGTCTCTTTATAAATACTGTACAATATTCTTTTTCCCCATATAGGTTACAACTAGGTCAGCCAGCGTCAACTTTGTGACGTTGAGACATCTGGCTAGTTCTTGTAGAGGAGTCCCAGGCAGCTCCTTCTTGACTTGTCTAAAACTTCTAGCTTCTGGGGAGACTTAGAGAGACTTTCTTCTTTTTATGACATGCTGTGCGAAAGGATTAAGTGGATTTTGTGTGCAGCCATGCTTAGCAAATCCTCATAGGTGGCGCATGAAAAGAGGGGCTAATTTTCACAGAATGTGCAAGCAAGTTCATTACCAAAAGGCGCCACACAGCGGCGACCACCACTGAGGCATTTTATCAGAATCTCCCAGATTTATGTCCAAATAAACCGGAATATTTTAAAAAGGATTACAATAGCAATGTATTGAGACTGAGCATTTTCTCCAAAATAAATGGCATCCAAAGTTAACCAGCGTCTGAATTAAGTAACCTTCACTGTATTATTAAAACTGCTTCCTTCTGCACACTTAACTGCTGGTCAAATTTGACACAAACCTTTTGCAACGGGAAATCTTAAGCAACTTTGAAATCACAAAATTTGGGGAACTATACTTAAAATGACTAAGAACACAATGAGCTTGCCTCACTTATTGGAATCTAATATGTAATATTTCTTAATGGAATTCCGTAATCCTGTGCGTCTGCATTACACATGTGTGGTTATTGGATAGAATCTTATTTGCATAGCTCAAATTCCTTTTCTAGGTAAACCCATTCAGAAATTTGTTTTATTAGATCCTATTGTATAAGTGTGACAACTTTGACATAATCCTAAGAGATCTAACTCCTTATTCAAATATGAGTACAGTACATCTTTAAAACAAAAGTGATTGTTTCTGGAAACAAAAAAAGGCAAACAACAAGGAGAGGGGAACCAAGATATCCTATTTAGTTCTGAACACTATGAATTCATCAACTAATTAACTTAGCTTTCAAATTTCTGTTGTGTTGACATTGAAATCTGTGTTGCCTACAAATAAAAATCCTGTAGTTTAGTGGTTAGAAACTTGAAATTATTCTGAAATTGGTAATACAACAAAGCTACTCATAATTGATGGACATTAGTGGGAAGCTGCTTCCATTTCTACTTGTGTTTATTCTTTTGTTTGCGTTTTTAAGGAATCCCTTTCAGAAATTCCCACTTTTGGATCAGGATGTATGTGTGTTAGCCTGGCCCAGTGGTCAATGGTTGTGGGCTCAAGCCCCACATGCAAACTTGGAATCACATACTTGAAGATAACATTCAAATGCGGTGCTGGGGACGAGGGGGAGATTCTGTTCAGGTGGACTTTGAAGATCCCATATCAAAAAGTGAAGTGAGTTTCTTCTGATGTCCTGGCCAACAAGTCCCCCAAATAAAATTGGTCACTCACTCCATGGCTGTTCATGGGACTTTGCTCTACACAAACTAGTTGCTGCATTGTATCACCTCACCTACCCCCCCCCCCCCCCCCCCTCTGCTGTGATCATTCCCACATCATCTTGGTCCCAGACACACCTTTTCTCTCCCTGATCTGCCTGTTCTACCCCCCCCCCCCCCCATTTGTTTTGCATTATTACCACCTCTATTCCCCTGCTTTATTGCAATCCTCCCTTTGTTTTGCTTCATTAACCTCTTTAACCCATCATCCCCTGTCCTCTACCCCATCTTCTCCTTTGTCCCCCTTCCCTGCCTCCCCGTGTCTGTTAGCCCTTAAAAGCCTCTCCCTCCCAACACGCCCCAGTTCTGACGAAGGGTCGTGGACCCGAAACGTTGACTCACTTTCCTTTCTCCATAGATGCTGCCTGACCTGTTGAGCGTTCCCAGCGACGGCGGCAATACGGCTTCTGAAATCAGACCAAATTTAAGAAGTTTGCTTGATTCTTCAAAATGAAATTTGAAGGCAGATTGGACCGGGTGGAATTTGAGTCGTTTTGAGCGGAGAAATTAAAATACATTTTGTAGCCCAAAGTCCACCCCATACGAACCCAAAAGAAGTCCAATATTATACGTCGCCTCCTCTGAGTAGCCAGTTCAGGTTGGATCGTTTGCAACTGTGTAAGGAAAGGTCTTCAAAGTTTAAAAAAAACAGAAGTTGTACAGGTTTGAATGGGGTTTTTTTTGGGGGGGGAAAGGCACCCGCCCAAAACGCCGCTTTTACACGCGCAGTGCAACAAAACCCGCCCAACGTGGGCGTCAATCCGCCCAACCGACCGCGCCCCAAGAAGCGGGAGAGCGCGCCTGCGTGAAGAGGAGGGGGTGGGGGCTGCCGTTTGTGACGTGGCGGAACCCCCCGGGGAGTGACAGCTGGTCCGGGCCGCGCGTGCGCCGCCGCCTCCCCCCCCCCTCCCCCCCGATGCTCGGCTGCCGGCGGTCTGCGGCTGCAGCCTGTGCCCAGGCGCCAGGTAAGGTCAGCCCCACACAGCATGGTCTGCGGCGGGGCCGGCAGCCTGGGCATCGTCCTGCTCTCTGCCGCCGGCTTGTTCGTCTGCCTGCGGGAAGAAGGTACCAGAGCCGTCCGGAGATGGCGAGAGGATCTGCTGCCGACAGCCCTCGTCACGGGGCTGCGGTGCGGAGCAGGGAATGACCAGGAGAGGCCCACACGTCCCTCCAGCGCACGGTCACATGTAAAGGGCACCGTCTGAGTTGCAGACATGTGAGCCCCCACCCACACACACACACACACACACACACGACCTCAATGGCCTGTTGCTGTCGGGTCCCTGACAGGCTGAGAGCACAAGGCTGGGGGGACAGTACACAATAAGAATAATCCTTACATTTGGTATAGACGTCTCAAAGCACTTCACAGCAGTTGGACTTGACAGCAGATCCAGTGAAGCACTTTTGGCGATTTTCAGTAACGTGATACGATACAATATTAAATGCAAGGATTATTATTATTATTATTATTATATAACAACCAGCCGAACTGTGGGATCGGGATGGCTAAGCATCACCAGTTGTGTTTGCGTTTATACCTTTATGCTCTCTGTGGACGGTTAAGATATTTGTTTACTAACTTTGGCTGTGACATGTGCAAAAACAGTCACTGACTGTGAAATCCGCAAAAATAGAGATCTGATGCTGTTCGGCTTATCGGTCAAACCAAAAACAGTGCAAGAAACGAGGACAATAAAATGTCAGTCAATCTATTACTTTTTGTGTATTTCACAAACAACAATGAATCTATATAAAGCTCATTGAGAGTTACAGTGCAAGTAGTCCTATGCTGTTCAGCACTCCCAGCACTGCATACGAACACTAGTAGGCCATTCAGCCCCTCAAGCCTGTTCTGCCATTCTGTCAGGTCATGGCTGATCTGTACCTCAACTCCAAATACCCGTCCTTGCCCCGTATCCCTTAATACCCTGACCCAACAACTGTACTGGAGTCGTCAGGCTACATTATAAATTCTGGTTTAGGCCGAATACAGAAAATTCTAATACAAGAGTTCAGAGTGCAACCAACTAAGCCAGACTAGTGCTTAATAATGAATTAGTAATAATGTTACAAAATATTGCATACCGTAATTTGTTGGAATCATTGACATGTGCCTAAGATCTTTGGAATTGAAATTCATATAGTTTCACAAAGTTGTTGGGCACTGTGTGTGCAACACACGTGATAACTGGTTAGTTTTGGAAGTACAATACATGTCATTGTTTTCTTTTAAGGCTGTAAAAGCAACTTAGAACAACATTGATGACGCATTAGAATTCTCTAAGTCTGAATTCAATTGGAAAGATTAATAATGGATGATTTTCTTCAATGTATGTATTTTAGCCTAAAAGTTTTGTTTTGCTCTTCTGCTTTTCAGGTCTGTATAGAACTTTTGTATTTCACAGTCACAGACCTGCAAGGAGTATGGAAAATAACATTCAGCTGGTCAGAAACATCATTCCTCCTTTAACACAAGAAAAACATAAGGGTCAAGATGGAAAGATCGGAATTATTGGAGGATGTACTGAGTAAGTGTGGAATGGCTAGAAATGGCATTCAGGAATAATCTCTTCCCCCCACCCCCCACCATTAACCTCTGCTGTGCACAATTGGCTGCCGCGTTTCAACCACCAAATATACAGTCAATTCACTTTACAGTATATTCTGTGAAGCGCTTTGAGACGTCTCAAAATCGTGACAAGGCGCTATATCAAATACAAGGATTATTATTATTACAAGTCTCGGTTTCACCGTGCTGTGTTTTACTATATAAATGATGGGGTAAACCTGTGGCTTTGTAGCATTCCCTTTTTCTCACTGGACAGGAAAAGAGTGTGAACATCTCTAGATTTAGCTTGGGCTGCACATCATAGATTGAAGTGTTCTGTCACATTTTACTGATAAGCATCAAAAGTAATTTTCTCTGAAAGACAGTTGAGGATTAAATCACTGCAGACGTGTAAACAGATAGATACGCATGTCACTAGGCTTTAGTAAAGCATTGCCTCCTAGTGTGTGAAGTACTTTGTTTTCCTTTTGCTATATTTTATCAATAGGGAATAATGTTGGAGGAACGAGAGAAATAATGATATTGACCGCAAGATGTTCAACATTATTTCTACCTGTGACCATTATTTTGCTTTTACAGATATACAGGAGCACCATACTTTTCTGCGATATCAGCACTAAAACTGGTATGTATGTACCTGCCTGTGTTCATAGTTGAAGAGGCACTGTTTATGGACATATAAAGATACAGTTATAGACATAGAAACCTCTCCAAACAGTTTTTTTAAAACTCTTCTTATCTGCAGTATCATTTTGGAATACATCAATAGTGACATAGGACTCATCATTTTTTAATGCCTTTTGTATTTTGGTGCAAAGTGTTTTCTATCCTATATGTCGTTACATTTGTTTAGAAACATTTCTTTGCGACTTGGAGCTTGTTGGATACTAATTAATAAATAACTACCAATTGACTAGGACCAATGGAAGGAGATCAGAAGGGAGAGAAAGCAGGAAGAACTGAGTAGAGGGTGTTTGGTGTGACTGTTGGATTGTGTAGCTGGAGACCAAAAATAAAAGAGTGTTCTACACATTGTTTATTGAGAATGTGACAGAGCTTTAAATTTTAGATACATCTGCAAAATAAATGTGCTGTTTATATTCAGCTGTTTAGTGGAAGAAACTAAACAACTCTGATAACTTTCTGGTTGTAACTTTCTGTTCATCATATAATTTCTGGTTCCCTGTACATACTAAATAGATCTTCACGTGGAAGGGAGTAAGGAATACATGGAAACTCCTCTAGATTATAGATACTGGCACAGACTAATTGGGCCGAGTGGCTTGTTTTGTTTCTGTGCTGTATGTTCTTTGCAGTAACTTATACAACTGTTTTTTGTCCCCACCAACCAATCTAGTACAGTTGAATCCCCAAAAGTTAATTACTAGTTTGTTATTGTTAATATTTCAAAGAAACACAGTCTTTCTCCAAATTATCCTGGTTTATATTCCTCTCCTAATCCTAATTTTTTATCCTAATCCAAATTCAAATTAATTGTCTATTCATCTCATTGCTTGTGCAGATTACCTGCTTGCTGTATTTGCTTTAATAACAAAATTCACTCTTATTATAAAACACTTTACAATGTTTTTTTAATGCAAAATATGCTATACGGATGCAACTTACTATTCTTTTATCATTATGATACAGTATTTTGGTGAGAAATATGAGTTTATTCATTCAATAGATTATTTGAATGCTGATAAAATAAGTTAGCTGTATATGTTTGCACCATAGCAAAGTATAACACACATTCAGCAATTCAATCTCATCCCAAACTAGAAAATGCTTAAAATATGCACTTGGTGGCAACTCTAATGATATAGTAAATGAAGCTGCAATGTATGAACAAGGAGTTGCTGGTTAGAATCCTTGTCTGTGCTGAGTTTGCTGGTCTCAGCCAGGACTGCAATGGGAGACTAAATTTGTTCCCAGGAACACAGCAGAGATCCTGCTCCTGACCCTTCGCATCGCCCTCTACTGGTAATGTGTGTCTCTCTCAGTCAGAGGAGAGGTCAGGCTCGGCTGCGACACCCTCTCCAGTCGAGTGTGTGGACCAACGCCAATGTTCACACATAAACAGTGCCCACTTGGGCCACGTACACATGGCAACCTGCACCCATGTAGCCTTGCACCAACATGAGAAGATGAGAACTAGAAGAGGCTGTAGCTCAGTGGTTAGAGCACTCGCTTTGCAAGTGAGAGACCTGAGTTCAATTCCAGGCAGAGGGCGAAACCTTGGGCAAGTTTCCTTACTCCACACAGAGCCTAATAATAATCCCTCCAAAACCCAAAAACAATAATAAATTGGTCATTTTCAATCCATGACTGTTTGTGGGACACTGCTGTGCGCAATTGGCTGCCACGTTCGCCCACAAATATACAGTCAATTCACTTTACAGTATATTCTGTGAAGCGCTTTGAGACGTTTAGAGGACGTGAAAAGCGCTATATCAAATGGAAGGATTATTATTATGACAACAGGGAAAACATTGGAAAGTAACTCAAACGCACTAAACTATAAATAAAATTTAATTTTATCTTGTCAATGTTTTGTCTCTTGTACTCCATACCATCACTATCTCCAGCCATGAGACTAAACCAACTGATGGCAGTGTGTCACAGGAGCCAAAGCCTGTTTCTGTTAGCTGTGGTAGTGAAATCTCACTTCCCTCCATTGCTACAGAGTTGAACAATCTTGCGTGAATGCACACAACTGAATTTTTTTTATTTCGTTTTTTTGCCAGTTGTGCAACTCCAATGTTGATACTTTTGTACAATGTCAGGTTAGAGAAAGAGATAGACAGAATTGACATTCCAGAGAAAGAGAGAGAAGGTTAGAGAGAGAGAATGATAGACAGGGAGGAGAGTAGTAAGAGGGATGGGGGTCACATTACACATTACAATAGTCACTAGAAACAGAAACAGCCCCCATGAAGGCAGAGGCCAGTTATGGATTGCATGATCTCTCCCAGCAGTGAGGACAGCCAGCTTGACTTTCTGTTGGATCTTTTTGCCCCTTTGAAGCTCACATCCTCATGACTGATAATCACAACTCGTTCCAAGAAATCAAAACATCTTTATTTGAAATACCTCCCTGCTCAGAAAGTGTTTTCCAATATTTTGGACTTATTTTGTAACTATTAGATTATGGGATCCTAAGAATGCCTATTGGTATGAAAAAGCTGCATGCATGTGTAGTTATCGTGTTTATTTCTTAAACGTATATATTTCTTAATATTTTTAGGGTGCCGATTTGTCCCATGNTTTTTGTACGAAAGAGGCAGCTCCAGTTATTAAATCATACAGCCCAGAACTCATTGTCCACCCAGTGCTGTAAGTTCAGTTTCATTATCTTTCAGTGCATTCAAAAATTCTAAGATACCTTTTCTATACAAAGAGGCAGACTAACTTCATGTAATATGCTGTAATTTGATCAAAACAAGGACACATGCTTCGAAGCATTATCCTGTGTGAAAGGCAAGTTGTTATTGTTGAAAACTACCAAAAAAAGGCTAACGAGATGGAAATGTCTGTAGCAAGTGTTTTTATTATTATGTTTTTTCCCTGAATAGCCAGAATATTATATTAAACAAAAATTACATGTTTCACACTTGTTTTTTCTTTGCATTGAAGATATATTATTGTGGAGTCCTGTAGATCAGTGGTTAGAGCACTCACCTCACAAACAAGAGACCTGGGTTTGATTCCCGGCAGGGCAAAACCTTGGGCAAGTTTCCTTACTCCATACCCCTGATTATAATCCCTCAAAAAAAAACAATAATAATTTGGTCCCTTCAATCCACGACTGTTTATGGGACACTGCTGTGCGCAATTGGCTGCCGCATTTCGCACATAAAAATGCAGTCAATTCACTTTACAGTATATTCTGTGAAGCACTTTGAGATGTCTGGAAGATGTGAAAAGCTCTATATCAAATTCAAGGATTATTATTATTCCTTCTGCTTTTTGTGTTATATTAATCTACATTAATTGATAGATTTTTGGTAGGTCAGGGTATTAAGGAATATGGGGAGAAAGCGGGAAATTGGAATTGAAACGATTAGTTGAGTTACAGATCAGCAATGATCTAATTAAGTGGCGGAACAGGCTTGAAGGGCTGAATGGCCTCCTCCTGTTCCTATGTAATCTGCTTTCCTCACTGTATTGGAATTTTTCCACAGTAATTCATTTCTACATTAAAATCCTTTATCTTTGTCCAACCACCTTGTGCCGCTTTGTAGATCTACTACAATGTATTGTATTTCTGATCACTGCTATCAGGTGGCTGTAAATGGGTATAACAAAAACACATTATTTTAATGTACATATTGATTCCAATGCTGCCAAGTGGCACTGTGGTGCTCTTGTAGTCAGTGTTGCAGAAGAATGGATGAAAGGGTGAATGTTGAAAAGCTTCTCTGATGTTTCACAATTCTGATGGTCAAAAGAAAAAAAACCCCACAGATTCCACTGTAATTTGAAAGATTTTTTTTAACCTGAGTTGTAGGTTCTGTGCATAGATTGCACAGGTAAAGAGTTTGTAGTGGATTAGCTAACCTTCAATGTACTGGATAATTATTTATTATTTTAAGAGGATCAACTCAACTTTGTAGTGTATCCTGTGAAGCGCTGTGGGACATCCTCCTGATTTGAAAAGCGCTACATCAAATGCAAGGATAATTATTATTCATTTTAGAGTGTGCTTCATTTTTATAATGCTGTCTCTGTATCAAGACAAGAGCCACTGTGTGTGAACAGTGGCTTCAAGCCCTCAATCAGGGAGATTGGTGAAGACCAGCTTCCAAACTTACCACCTTTAACACAGATCTTTTCATATCCTATAAGTTTAGAATAAAAATGATATTCAGAGGTGAAAGTACAAATCATTTAATCTGTAAATAATTAAATCACTGCCTTGAGACGTCCTCCCAAAGTGGAAGATGCTATATAAATGCAATTTGTTATAGTTGTAAATTATTTAATATCCGACACTAGTTGCCATGTAGAGTATATTGATTGTATTTTGATTCAAGCAATGTTTGCTTTCTGGTTATTTACCGTTTGTCTTTGCAGAGACAGTCCTAATGCTGTTGAGGAAGTGGAAAAGTGGTTACCTGCTCTTCAAACAATAGTAGTTGGCCCAGGTTTAGGACGCGATGATAGCTTACTCCAGAATGCAAAGGTGAGATGTAATCAAGCTCTTAAGTTAGTGTTTAAAAATTATCTGTAAAGTTTCTCCTGGGAAAATTACCAGATATTTACTGCTGTTCCTGTAATTTTCTCCTGTCTGTCCCCGAGCTCAACCCTGAGCTTACAGTTTCTTGCCACTTCAGCTCTCCATCCCACTCATGCTCTTAACCTTTCCATCCATGGTCTCCTACGCTGTTCCAATGAACCACAGTGCAAGCTCGAGGAATAGCACCTCATCTGTCTGCTAGGGACCTTACAGCCCTCTGGCCTCAATATGGATTTCAATAATTTCAGACCATAACAGCTCACTTTCTGGTGTGCCTATTTTGTTGCAATTTTCCCCCCTTTTGTTTTGCATCATTTAACCCATCATCTCCTGTCCTCTGCCCCATCGTCTCTTTTGTCCTCCTTGTCCTGCCTCTCCCCTCTCTGTTAGCCCTTAAAAGCCTCTCTCTCCCAACATGCCCTAGTTTTGACGAAGGGTCATGGACCCGAAACATTAACTCACTTTCCTTTCTCCACAGACGCTGCCTGATCTGCTGAGTATTCCCAGCGACTTCTGTTTTTGTTTCAGATTTTCAGCATCTGCAGTATTTTGAGTTTTGTCCAAGTAATTATTTGTCATGTGTGCCCCTAGATAGAGAATATCAGGCTGTATGACTGAGGAAATAAAAATTGAGCCTGATCCTATCACTCAACATCAATGTACCAGTTTCCAGCTGGGATCCTGGATATTGGAGAAGAACAGAAACCCTGTTATTTACCCCCCACAGACAAGGGCACTGAAACTAATTGTGGCAAACCTACTGTTTTGACTGAGACCTAATAATTTAGCACCAATTCAGACCCAGCTGCTCCTTTTGTTCAGCCTGCGTCATGTCCCCTGTCCTATCCCCTGTCCCTCTGACTCACTCTCTCCCTCACCTCGTTCAAGGTCCACCTCATTGGCTGCTTTCTTTCGGTCATTTCCCCCCCCACCCAGTTTGGGTGCCTAGCCAGCGGTGTTGAGCGCTTTCGGCCATCCTCCCAATGTGAAAGCCGCCATATTTGTATTGCAAATTTGTAATGTAACAGTGATAGCATCTAGTAATTTCAGGGTTAATGTGCCTCAGTTTCACATAAGGATGTGCCTTTACTAAGTGAATCATCTGCAGAGTTAAACCACAGATTTGTAAAGCAAGATGCACAAAGAGATAATGAGTTTTTAAGCTTTTAACTATATGGGAGTTCTAATAAAAATTCAGATGGAATATGATTGTCCAAACACATCAAGAGACTCTGCTGGGAAAGTTATGTTCTCTGATTACATTTTGGTGCAGCAGTAAAGGTAGTAAATATTGTATTTTGTTTCAGGGTATTATTGAAAAGTCCAAGCTCAAGAGATTGCCTATCGTGATTGATGCGGTAAGTAATAGTGAAATACTGGGTTAAACAACAACAAAATTACATTTGTAAAGCAGCTTTCACTTCAGGAGGACGTCCCAAGGCACTGACCAGTCCAGGATCAGGACCCAAGCATGGGGGGCAAGGTTGGGATGAGGGAGGGCAGAGAGGGGTTAGGAGGGCAGCTGGAGGAGGGTCTTGAGTCGTGTCTTGAAGGAGGCAAGTGAGGGAGCAAGGCGAAGGGATTGTGAGATGGAGTTCCAATGGGTGGGGCCAGAGAGGCTGAAGGCACGACTGCCGATTGTAGGGTGGGTTGGGCGGGAGACACGGAGCAGGCCAGAGTCTGCTGAACGAAGGGAATGGGTAAGCTGATAGGTTCATAAACAACCAAACGTGCACTTGTGTGGAGCGCTTCACAGTGACGGGATTTAATGCTGAGCAAGGGGTGAGGGGGAGATGACCATAAGCATGGTTGATGAGATAGGTTTTAAGGTGGGATTTAAAGATAGACAAAGTGGGGGGTGAGCTGGAGGGATGGAGGCAGGGAGTTCCAGAGGTTAGGGGTATAGTATCCAAAAGTTTGGCCATCAATGGGAGTGTGGAGGGGCTGGGAGGCCTGTGTTATTGAGCAGAGAGGGAGGGCAGACAAGCAGGATATGAGATGATCAGAGCAATAGATAGGTGCTAGAGTGTGAAGGGATTTGCCTTCACATGCTACAAAGACAGGAATAAATTGACAGTAATTACTGTAAAATGCTTTGAGACATTTGATCATGGTAAGGCACTATAAAATGCAAGTTCTTCAGTACTAAATAAAATAATGAAGGCCTGATTATTATTATGATAAAATAATAATACTCCATGCATTTGATATAGCACCTTATCATGTCATTGAGACATCTCAAAGGCTTTCACATCCAATCCTATAAAGTGGTGTGACTTTTAAGTGATTATTGATTGTATTTATCTTCAAATTCATGAGAATAGGTGAGGGTAGGAGCCCTGGAGTTTTGAATTAATTGGATTGTGTTGGAGCTGGGGAGACTGGTGAGGAGGGCATTGGAAAAATCAAGACAAGAGGTGCCAAATGCATGGATACAAAAGTTTATTGTTGCAAACTTTGTAGGTTTTCCACAAGACTTTATGGGGAATGAAGATCTAGTTAGCTTCTTCCAGACTAATCACAAAGATTTCATTTTAGGTTATTTTCTTTTCCAGGACGGATTATGGCTCATTGCCCAAGAGCCGTCTATTATTCAGGGCTACAGCAAAGCAATTCTGACTCCAAATGTCGTGGAATTTGGCCGGCTTCACAAAGCAGTGGTAAGCTCGAAGGAATAAATCCAGGTGCACTTTAATCCACGTAGAATCATTGTTAATAGCTTTCTGCTTGTAATTTCTTGCTGACGGTTTAATGAAGCTTATCGGTGACACCATACTATACAGTTGCCATGACAATAATAGATCTGTACTGGCAGGTGTATGGATTGCAGTACACTGCCTGGACGCTGCCTTCATGAACTGGCTTGGCAGCGCTGGTCACTGAACCTTCAGCGAAAATAAATTGAGATGAGATCTTTTCCAGACCTAATTTATAAGAGATATCCTGATGACAAGTGGTCATATATGGATTTTCTACATTTTAGCTCAAGAGTTCTGTGGATGTCGCTGATCATCATGATACGCTACTTAAACTCAGTCGAGCGATGGGAAATCTGACTATTGTCCAGAAGGGACAGAGAGATCTTATTTCAGATGGAGACACAGGTAAACATTGCTAATTTAATCATCATCATAGAATCAGCTGTCTGTGTAACTCAGTGCATTTTGCAGGATATAATTTGGTTTGCTCTGTTAAGCGTTTATGCACCAGAAGCAAAACGGTTGGAGACTTTATAATCCTGAACATGATCATGCAAATTAATGACTTTTGTCACCCTATAAGTCATGCTTCGTTGTGGAGAATTGAAGAAATGTTGGGTTGAAAAATGAATAGATTGTTGCATTTAAGATGTTGTTTGTTCCAGGAATAGTCAATAAAATAATAAACAACTTTTTTTTAAAAAAAAAGTTGACTTCTGGCTTCCTTTCAAAGATATAACCAGTTCCTCATTTCAATGAATTCTTAGCTCACCAGTCTAGGGTAAAGGTAGATTTTTTGGATATGCCAATGATGGGCACAAATCAGTTGAAGTATTGAGAATAATTTCTTAGTATTATTTGAAGACTTTTTCAACTTTTTCAGAAAACATTTGGTCTGGGAGAGTGTTTTTTTTAAACTTAAGACCATTTTAATCCAAATTTCAATCTGAATTGAATGTAATTAAAAAAATCAAATGCAAAAATCCCAAAACTTTGAGTGAATGATGCCTAGATTTTGGCATAGAGTAGTCACTCCACATTTCCAGGGCATGTGCTGGCACTACTTTCTTATCAGCATTTCTGTGCAGGCAATATATTGTTTTTTAGGTCTCTAATATAATACAGACCAAAACATATTTCACATGCAAAGCAAAGTGTTTCTTTTGTGCCTCTCCACTGTCACTCAGGTAGATGGACAGCATTTCTCTACACCTTTATCAGTGTTGTTATATAATAAAACCCAGGCAACACAAAACAGTTCTTTCTCCCCTCTACCTAAAATAACTAAGTACCCATTATAAATATAATTACCAGTTTAAACTACTCTGTTCACTTCAATTCTGAAAAATCTCAGAATAAATCATCTTTTATCTGCTCAATGGTGAAGCCCAAATTCTGAAGGGGTAATTTCACCAGAATGACGATTGTTCTGTACCAAGTTAATATTAATTGACCAGTCAAAAGCTTCCATTGTCTATTTAATAACATTGGTAAATAGCATTAAGCATGAGAAGAGTTCTGGGCAAGGGCTTGCTTATACAACGCTCTCCTTCGCTCCTGACCTATGCATAGTATCAGCAGGAAATATCAATCAGGCTTCTCACTTCTCATCACTTCCAGCAGTGTAAACTGATCAGTATTGGAGTCCTGTAGCTCAGTGGCTGGAGCACTCACCTCGCAAACAAGAGAGACCTGGGTTTGATTCCCGGTAGGACAAAACCCTGGGCAAGGTTCCTTTATCCACACGCCTGATAATAATCCCTCAAGAAGAAAAACAATAATACAATTGGTCACTTCAATCCACGACTGTTTGTGGGACACTGCTGTCTGCAATTTGCTGCCGCGTTTCGCCCACAAATATACAGTCAATTCACTTGTGGAGTCCTGTAGCTCAGTGGTTAGAGCACTCGCTTTGCAAGTGAGAGACCTGAGTTTAATCCCAAGCAGGGCGAAACCTTGGGCAAGTTTCCTTACTCCACACGCCTAATAATAATCCCTCCAAAACAAAACAATAATAAATTGGTCATTTTCAATCTACGACTATTTGTGGGACATTGCTGTGCGCAATTGGCTGCCGCGTTCGCCCACAAATATACAGTCAATTCACTTTACATTGTGTTCTGTGAAGCGCGTTGGGACTTCCTCCCGACGTGAAAAGCGCTATATCAAATGCAAGGATTATTATTATTAAATGTCTCCTGAGAAGCTGCATATGTGGTCGGCTTCCAAGTATCACATTGCCAGTCTGTTCGCATAGTCCCAAGTAGCTTGGAGGACATGAATGCACAATTAACAATACAAAGTGTACCATTTTTGTCCAGACAAGTCAAGTTTTGTGCTTCTTATAAAATGCTGACTCATCTGGAAGAAGAATATAATAAATCATTTATGACAAGACGAGTCTGCTATATTTGTCCACTCAGCTTGCAGTATGGGTGGGTCAGTTGGTATTATTCTTAAATCGGATTCAGAAGCTTGTGGGTTTAAGCCCCACAGTGTTACTTTGAACTCATATGCTCTCTGCTGTTGATCCAATGCATTGCTAGTAGGGTTCCTGTCTTTTAGATAAGGCATTATACTGAGATCCTGTCAGTCTGTTCAGGTGCATATTAAACATCTCATGGCACCATTCACAAAGAGAATGGGGTTTCTTGCCAGATTCCTCAGTTCCTCTCTACAATGCAAACTATCATCCAGAATCTGCAGCTCTATTGCACCAAGTTTTGTGAGCCTATCACCCCAATTCTCACTCGGCTCCACTGGCTCTCCATCCCCTCGTGAGTTGAATTCCAAGATCCTTGTCTTCGCATTCAAGTCCTCATGTTCAAATCCCCCCAAGCTCTGGGCTCCTGTTTTTCTACCACCCCAGCTGCCCAATCCCACTTCTTATGCTAACTTATTGTGTAGATTGGATAAAAACATTTTTTCTACAAACCAACACAATTCTTTCTCATGGCAGCATATTATAGGAAAAGCTATAATCGCACAGCAGCTGTATTAAACTGGGTAGTGAGCTGTGTAAGTCCTTGTTTTGCTTCCTGACAGATAGCATCCACCAGGGAGTGTTAGTGTTGACTTTCTTCACCATTGATCGCTTTAAGCTAACGTGCCGAGGATTTCTCCTGAGGCAACAATCTGCAGCAGTTTATATCTTGTATCATAAACTTATTACCATAGGCATTCTGATGTGAAAGGGACTATATAAATAAAATTGTTGAAATTTTCATTGTTGCCTTGACTTGATAGCTCATTTTGACAAGTACTTTAGTACACTTGTGCTCCACACTAACCTGAAATTATAAGCCATCAGACACTTTTTGTGCTTTACATGAGTAATATATATTACTATTTATAATAATTTATATTTTAATAACCTCCTTTAATAACCTCCTGTTTGTATGTATCGGTGAATAAGTAACATGTTACCAGCATGATCTTGCTCATTCTTTGAAAGTCACTCAACGGCAACATACAAATGTGCCACAGAGTCTATACCTTGGTAACCTTTCTCGTGCTCGGAGCTACTTAAAGTTATGAGTTGTGTTATGTCCCGTGGCGTAGTGGTTAGAGCACTCGCAAGTGTACTAAAGCTCTCACAATTGAGAGGACCAGGGGTTCGATTCCTGGGTGGGGAAAACCTTAGGCAAGTTTCTTTACTCCACATGCCACTGTTTACCTAGCAGCAAGTGGGAATCCGGTTGTCAGTTGATCGGTGGATTGCTTTTCCAGGGGGTAATAATCCTTTTTTTAAAAAAAATGTGTTCACTCAATCCACAACTGTTTGTGGGACACTACTGTGTGCAATTGGCAAGTGATTCCTACAAAACTATTCCTATTTGCATGTGGAGCACATGGCAGACAATTGATCGCTAACTTCCCAATTGTATGGCTTACCTTACTGCTGGTGTTAAGCATTGAATCTGAATGCTCTGCATAGATCACTAAATGGCCAGTGCACTTAGTTCCAATCAGAAATGTATTTACAACAGCAGGTTAAGTATTACATTTGCTCAAATATATGTACATGGACAAAAGGGACATTGCTTTTCTGTAATTTGTAACTATTTAGGTGATTTCAATAATTTTGTCTTTGGCTCTATTAAATCTGATGAAACTTTAATTTGTTTGGCTTATTTCAATAACTGATAAAATCCAGGTCATTCTGTCCTTCGAAGGAGATGTTAAACCATGATGCTATCTGCTTGTTTAGGTGGACATTGACGTTCCCATAGCTCTATCCAAAAAGAGCAGGGAGTTTCTTCCAGTGTCCAAACAAACAATTGGTCATTCACATCAATAATAATAATAATAATCCTTGCATTTGATATAGCACTTTTCACGTCAGGAGGACGTCCCAAAGCGCTTCACAGAATATACTGTAAAGTGAATTGACTATATTTGTAGGCAAACGTGGCAGCCAATTGCGCACAGCAATGTCCCACAAACAGTCGTAGATTAAAAATGACCAATTTATTATTGTTTTTTGGAGGGATTATTATTAGGCGTGTGGAGTAAGGAAACTTGCACAAGGTTTCGCCCTGCCTGGAATTGAATCCAGGTGTCTCGCTTGCAAAGCGAGTGCTCTAACCACTGAGCTACAGGACTCCACAATGCCTGTTTGTGCAAGGATTATTATTATTCCAAAATAAAAAATCAGTAGTGTATAATTGTTCCCTTTTTGTTGATACTCAACAAACAATTTTCAGTGTCAAATTAACATTTAAAGATGTGCAGTTTCCTGGCAGTAAGCAAGAAAATCTCAATGGTAATTTAAAATAATGTTGTTTAAAGTTGTATGAGTTCTTGGCAAATGACTTAAGTGAAATCAAAATTTCTGAATTATATTGAAATTAACGAGTCAGAGGATAACAATTTTGTAAATAAAACAGCAGATCAAGACTAACCAAACAATATCATATTTCTCTATTCAGTGCTTGAATGCAGCCATGAGGGGAGCAGCCGCAGGTGTGGGGGACAAGGTGACCTGCTTTCAGGGTCCCTGGGGGTCCTGGCAAACTGGGCATTCATTGCTGGGAAGGAAAAAACAAATGGGTAAGAGTGGGCAACTCTCCAACAAGTTTTTAAATTGTGAAAGCCTGGTTTCATTACTTAGTAATTGTGCTTTACTGTAACTTTAGTCTCTGATACCTCTTTCTGTGGCAGAGATGGAATTCTCTTTGTGCCGTTCAGAAAGCTCGAAGTCAGGCACTCCAAGTGCTGCACTTAACTTAGAATCTTTCATTGAATTCACAGCTTTGGCTTTCTTTTCTCCCGAAATATATTTGCTCATCTCAGCTTGGTTGCCTGGAGTTAATGGGAGGTTACACCTGAGAAGCTTTATGGCTGGACTATCCAACCATACTAGCAAAGAATCTTAGAGTTTTAAATTATACTGTGACAATTCTGTTTCTAGCAGCAGAGTCACTATATAAGGTTAGCTAATGGTGTCTACTTCAGGGTTGATTTTTTTAACTTCCAATTTAAACAATAAAAAAATCACTGTATTTTGCCTCAAAATGCAATGAAAGGTTTTTACCTGCAGCACATGTACATGTCTGACTGTACATCACCAGGCTGGAGCGTGAATTTTAGATCAAATGAATTACAATTTTAAGCAAACCAAAATAGTTTTATAGTGTGCATCATTTCTGTTTGTGCTTAGATGCACTTTGTTTCTTTACCTCCAGCTTTCACTGAGATGGCCCTTAGTAAAATTTGCCCTCTCTTACCTTTCCTCAGCCTGAACCCTTCTCTTGTCGCTGCATTCGGAGCGTGTGTCCTGACTAGACAGTGCAACAACCAGGCTTTTCAGAAGTATGGACGTTCTATGACCACATCAGACATGGTTGCAGAGATCGGTACAGCATTTAACAAACTGTTTGAAACAAACTAGAAGGTGTTAGCAGGAAGAAAACGGAGTACAAAGTGCTTTGCTGAAATACGTTGTAAATGTTTTGAACTGTTTTGAACTGAAAATGCCTAAGCAGAAAGATTTAGAAATATTTTGACAACTTGCTTGGTTTCCACAACATGGTATGTATATAAGCTGCAGCATACTTTGAATTCAGTTTCTTTTGACCAATTATGGGTCATAGTCCTATGATAGCATTTGCAAGTCCTGAGCAGATGGGTGGGAGGTTCTGGTGTGTGGGTGATATTGTATTGGAAGAATGAAGAGGGCTCAAATGATAGGTAATCTTCCATTTGTGCTGTTCTTGATATAATAAATGTATAATGTGAAATTGGCACCTAATTTGTGGTATTTCTTAATCAAATTCTCAATAAAAAAAGTAATCACGTTTCTAAAACATCAGAAGAATGTATTCCTCAGAATATTGGGTATTTTGGAAATTCTGCAATTGCATTGTAAACATTTTTTAGAGTCGTTATTTTTTCTAATTTTTTCCCCACTGCCATATACCTCTGCTCCTTATGCTGGTGTCTGTCTCCACAGGTGAGTTTCCCACCAGTAGAATACCCAAGAGGCCATCGTTCTTGTGTGAACCTTGGCAGAGTGTTGGCAGGCTATTCGACAGACGAGGGCTTCAAATCCAAGCGTGGCCTCATCTGACCTCGCTGCCATATGTGCATTGTCACTGGAGATTGCAGTAGTGGGACAGGAGTAGGTTTATTATTCCCTAATCCTGGAAAGTTGGGGCCAATTTAGCCTCCCCATACAGCCCCAAACTATTGTTAAGAAATACAGTAGGTTATACTCTCAATATTCAGTTCTAAATTAAGACATCTACTTCTAAGAACTGGCATATTTTCAGGAAGTTGCAGAGAAATGATTGTGCCCGCAGGGAAAGTGCAATCTTACTCCCAACTGTTAAAGGTTACAGTTCACTACACTTTTGAAAGGCAAGGATAATAAATGGTGAATATAAATGTCTCAACAAATGCTATAAATAAAATTTCTTTATTAAATAGTATTTTTTTTAATACATAATAGTGTCTGAATCTGCTCAATTTAAAACACAGATCTTGCAGACAGCATATTAGCAGCACCAGTGAAGCGTAACAGAGTAGTTAGTAGGAGTTTGTTATCTCACACAGTGACTTACTGATCTCACCATTGGTGTTGTGGGAAGGTGCCAACCAGAGACCATGGGTGCCCCATGGTCACAATGAATGTAAATTGAAAAGCGCATCATGCTGTACTGCTGACTTGCACATGATAACTGGTCACAGAGAAGGAACAGCGAAGGCTTTAGGAGGAGGTTGCAAGGTGAAGTAAAGTTACTTTGTTCGCCCACCCACTCTCTTTCTTGCTAGTTATGGTTAGAGATTAGGAAGAAAGGAGAAAAACACATTCCATTTTCTGTATTTGAATTAGTTGATATGCGCTAACTTCATATTTATAATATTAGTTAATATGCCATGATCTTATAACAGCGACAACAAATTACATTTGTTTAGCGCCTTTCATGTCAGGACGATGTCCCAAGCAGTATCTTGCCCAAGAGTTCTGCCAATATCCAAAATTCTGCACCATTTTAATAAAAATAACCCAGTCTATCAAGCCACTCATAGTTAGGCCATTTCAGAGCAGGTGTACTGGCCAGCATTGATCATTCACATCATAGCCATGGGACACTACCAAGAATTGGCAATTGCGTTCATCCACTTTACACTAAAACCACATGAAGTATTTTGATTGTTCCCCAAACACGAAAGGCGCTATATCAAATGCAAGGATATAAAAAATTATGTTTTTGACAAGAAACATGGTCATACAATCACAACTTGATTTAAGTGTTAGAATGCTGCATGAATAATTAAGAGATTAGAGACAAAGGTCACTCGGGATAGCTTTAAATATCAGCTTAAATATCTCAAACTGCATATTCGGTTCTGTACAGTTATTCTATTCCATGTGCATCAACCTCCATTTGATGGTAAAAGCAGCACACTGTATGTGTAGCATACAGATTTTTAAAATGTGCATTTAATTCTTTGTGTTACACCGTATTGAAAAATGGGGACTTGGCAAGGAACAGGAGAGCAGGGTGTGAAACTGGTCTGGTAATTGCATGTTATTTGGGAAAGGTGAAAGGGGTCATGATTGCACAGCCTGTGTGACTTAATTTTTAAGCTCTCCCAGAGACAGCTGGTTAAACAGATTTTCCCCAAGAAAACCAATTCTAGTTTGGAGCAAACTAATACTCAGGGCAATTTCTACAGGTATTTCCGAGCTCCTAGGAGCGAGCTATATACTGGCTATATAAACATATTTCTGTGCTTAGTTCTCAAAAATGATTAAAGCCACAATTCACAAAACATTTGTATTGAATTGCATTTTATTTAGAAAGCTATAAATTCACTGATCAAATAAGCCATTGAATATGACAATGAATGGTGCAATTCATAAGCATTTCTGTTCCTTCTTAATTTTTTAAACTGTACAGAATGTTATCTTATTTAATTTTTGATATTACTGGTTGTAGAGCATACAGGGTTCTATAAACATACAGCACAATGATGAAAAAAGCATCAAGTGGTCAACTGAAATTTGATTTGATTCTACATTTTCATATCATGATTTCTCCTTTAGATAAAAAGGCTGAATGATCACAGCCTCTTACAGCATTCTGTGCAGTACCACTCCATGAACAAGTGACTAATATACAACACAATACAAAATTACATTTGTATAATGCCTTTCACAAACTGAAGGATGTGAGGATTGTGCTCGAGCATGGCTGGCATTGCCAGGCCCATTCCCATTCCAAAACATTGCCCTGACCAAAAAACTGGCAAAACTCAGCTCAATGAAGTACATTGATGCGACAGTCAAGATAATTTTGACTCCTTGGCTGGCAGTCCAACATTTCTACTTTCCACTAAATTAGAAATGCTCTAATTTAATAATGGGGTCAATTTACCAGTTATTTGCCACCACACTGCATGCACCAAAGACAAACAGACATTGCCTCCCATATTAATGCCAAAATCCAAGATGCTGCGGCCAAGGCACAGGGCAGTGGACTAGCCCATGAGCAGGACACCAAATTTTTAGGACTAGAAGATGATATCAAGTTTGGGATTAGGGAAGAGATGAAGATCTGTCTTTCGCACATTTAATGCGATAAAAATGGAATGGACTGTTAAATTGACCCTACATTTACCAAGGTATGAAAGTGAGCTTCAAATTGCCACCAAGTGTAGCAACTAGATAATTGTACATCGGGAAATTCCTGCACTTAGTGGCAAGAAGCATTTCAAGCCAATCTATAAAATAACTTGTGCAACTACCAGCAGTAGGTTATCCAGGATTTATCTCTATGGAGGAGTCAGTGAGGACTGTAAACTACCACTTGGATAGATTAGTTCCCAATTTTCCCTCTGTTGTTCAGTTGTTCTGTCAGCTCCCAAGTTGAAATCGCCCCCCGATCCTGTAAGAAGCAAAACTGATGTTTACAAAGTGTGCATATTTCAGTGAAATATATTTCTTATATTTTCAGTGCTTTGGGACGTCCTCCCGATGTGAAATGTGCTCTATAAATGTAATTTTGTTGTTGTTCTCTGTTTGGGCATTCTGAAAAATACATATTTTTTAAAAAAAAATTTGTGAGAATGGAATAACAGTACTTTGTGTGTCTCACTAATAGAAACCTGAAGAGAAACATAATATATAATACTTGCATTTGATATAGCGCTTTTCACGTCTTCTCACCGTCTCAAAGCGCTTCACAGAATAGACTGTAAAGTGAATTGACCGTATATTTGTGGGCGAAACGCAGCAGCCAATTGCACACAGCAGTGTCCCACAAACAGTCGTGGATTGAAAATGACCAATTTATTATTGTTTTTTGTTTTGGAGGGATTATTATTAGGCGTGTGGAGTAAGGAACGTTGCCCAAGGTTTCGCCCTCTGCCTGGAATTGAACCCAGGTGTCTCACTTGCCAGGCGAGTGCTCTAACCACTGAGCCACAGGACTCCAATAGGTCGGCAGCTTTTCATGACCCCCCAAGAATTTTAGAGATATGGACAGTCCCACTTTAGTTTAAGTGCTTGCAACAAAAATGATACCTCAGAGTTCAATATGAATGATACAAGTTTCTTCCAGTTATTGCATATACATTAGTTCCATGTAGCAGGCCATGACATTGGCTTTACAGTTCACTTGAGAAGGTAGTTTTCCTCACTACATAAGCTCCATATTTTGTAGTAGCTCCCACACATTTATTGTTTATATAATATCACTCAGAGGCAATTGTAATGGCTTAAATGTATTTCTGCAAAATAGTTTCTCCAGAATTGCAAGGTCAGGAATGGCCTTAATATTTGTACAACAACAACTCAAATTTATATGGCATCCCTCGCGGAGGGTAGAGTCCCAGAGCGCTTGACAGTGTGGAGCACGACGCCAAACCAGGAGAAGCAGATTCTAAGCACTGGCGAAGAGGAAGTTCTTCAGGCGAGATGGGGAAGGAGGGGGCAAGGCCGAGGGATTGAGGGAGAGTATTCCACAGTTTTGGGGTGCAGTGGCTGAAAGCACAGCCACCGATGGTGGAATGGAGGGTACGAGAGACAAACAGGAGGCCGGAGCCAGTCGAGCAGAGGTAACGGATAGTGGATTTCGGAGTAAGCAGATTGGAGAGGTAGGGAGCTGCCATGGCACAAGTAAATTGACAAATGTTATCGAGTGAAGTGCAGCTTCAGATCTCAGTCTATTTACTCTGAAGTAGACTCCAAGATTCTGAAGCATCCTGTATCGTGGAGTCCTGTAGCTCAGTGGTTAATAATAATAATAATAATCCTTGCATTTGATATAGCGCTTTTCGAGCACTCGCTTTGCAAGTGACAGACCTGAGTTCAATTCCAGGCAGGGCGAAACCTTGGGCAAGTTTCCTTACTCCACACAGAGCCTAATAATAATCCCTCCAAAACCAAAAACAATAATAAATTGGTCATTTTCAATCTACGACTGTTTGAGGGACATTGCTGTGCGCAATTGGCTGCCGCGTTCGCCCACAAATATACAGTCAATTCACTTTACAGTGTGTTCTGTGAAGCGCTTTGGGACATCCTCCCGACGTGAAAAGCGCTATATCAAATGCAAGGATTATTATTATTATTATCCCTGTTGAAATAATCAAATTTAAAATACCAGGAACAAATCCTGGAACATTGAGAAGATGCACACTAGCTTCATTTTTATATCCCGCCAATTTCTAACATGGGCAAAGCTATGAAAGAAAACTCCTTCACTGAGCAAAACATTTAACAATCAATGTTTTCTAACGTGATTTCAAATCAACAATGTGCTTAATTAGTTGAAATATAGTCTTTGATTAGAATTTGAAAGCTGCACTGGCATTCAAACACAATAAAAGAAATGACTGTACATGTCTCTGTGACACCAGTTTTGAAGGAAAAATCAAATGCAATTTGGCATTAATAGCAACATTTGGCAACAATGATCAATAAAGGAAAAACACAGACAGGAACTTGTATACTGGGAATTATAAAATGGTCTTGAGAACAGAGAACATTTGGCAAATAAGTGTGGGCCACCTGAATCTGAGTGCCTCATATCTAGCCCCAAACAAAGTTCGAAAATATTCATTTGGTATAGTTTATTCAGTTCAATTTATTTAAACCTCTTCCAGTGATACCAATTCGGGTTCCCACTGCCATAATTTTTTCATCTCTTTTATTAGCTCTATTTTGTGTCTTTACTAAAACGTTTTTCAATCAAGTGTCATACCCAAATAAAACCCAATTTTCCTCCTTCAGATGCTGATCGACCTACTGTGTCTTTCTTTTTATATGTTGACACACATCTATAAAATATCACTACTTATCTTCCTTAGTGTAAATTGCTCTGTAGCAGTAGATCATTATGGAAATCTCCTGTTATTCAACTTGAAAAAATTGGGATTTTTGTCTTCTAGCCATTATGGACTCCCAGACACTGCTACTGAACTTCTAAATCAGACTAGTTTAATAGATTAGGTTCTGTGAGCCTATCACCCCCATTCTTGTCCGGCATCACTGGCTCCCCATCCCCCAGAGGTTTGAGTTCAAGATCCTCATCCTTGCTTTTAAATCCCTCCATGGTCTTGCCCCACCCTACCTCTTTGACCTTCTAAAACTGTACCAACTCACCTGCTTCCCCACCTTGTCAGGCACTGACTTGCTATTCACGTACCCCTTCCTGCCTGTCTGGCCCCATTCTCTGCAACCCCATCCCAGAGTCCCTCCACTTCGCCACTTCCTTCACTACCTTCAAGGTCCATCTCAAGACTTCCTCTTTGACTGTGCCTTTGGGCATCTGTCCACCACTCCCTTAGCCCCAAAACCTCTCTAATCCAAATATCCAGCTTGGGTGCAAATCCTCAAATGTCCAGCACGTTGGGACATCCTCCCGACGTAAAAGGCTCCATAGAAATATAATGCAAAATCTTACACCTATTCTAATCAACAAACTTGCAATGTAAATATCTGTGTTTGACTACTGGATAGGGCTGTAGATCAGAAACCATTGTCCCCAGTTCTTTAAAGCATTAATATTCCAGCTGTCCAGTCCTGTAGTGAAATGCATTCCATCAGATTTTGTTTTCTAAATTGTATGCAAATTACTGTTTTCGGAAAGGAAACTTCATTAAGATTATCTATAGACACACATATAAGTGCTCTGACACTCCGTCCAGCATGAAGAGCACTATATAAATGAAAGTTGTTATTCTTATAAATTCTGAAGACTATTATTATTACTGAAAACAATAAAGTTTTGCTGCAATGTGGCTAATTTAAAATATGTATATATCTCACTCACTCTGAAACTCAATAGCATGCTCTAAGCAAACTATTCTTCAAACTTTTCACTGCTTGGAAATTTACAGACAGTTCAATGTAGACCTTGCAAGACCTCCTATAAAAAGGCCCTTTTCTGGTAACCAATGGTATTGCAGACTGTGATACATTTACACCATAATACAAGTCCTGCCTTGACCAGCAGAGGGTGCACACAACCTGTTGAGGGTAGGATCAATAAGAGTTCAGTGCACTCTGCTGACCTGTGACCGTAATAGATTGATTAATGGATTAAAGATCATACCATAGTACCAAAACTGATACAATATATAAATTTGTGAATTATAGAGCATAATAATCCCTTTAAACAAAAACAACTAAGAATAACTTGGTCATTCGATCTACACTGCTGTACACAATTGGCTGCTGTGTTTCACCTGCAAAATATTGTCAATTCACTTTACAGTATAATCTGTGAAGCGCTTTGAGAAGTCTCGAAGATGTGATAAGGCGCTATATCAAATACAAGGATTATAATTTTTATTATATGTTCTTTGAAACACATACAACAACAACTTGGATTTATATAGCACCCTCCCCGCAGGATGGTGTCTCATACACATACACCGTGCAGCATCCATATACTGCCTGTGTCGTACAATGAGAATACAATGTAAGAGAGTTCAGACCATTTTTAAAGTGTTACATTTACCATTTAAAATTGACTTGGTTAATTTTAAGTAATCATTTTTTGTTTCTCACTCTGCAACTGGTCACTTATGATGTCAGTTTGCTGTACAACATATTATCTCTCTTTATTTCACAGAGTATACATCAAATACTCTAAATTTCCACCCAGAAACTGTGGGCAGAAGCAGGTGAACAGTAGAGATCTCCAGCACCAAGAGAAGAACACCAAACTGCAAACTAAGCTCTTATATTTAAGATTGACTTTTTAATAGCAGCTTTCTTGAAATTAAATTTCATTGATTTTTTTGTGCTCATTGAGGCGTGGGACATCAGTGCTGTGGAAAATGTAAAACTGGCTATTCATCCTGTTGCTTTTGTGGGGTAGTGACCAGCTGCCTTATTTGCCTGATATCACTATTATCAGCTTCAAGTACTTTTAATCTAACTGGTGACAACAAATCGGCAGGTTAAACAAATTATTGAACTGTAACATAGTCCTCTGGATACTCTCACTAACCTTGATATCTATTCCTATAGCTGTGAGATCCAGACGCAGTGAATCACAGGCTTGGAGAAGAGGCTGCCGTTCATTCATCAGCCGTCTCTTTTTGTCTTTCAGTTGCTGCTTCTGCTCCTTAGACAATTGTTGAATCTCCAGCAGAGGCTGTGGTGCTGGTTCATCCACAGCCAGAGCGTAGTTCCTTACTTTCTGACGAAAATCAACCAATTGGTCAACAATACCATGAAGTGCTGCCAACGACTGACCTTCTGTCGTTACCTGACAAGAAAGGGTTGGACCAAGAAAGGAACAGGGATTATTCTTTCAAAGAGTTAGCATAGACATGATGGGCCAAATGAGCTTGTACGTTTCTATGCTTATAAGTTTCTATGTTTTGCAACATATATTTTTCATACATACTGTACTCATTCAAAGTGCTTTCATAAGAAACATCAATTATTATAATAGTCCTTGTATTTGGTATAGTGCTTTTCATATCCAGGAGGAAGTCCGAAAGCGCTTCACAGGATATATTGTAAAATGGAGTGATTGTGTGTTTTGTGGGAAATGGAGTTCTTCTGGGCATGCGTTCGATGGATCAAGACCACGTTTCCCGCTATTCAATGCAGCCGGTAAGTCAAGATTTGTTGAAGATAAGGGAGCACCGTTACGAGTTAGGAGGTGATAAATATGACTAGAGCATAGAAATCTAAGTGGTTTCGATAGGAGCCTAAATGGTACATGAGACGTCTCGAAGACATGATTAGGCACTCCATCAAATACAAGGTTTATTATATATATATACACATGATATATATTATATTTATAATATTTATATTTATATGATATATATTATATTTATAATTCTTACATTTGATGTAGCGCCTAATCACGTCTTCAAGACATCTCAAAGCCCTTCACAGAATATACTGTAAAGTGTAGTGACTGTATATTTTGTGGGCGAAACACAGCAGCCAATTGCACACAAACAGTAATGGATTGAGCGACCAATTTTTTTTTAAGGTATTATTACCCCCTGAAAAGCGATCCGCCAATCAAGTAATTTATTCCTATTTATTGCTAGGTAAACAGAGCCGTGTGGAGTAAGAAAACGTGCCCAACGTTTCGCCTTATCCGTGAGGCAAGTGGTCTCCTGGGTGGATGTACGACTTAAGTGATTATAGGATTTATAAAGACTTATGCGAGTTTTACTGTACACTGTCGAATCCTATAGCTTTGTGGTTAGAGCACTTGTCTCACAAGCAAGAGGACCTGGGTTTGATTCCCGGGTAGAACAAAACGTTATGCAACTTCCCTTACTCCACATGCCTCCGTTTACCTAGCAGTAAGTAGGACCCGGTTGCTAGTCGATTGCTGGATCGCTTCTTGGCTGCTGCGTTTCTTCCACAAAATGTAGTCAATTCACTTCACAGCATATTCTGTGAAGCGCTTTGAGAGGTCTAGAAGACGTGATAAGGCGCTATATCAAATGCAAGGATTATTATTATCACAGAGAGAAAAATCTTAGACATTTACATTATATTCTAGNTTTTTTTAACTGTTATTGTTGTCAAATAGGAAATTAATTACTTTTGCAGAAACCTCTAATTCAAGGATAGCTTTTAATGTCCTCTCGAAAAAGTTCCTCACCTGATTTTCTCTGAGAGAAATGCCAACCGTGTCCAGGAATTGGTCTATGTAAGAGATTATGGATCCAAAAACAACAGGGCTCCTGGTGTACCCCGCTCCCTGCTACAAACATAACAGACTTCCTATTCGTGTACTTTACTGGTTAAACAAGCAACTCTAGCAAAGAAAATACAGATGTTATACAAAAAGTACCTATCCTATGGTATTAGGTTTATCACTGAAAGGGGTAGAGGAATTGTTATGAAAGAGTACAGAATATTGCACTATTTCGATGGTGATTTCGATTATATTGCTTATGAAGACCCAGTTTCTTGTGTGTGAAGAAACCTGCTCGGCACACACTCATCTAGTTATAGATAAATAACCATCTTTCATTTCCTGGTAATAAAGTGGTGATTATTGCTTGACGTACAACCTAAATATGTCATGACTATCAATCCTGTGGTGGGATGTTATCTCGCTTTAACTACTAACTATACTACATTCACTGGTAGTGAATCAATGCCACTATGACACCCACTGATCCCAGACCAAATGAAAAATGCAACTATATGATCACAATGGAATAAGATCATCGACCAAATCCACAGATATGAGGAGTGATTGCAAGGTGGGTTCATATCTCAGGGTTCAATTCCTTGATGAAACAGCTACCTTATAATTGCTCTGGGTGTCTAAAAAATACAACCTCTTGATCCTAGTTGCAATTTCCAATCTGTAACTCCATCCCAACTAGCTATTTGCACAACTAGACATTAAATATGCCTTTGTAATTTCATTTTAGTATACAAATACAAACCCATTTGAGGTGAGGAGGGGGAAATTCTGCTTGCTTCAGAACATTGGTTACCCATTACCAAATGTTATTTGAGAATGAAGACTAATGCAGGAGAGTTACCAATTACTGGTCACAGAATCATAAACTCCACTCAGAACTATTGGAAAATTGCACAAACTGTGAGGAGGAAAAACAAAACAAAGAGCTTTTGGATTTGTTTCATAAAGGACTCTTAGGGTGAGGATGGCAACAGTTTAAAAAGACTGAGGCTTTTAAATGGGTAATTACCTACAAAACTACTAATATTGTTAATTTTGACATAAATAAATTTGGCATCTCATTTAAGTCTGTAAATTTCTGGTTTATGTAGTGATATGAAGAGACTTTGGCAACATGGTACAGGATCACATTTAGCCCAATAACCAGAAGAACTGATGTGGAATAATTGTTAACCCTTGAGAAAAGATAATTTGGTATTTTATAATTCAATAACACACCAGTACATTACATGGTTTTAAAATCAGTTGAACAAAAGAGACTTTAAAGACCAACGTGGCACATGCTGTGCTGATTGATGACTTGCTGGTTTGGACAGATACAATTCCAACTCTTGGTCATGGAATACAACCAAATGTAAAGTTGGGAGTCTTGCTCATATTTCCCATCTCCCAAAAGAGATTCCAACCTATGTCCCCAGCCACAGTGGAAGATGATCTCTTGACATACTTAATGAGGATGTCCATGAGGTTTACAAAAATGAACACACTTATCATGGCATACTCAATCATAACATGCCTCCGAGATACAACATTCATACATTTGGGGAGACCGAAACATAGAATCCTAATGTGTTACCTTTGGAACTACCTGAAGCTGTCTGTTCCCATGGTGAACAAGGTTCATAATTGAATCAATGGCCCTTGGGGTATCAAAGTCATCAGCCAAGGCAGTCTGCACATTAATTTTAGTTGTACTCAACCTGTATACAAAATTAAAAAAGTAACCTGAAATACTGTACAAACAAGAAAAAAAGTCATGAAAGTAAACCTATCAATCCATAAATCAAATAACTTGGTTATATCATGATAGGCTCTGATTGTAGCCAATCATATGAAGAGTTAGATGCCTGACGATTAATAATGAAAAGGTCAGAAAGTGTACACTGGCTGACCAAAACACAATACAATATACATTTATACAGTGCCTTTCTTGGAAGGACATCTCAAAATGGCTGAGAACCCGAGCCCGGGGGTGGGGAAGAATTATATAACTGCAAGTTTGAGGCACTTTAGAAGAACAATTAGAAAAGCTACAGGCAAAACAGACAAATCCTTCTCAAGATATGAACAAAAAATATTTAATGCATAAAAGAAGTAGCTCATTTGGAACAGTTCTTGAACTAGTTTTCTATAATCTACAATATAATGTAAAACATGCACAAAGTGAACAACAAAAACTTGCCTTTATATAGCACCCTTCACATGGGTAGTGTCTTGGAGCACTTAACAGTGATGGAGCTTGCGGCCAAACCAGGGTAATTGTAGGTACAATCAGAGAAGACAAGATAGAGGGATTGAGATAGTGAGTTCCAGAGTTTGCGGCTGAAAGCATGGCCGAGGGGTGGGACGAGGGATGTGCAGAAACTGGAGCCAGCTGGGCGAAGGGGGTGAGTTGAGAAGTGGGGTGTAAGTAAGCAGGTCAGCAAGGTAGGGAGGAGTTAAGGCGTTAATTCATTTTCAAGTAAGTGTGATCTTGAAATCGATCCATTCTGCAACTGGGAGCCAGTGAAGCCTAGGATGGACTGGAGTGATGGGTGCAGTGAACAGTAATCATTTGTGTTTGGTGTAAAGCAATAGATTTCAGAACTCTGACCCACAATCTTCAAACTAGACCCTTGTTATTAAAAAAAACATTTCCCCATGGAGGAGAGAGAAAAAAATTCTCAGACAATCTGTCTCACTGTTGTGTACCCATAGTAACCAGCCAAAGAACAGTATGAACACTGCTGCTTATCTCCAAGGACCAGTTTAAATGTGTTTAAACCTGTTATGTGAGTTGCCATAACAGGGATGCAATATGTCCTAGTAGGATCCTGACTTCCAAGGTTTAACTTATTGATCAATGGTTTATTGAACAATAGATATTTTATTCACCTCAAGTAAGAAACGAGAGTATCATTGCCCAGGATGCTCTTCAGAGTCAAAGACCAGAAAAAACCCTTTTCAACCACGAATCTATACTTTAAAAATCTCTGCACTGAGAAACCTAGACAGTGATACCAACTACACTGCAGCCATTGGCTAATTTGAGTTGACAACATGTATTACATAATGATCGGAAGGTGCAAGGAGGACTCAAGGACGTTTCTGTGCTTTCCCAAGTTGACCAAAGTAAAAATTCCCAGTTCCGATTCAAGTCAATAAATATCACAACCTGTAGAATAAGCTTTGCTTAAACTCATTTATTCCCTGGAGCTTGTGTCAATATCCCTTTAAGTAGCGAGAAGAAAGAACATGGCCGAGGCCACCTCAGTCAGCAGTAAACAACAACAACAACAACAACAAGATTCTATTTATAAAGCGCCTTTCACGTCAGGAGGACGTCCCAAGGCGCTGCACAGTTGGGTCATGACCCGAGCTGGGGGGAAATGGTCAGGGTGAGGGGAGGGAAGGGAGGGAGCGAGGAGGGGGAAGAGAGTCGAGAGGGGAGCTGAAGGCACGGTCAAAGAGAAAACACACTCTCTTCTCTTGTCAAGAAGGGAAGGAACAAGACCATAATTAATGAGCCAATAGTGCTAAAAGATCAAACCTGCTGTCCCCAGTGGACCCACATCCAATAGATTATTGGCTTCCACGATTGGGGACCTACCATAACACACACAATCAAAGAAAACAGGGAAGCAGGTGTTCAATTATGCAGAAATAGCCAGGGGCAACAAACAGAGGAACCACTCAAGTGATTGAGCTAACTTGATGTAAGGTAATTTATCTTTACAGGTGTTTGTTTCTAATTATTTAATGACGATAGATAGAGCCTGAACTACACATCAGTTACTAAGCACTCTCCAAGTAGGAACATATGTTTATTGGGAATATTTGCTGAGAAATATTCATTCATGGGAGATTTTCCCCTTTACTCAGAGATAAGTACGCAGTAAGAAACCAGTTAATAAACTGATGCGTACAAACTACAAATCAATCCTCAAGGGTTAAAACCTGCTTGAACCAAAAATATTATGGCAGTTTATCAACAGGACAGCAAGAAAAACATGATTATTTCCTTTCATAATTTTTGATTAACAAAGTGCATTACACATGAACCGTACCTTTCCCACAATAAGATTTCATCAACCTCTGGACACATCAGTTGTCCTCTCATGTAGGCAGACGCATTGTTGATAAAAGATGAAATAGACTGGAGATGGGCTTTGGCTTCAGACATACTAGCCTCACTGTAGTCCACAGCTGCAACACAAAACACAGCTTCAACACTGGGTTTGGTTCCACATCATTTCATTTCCCAATCTTGTAAAGGAGATCAGTTATATGCTCATCAACTATCATTTTGTACCTGATCTATATTTTGATAGAAGACAAAACATTCGAAATTGATTCGCTGTGAAGGTTTCCAAGAAATCCTGATAATAAAATTAATTGACATTTGTCAAAATTAGTATGCCGTGTTTTAGAAACAAAGAAAACATGCCTTTTTACAACATTTCATCACATCGAAAAGTACTTCACAGGTATTTTCTGTTGAATGCATTGACTTTTTGAGTACTCCCCAACCTTTCTCTCAAACTAATTGAACTAGTGCACAACAATGAAGTACAGTTCAATCCTCAACTCCTATTTCTTCTAAACATCCAGTCCCTGAGCAAGACTGTCTTTGTTCCCCCCCGCCACATTGCCCCCTCTGCCCTATCTCACACCAAATGCTTGGACTTTTCAAATGCATAAGCTCCAATTAATACAAACTTTTACCTCCCACATCCTCACCCACCCCAAACTCACCCTTATCTTTGCAGGCTCCACCATCTCCCTGCAGTTTAATTTCAAGCTTAGCAACTGTAGCTTAGTGGTTAGAGCACTCGCCTCACAAGTGAGAGGACCTGGGTTTGATTCCCGGGCAGGGCAAAACATTGGTCAACTTTCCTTACTCCCCACACCTCTGTTTACCAAGCAGTAAGTAGAAACCCAGTCGTTAGTCAATTGGCGGATCGCTTTTCCTGGGATAATAATCGCTTAATTTTTTTAAAAAACAGTAATTTGGTCACTCACTCTATGACTGTTTGGGGACATTGGTGTGCGCAATAGGCTGTCACGTTTCGTCCACAAAATATAAAGTCAATTCACTTTACATTATATTCTGTGAAGTGCTTTGAGATACAATAATAATAATCCTTGCATTTGGTATAGCACTTTTCACGTTTTCTAGACGTCTCAAAGCATTTCACAAAATATACTGTATAGTGAATAGACTGCATATTTGTGGCCGAAATGCAGCAGCCAATTGCGCACAGAAGTGTCCCACAAACAGTCATAGATTGAAGTGACCAATTTATTATTGTTTTTTTTCTTGAGGGATTATTATCAGGTGTGTGGAGTAAGGAAACTTGCCCAAGGTTTTGCCCTGCCGGGAACTGAACCCAGGTGTCTCTAACCACTGAGATGTCTCGAAGACTTGATAAGGCGTTATATCAAATACAAGGATTATTATTATCTCTTCCTCATCCTAATTTACTAACAATTCAGATTAATTGGCCACTCATTTGATTATCTGGGGAATGGCTGGCGTAAAATAACTGGGGGTGGCACTCAGCAGCAGGTATTTTATGCCCATCTGTCTGGCTCTTATTAAAAAAATTGTTTGGAACATTTCTAGAACTCATGGAAAAGTTCAAAGCAAAACTGAGATCAGTGGTAAGTTGGCGATAACGCAATATTTTCTGTAGTTTTGCAGTTTGGACAAAATCTGAAGCGAGTATCAAAGGATTTATTACAGATCTATCACTAAAAATTTGAAAGAAAATGTAGATGAAATTATAGATCCATTTCTATGGCCTCATAATAAAGATGAATTGTTAACAAAAATGTTCTCTCATAAATGCAATGTAAATTTCCAGTGATATTCACAATTCGAAAGAAAAGAGCAGATGAGAAGTGGGATAAAACATAAATCGAGCATTTGTGTATGGTAATAGCCAGACATAATTCTTGGTATTCTTAAAGGGACAGACATATGATAGTATTTTAATAATAATAATTGCATTTGATAAAGTGTCTTACCATATCGTCAAGACGTCTCAAAGCTCTTCACAGGATATCTAGAGTTATACCAACTACTTTTAACATCTGACACGCTTAGAGATTCTGCAACTCAGCTTAATTTAATTAGGATTATAATTCTATAGGTCATCTTGACATTAACTAACAATCAAACATACCTAACTATTATCTGTAAGGATAATGTTAGGAAATGTTAATTTTGAACAAGTACCTACAGTAAAGGAAAAAAAATTGGTGGTATGGTTTACCTAGCAGTAAGTAAGAACCTTGTTGTTAGTTGATTGGTGGATTGCTTTCCGGGAATAATAAGCCCTCCAAAAAAAAATTTGCTCAATCAATCCACAACTGTTTGTGGGACACTGCTGTGCGCAATTGGCTGACATGTTTCGCACACAAAACACACAGTCACTACACTTTACAATATATTCTGTGAAGTGCTTTGAGACTTCTTGAAGACTCAATAAGGCGCTAGCTATATCAAATGCAAGGATTATTATTATTATTACAGTTACAAAGCTGAAATGTTCAACAGTAGTTCAAATTCCAGGCTACACTTACATTTGTCTTCAACCTTTTCCAAGGTGCAACTCTACCATATCAGAGCACAGACGGTTAGTAAACTGGCCTGGGAGTGATAGCTTCCTACATTGCTTAAGCACGGTTGTTGGTGGGTTAACCAAGTATCATCATGTCCTGGCCAGCACTGCTCCAGATAAATTGGTCATTCACTTCATGGTAGCTGATAGAATCTTGCTGTGTACAAATATTTTTTTATTTTTCCCTATAGTCACTAGCAGACATTTGCTTCCAGTGTGGTGGGAAGATCTCAGATCATATTCACCCTGCAAACCAAAGCCTTAATGGTCTGAGCTGCACAAGGAGCGAGAAAGCTTGCCAGATCGTGCTGTCAATGGCAAGCTATGCAATTTTAGTTGGTTAGACTCCAGCAGTACCCCAACACATAATATGGGGCCCCCAAGCCTTGGCTCTTGCCAATCTACACCTAATACTTTTCAGAATTAGGTAAGCAGGATGCTTCCCTCCAAGGAGAGAGTGTGCATTCTATTCCAACAATCTATCTCTGGGATTTCCATGTGTAGGTGGGGTGCCTGGAATCTTCAGTTTTGTTTTGGGTATTGGGTTTGGTTGATGGGTTTCCGCATGTGTCAGATACCCAGCTGACTAAGAAAAAAAAAAGAGTGGCATGCTCTAGAAGTCTCACTAGAATGTTTTCCCTGTGCTGGAGAATTGGTAAGAATTCACTCATTAATAGATAAATGGAAACAGTGAAGGTAGGTAGAATAGAAGCCTACTGACATTATAACTAGAAACTATCATTGCTGCTTTGCTGACAGGTCTTAATGTATTAACAGCGAAGGAGGGCAATCCTTTCTGAAAAATGCTACCTCCTCCTCATCCAGGCAACCTGCCTGTGACTGACTGCTGATTGGAAAAGATTCTCTTCAAGGTTTAACACTAAATAGAATTCACCGATTATGCAGGATGTAGAGGCTATAAACTCTAAATACAACTATAAAAATCGGCTATAAAAATCTTGATGAAATGAATTTTACCTGGATTGTGATGTAGTTTTTCAATGATTTTGACATCTTTTCTTCACTTCCTTTTAAATGCAAATGCCCTAAAACAAATAAAGCAGTGGAACAAGAGGGACAAAAAATGGATAAATACACAAACCTAAAATATCTATTTGTTGTGAAAAAAAGGGTCTACGTTCGCTTCTAGCATCTTTAGAACATGTTTTAAATCTCAAACTAAAATACAGGACAAAGTACTCTGCAAGAAAGCAACCCCTTATCAGAACAATCTATCTCAGAACTTCCAAAGTCTAAGTTTTATAGAATTACCTCAGTTACTGCGAAATAAAAAAGCCTGTTCTGTTGACAGCTACATGGAATTTCAGCAAACAGAATTTTAAGCAGACCTAGAGCAAAGGACCCAACCTCATTCCTCTGTTAACATTTTAAGCATCTATACTTCAAATCAAATGTCCCAAGACACCTCAACTCTGGTTTAGTAAACATTTCCATGCAAAATGAAGCGCAAAGCACACAAAACCTTACATACAAATATTGGCTAGTTGCAGTATGCTGATGTTGGACTGATTAGTCTTCAGAACTCATTCCTGACTTGTTAAATAATTCTGCTCATTGTGAAAGGTTCTAAACATGTCCTATCCGAAGCGATGATACATGTATACTTTTAATATAAAGTTTGGATTGCCCAACAAGGCTGCTTGAAGAACAAACGTCTAATTCGCAAATACTTGCTTTATATTTAAATAAAAGTTGATAAAACAATGATAAAATCCAATCTCTTACTTTGCAAAATCCAGATTGAAACTTCAAAAAGTTTTGGTGCAAACATATCTCCATTTCTGAACCCGTAGAAATTCATTTTTATCATCCATCAGTTAGTTAACAAGCATGAATGTAAAACAATAACGTTACTATTAATAAAAAAAGGCAAAGCACTGCAGATGCTGGAAATCTGGAAACACAGAAGTCGCTAGGAACATGCAGCAAGGCAGGCAGCATCCATGGAGAGAGGAAAATTATTTAACGTTTCAGGTCAAAGACCTTTTGTCAGAACTGTTAATAATGTTACTGTTAATAATGTTTCTTGCTGCAGTGCCATAACTGCAGTGCCATACCTGAGTGTAAAAAGTAGTTTCCCCATTGCTCACACTGATGGTAGGCTTCACACTGCGCAATCTCATTCTCGTGGTGTGGAAAGGCCAAGTCTATGCCACCTGAATGGATGTCCAGTTTGTTTCCAAACACAGAGCTGCAAATGACACAATTTTTTTTTCTGAAGTATCCAAGTCGTTTGTTTTAACCTTGTTCACTGGTAAAATGCCCATTGTACTCAATCATAAAACGAATACCAGTATCTATTCAGTGCTTAACAAAATGTTAACAAAGTGTGTCAAAATCAAAAATAAACCGTATGAATAAAAAAATCATGTCTTCAATCACTCTTGTATGACCATATTTGTGTTATATGATGTACATTGTATGGTGGTGGTAGCAGTGTTTACTCCATTTCACCCTTATTTGCCAGTATCATGTGGTTGATAGATGTTTTGACAGTGGAAGACATGAATTGTAAATTATGTATGATCATAGCACAATTACTAAGATAATAGGGATAATAATTAATCCATTAGATGTGAACATGAAAACTATCCTTGGACATGTAGTTCAGTATTAAAAGTATGAATTCTCTATAAATAATGCCACTTCCAGATCGGTTTATACTGATTCACCAAGAAACAAGCATATTAAACCTTGCAACAGTTGAACACTCAATGTGCCAGCCAGGCCTTCCCCTCCCCCATGGAGACTCCCAAAATGGTTCCTGTGGTTTAGATGCTTTCCAAAGGGCAAAGTCCCTGGCATCTTTTTTATCACTGACTCCTATAAATAAAAAACAAACAAAATTACATTTATAGATATTTCGTGATAGTTTTGTTTTGAAAACATTTTTAAAAAATATATAAAATCGCAATCTCAGGGCTGTTGTGATCCTTATAAACGTATAATTCTCTTCAGTATCTTACAACACTTACCTCACCTCAAGCCCATTGGAAAGAGACTTCATTACTATTGAATGAAGTTTAACCTTAACCAACAGAACCTATAGGTATGATTAAACACTTTGCACTCAGGATAAAGTATAAACAGCATGCAATAACATGCATTTATAAGAGCACCTTTCACATAAGATGAGTATCTTGAAACACTTCATAAAAATGAATTACTGAACAGAAAGGAAAGGAGCAGGTGTTTGAGAGTTTTGACCATAGTCACAGTTACTTGTTTTGAACATCATTTCCCGCAACTGAATGCAGCCGGTAAGTGCGGGAGCAATGGAGGGTTGTGATTTAAGAAGGGATTAATACTAGTAGGGCAAAGAAATTCTAAGTGGTTTTGATAGAATACTGGGTGAATGTACGACTTAGGTGATTATACAATTTATGAAGATAAGACATAGGTAAGTTTTACTGTATCACTACTAGTAATTTAAAACAGACATGTGAATGTTAAATCTATTACATAGATTTCTCTCATATTAGTGCGAATTAGGGGTCAGTCTGGCTCAGTTGGTAGCTCTTCCACCTCTGAGTCACAAGCCCCATTTTGGGAGATTGAAGTTAGGTTAAGTTGACACTCCCAATACAGTGCTAATTGTCAGGGCTGCCATCCTTTGGATAAGACATTATTTCACTTTACGGCTGTTTTGGGGATATTGCTACTACAATTGGCTTCCACGTTCATCTACAAAAACAATGCAGGAGCTACACAACACAGTAAATCCTGTCTAGCACTTTAAGATATCCTCTCGATGTGAAAGGCACTATATCAAATGCAAGCATTATTATATTATTGAATTATTTGAATTTAACCTTTAATCAGCAATCTGTTGCAAGGCACAGAACCTTACAGTAAGTGTCTGTTCTCATTTCCTAAAGTGGGTGCAAGCCAATAACAGGATTATAAAGACATACCTGGCTCTCCAACAAAGTCAGCAGACACCCCAATCAACTTCCCATAGCGACTGCCAATAGACTGTATATCAAAGTAAACATTTCCTAAAATAAAAAAGGCAATGGTTGACACACACACACATATATGCAATCATCACTGTAATTTCCTACTTAGCCACTAGAGTATGCTCTATTGAGCGCTAAAACACTGACCTTAATATTCCTAATGGAGAACAAATACTCCACCAAACCATCACTTGTTACGAGTCTGTTTTAACCATACACCTCAAGCTACCTTTTTAAAAATCTATTCTAACTCGAACATAGGAACATACAGACATATACAAGGACAGAAAAGATCATCTATTTTACATATTCACTGCGCTCTGTGAAAACTTTAGTCTGTTCACCTTCACTCATACTGTCACTAGGAAGTTTACTCCAAGACCCTCCCAGATTAACAGTTGCAAACTAAAATTAATATCTTGCTTTATCAGAATTGCTTACCAATTCAGTCCCTATTTGCAAACGTACTGTGTTGAGAATAAAACATTTCAGCATAGGAAGCCATTCAGACGTTTAATAAAGTTCTCAACTTCAAATCAGATTAATTTTCTCAGCACAGTTCAATGGAGCTACAAAATATTCCCCACCTCAGCTTGTCTATCCTAATATGAAACAAATAATGGCACATGCACAAATAAATTCACACATGCAAAATAGCAGTAAATCAAATTTTAGCTAAAAGAAACTTCTAAACTCACAACTGTGTTGTACTCGAGAGTTTCCAGTTGATGTTTGAGGTAAACTCACCTGTGGAAGTGGCATAAGCATTTCCATTATAAATTATTTTATCTATATAGTCTACAATCTTGGGAATGTTGTCAGTCACTCTCATATAAACTGTAGGTGGAAGGACCTGCACAAAAAATATTGAAAATAGTTTATGTTTTGATTAAACCAAGTCACTATCTTATTTGTAATAATTTGGTCAATCAATCCGTGACTGTTTGTGGGACACTGCTGCGCACCATTAGCTGCTGCGTTTTGCCCACTAAATATACAGTCGATTCACTTTATATTCCCTGAAGTGCTTCGAGACGTCTCAAAGACTGACAAGGTGTTATATCAAATGCAAGATTATTATTATTGCTGCAACTTCTATACACGACTTAGACATCAAAGGAACATTTTATCCTGAAATTATCTTTTCTAGGCATTCAGATCACTAAACATACTGTATTTGAAAGCTGGAAGACTTAAAACTAGCTTTGTATTTCCATTTCTAGACTATTTCACAATAATTCACTGTATACATAGGTCTGCCACGTTCTTTGGAGTCGGACAGGCTGTAAATTTACACTTTTTACAGGAATAACACTCAAATGAGATCAAATTACTGTTGTTTGTATCTATATTCATGGAAAAATGACAGAAGCTTGAGGTTAATGGATTTCAACGGTGCTCGTTTTTTAAGGATCTTAAGAACCTTAGCATCCCTCCTGAGAGATCCTTCCAGGCATCAGTGCAAACACAACAATCATTCTCCACAGCAGAATAAGCGCTTATACTGGTCAACAAACTATTCCTTCAATCACAGATTCAAGCGAATATCTCCCCCCACCCTTCAAAAATGGGTTCAAAAGAAGAAAGTATGGAAAAGTGCTGAACAGAAATGATATAAGAAAACACGGGACAGAAACTGAAAACGAAAAAACTAAGGAAAGAGGTAAAAAAAAAGAGGTAAAAATTAAACATACCAGGGGACCTCCATTCAAGCCACCAGTCAAGGTTGTAATGGTGCTGTGAGCATCTTTGGAGTCAGTCCCATGAAAATCTTAATGCAGCATCAGCTGTATAAATGTAGTACAACTCATGATGTGGCAGACCTGAGAGTGCTTAATGCTGACAGTGAGAGTTAGAAAACAGAAAGTGTTCCATTCCAGGCATGCACTTCTCTCACCTTAATGTAGTTAGTAGATTGATAAGACGTGGCTTACATCAGTGATTCCCTACAGTAGAAATTTCTAATTTTGCTCTAGTCATGGAGGGGAGGTGGGAGGAGATAAACGTATGAGGGTGGTGGGGAGGTGAGGGAAAGAGCACTGAACCGATAATATGAAAAGCATAAAACAAGAAAAAGGCCCATTTTTGATCCTTCTATATACCCATACAAAATATATTACATCATAGACCTCACTGTTCCACTCTATCTGCTGTATGATTAATCAAGGAAAAGCTCTAAAATTGTTAAATAGTCATCCTCCATGCTATTCAAACCCAGCCTTCTCTCCGCAATTCAACCTGAACAGCGTCTGTGCAACTTCTGGTGTTTAGTGATAAAGTGATACCATTTAAGAACGATAATTTAACTGCAAAAAAAAAGGATTCTTTGGGTACCTAGAAACTCAAAGTGGTCAGGCTATTGGATTAATGTTGATGTTTCCAAACAATAGGAAATGTTCTGTGGTGCAGTGGGGAGAGAGTGTTTTGGGGGAGGAAGATGAAAGAGTAGAATGCCTTTTAAAAACTAATTGAGTGTCTTTATTCTAAAATTCCAATTTATCTACTGGAGGATGACCATTACTGGAAAGACAAGTCATTTGCTTCTGCAATAACTATATGTTAATGATTGCTCAACATATAATAATAATCCTTGCATTTGATATAGCGCCTTATCACATCTTCAAGACATCTCAAAGCTCTTCACAGAATATACTGTAGAGTGAATTGACTGTATATTTTGTGGGTGAAACGCAGCAGTGTCCCACAAACAGTCATGGATTGAGTGACCGACCGATATATATTTTTAAACATTTTTAAGGAATTATTACACCCAGAAAAACAACTTTACAACCGGGTTCCTACTTACTGCTAGGCAAATGATGCGACTAATACAAGCAAAGGCAAAACATAAGGATACTTAACTCAAAAAATAAATGTAACTACTGTTATGGGAGGCCCATATTAAGTGTACAAGATTCATTTATGCATTAGACTAATCCATACAAATCACATCCATCTGCAATGCATATACAGTACTGTACACCCACAGACGTGGAACAGCTTTTCTCAAACCTTATTAAATTGTGTTCCAGAATCTTTCTTTCTTTTTCAATTATTACTTTGATTTACTTCAAAATTAGAAGGAAATATTATTATAATCCTATTGAGACACAAATTAGTGGTTTATATCAAGTTAGCATTAACTACCTCCTAATTATAGCACACGGGGTAAAACACCAAAAAACACTTAGTTCTAAGAGGTACAGTATAGGGTTTGTTGCAGTGTAATAAGGTCTGACTGTAGTAGACAACAATATCACTAGTGTAAGATTGTACTTCATGCAACTACAGATGATAGTTTGCAACAAAATACTGTTATTTTCATAAATAAATCTGAATACTTTTAAACCCAACTTTAAATTTAATCATGGAACAGGAAGCAGGAATCAAAACAATTTTAGTGTACACTCTGCACTGCAAGTAATTATACCTTTAAAGAAGTCATATCCTGTTTGAAATCCTCTTCGTAAATTCGAGCAAGTACAGCAGGTGAAACATTCAACTGCAATCAGAAAATATAACTGAATCAGTGTTAAAAATTTCAATTTTGCAATTTTAAATTTAAACATGTCTGTAAACCTCTTGTATTCACCTCATTTGCTCTTCGAATTATTTTGTCATCAATATCCGTGATAACCATCACCATGACTACGTCAATGCCAAACACTTTGGTTAATATTCTTCGGACGATGTCAAATCGAACATAGGAGCTAAGCAAACAGTTTTAAAAACAATAACATTAGTACATTTTCCATAAATAAACGAACAGCATAAACAAAATCCAACTTCTTTCTTTAAAAATCGTAGCATTTGCTCACTTGTTTTGTAATGATAATAATCCTTACATTTGATATAGCACCTTATCATGTCACGAGACGTCTCAAAGCATTTGTTTTGTACACGAAATGACAAATGAAGTTATGTGAACAGGCATCCTTCTCCATCCAGTTTTGACCAAAAAGGCTGTAGCAGAGATCCTTCTGCATGGAAGATGGAAGAGCTGGTGGGGTTGTGGAACAGATTAAAGCCCTCAATATCCTAATCTGTTGTGAGGAGGTGGACTCCGCACTACGGCATTTTACTAATGTTAAGGCAGACTGTACAGACAGCATTAATGCAGAGTTCCTAAAAGCCACTGAGTAGAGAGAAGGAGAATGGTGAGGATCTTACACATTCAAGCCAGGAAACCAACTTGGAAACTGTCCTCCTCGTCCTGGTCATCAGGACTCTCCCTGAGGCATATACTCAGTCAATGTTCCAGAGTGCAATTGTGGTTTCTATCCTTAAGACAGGTGATCCTAGTGAAACCAAGATCCACAGAGAACTACACTGATTTAATTGGCTCTTAAGGTGGTGCTTTGAGTAATCACTGTACAGTATCACATGCATTGGAGGCTCGTGGGGGACAGATTTGGTGCATCTGTTACAGTTTTTTTTGACAGAATTGCGGTGCTTCTAGCTACTGGGGTTCTGGTGGAGATCAGTGTTTGCTTGGAAAATCTTGAAAGATTGTGATACCCACATTAATCTGAAAACCAAAACATGTCAGAATCTGGACGGTGGATTTAAGTTTTTAACCAATCAACTCTGGGTGTTTATGGTGAAAATCAGTTAAGAAAATTCATTAAGAATGCAACTAAAAGTAAACCCACATAAGTCAATAAACCAATACACTGTTACAATGATCCGTTCTAATAAAATAATAATAATCCTTGCATTTGAAATAGGCCTTATCACGTCTTTGAGATGTCTCAAAGCACGTCAAGGGAATATACTGTAAAATGAATTGACTGTATATTTTGTGGGCAGCCAATTGCACACAGCAGTGTCGCACAAACAGTCATGGACGAATGACCAAATTATTTTTATTTATTTTAAAGGAATTATTTACCCACGGAAAAGTGATCCCCCAATTGACTAAAACCGGGTTCCTACTTACTGCAAGGTAAACAGAGGGGAGTGGAGTCAGGAAACTTGCCCAGTGTTTCGCCCTGCCAGGAATCAAACCCAGGTCCTCTTGCTTGTGAAGTGAGTGATCTAACCACTAAGCTACACGACTGTTCCGACAATGGCTATTCTGGCTACAGTATATGGGGGGGGGGGGTGAAGAGGAATAATTCTATGTAATTAAACATGTAACTGGAAGATGCAATAGGAAAATGGCAGTTTACAACAATGTCTAAAAGTTTTTTGTAATTTTAAAAGAAACGTGAAGAACAGGTTAAACACAATGAGTTTATTGCAGTTTAGTTATTCTTTTGAACAAAGCCAAATGCACAGGGTATCCACAAAGTCCTCTTACCCCTTATTACAAAACAGCAATACAAGACTACGGATAAGCTGAATCAAGCTGTCAAGAGATGCGTTTAGCCTCATCACTCCATCCATGTTACGGAAGATGTCACACCAAACATGGTGACAGATCATTATCTGCCATTAAAATGATGGTACTCACAATGCTTCTCTTGATGTCCAAATATAGTTAAACACTTGTACTGAATACAATTGAGTACTTCTAAATACAATTAGCATCATTCTTCCACAGGCTTCAGGTGTTGGATGGTGCACTGTGTAAAAAAAACATGGGAGTGGCAGGACTTTGTTATCCTGTACTTCAAGTAGTTGGGGGGGGGGGGGGGGGGAGTGCGTATTAACAACACAAGAAACAATCTCTGCTTTAAGTTTGTAATCTGCACCTGCAGATGTATGGAAATCATAATCTTTAATGTACACCACCTGGTGTTAAGACACTTGAAAGAGTTATTTAAGTGAAAGGGGCAGCAACTTCACTTACTTAGTCTGATTTATTATTGACGTTTAACATGCCTACTCGTCCATAGCAACAGCTAAGTGAAACTGCAGGAGCAATGAAAAAAGACTTGTAAATTATTAAAAATGTACAAAACACTTGGGTTAGCTTAACCCCTTCTGCAGTGGAACACAGGCCAGCTACACCATGTATTTTGTACAGTATAAAAGTGAATGGTAAAGTATTACAACTGAAACAAAATAAACAATGAATACAAAAGTCATCAAAATCAATCACTGTAAGGAGGATGTAGATAAATTATTTAATGGTTCTTAATATTTTGGATTACTTTCAATGTTCCTACAGTTTATCCCACTGTCCTAAATTATCCTCTGTTGGTGTATGAGATTAGAAACCGAAAGCAGCTTTCACACCCCCACTAGTGATTCACTAAATGCTGAAAGGTATGAATAGAGACTCTACAGCAAATATTCAGTTGGAATTGTGAATGGAAATCTATGAAATTATACCAATTTCTGAGAGACACTTCCAGGCAAAGACGATGGTGATATACATCCTAAAACTTATCCCATTATTACTGGCAGTGAAACAGATACTTCAAGTGGATTTACATCCAAACAATAAAAGGTAGTGAGTACATAAAAACAGTGAACCAACAAAATGCACTTGTCTGCCTGAACCCCTGGTAATGCTAAATATAGGGTACCACAACAGAAATCATCTTATTAAATCAAGGCAAATTAATGATTTCACAACAGTAAAACTGATAGTAATTCTACTTTTCTTTACAATGTCACCTACATTAATTATATCTAAATGCAGGAATTGTCCATTTTTAATGTAGTCCAAACTAGAAATATGATAAATCATATGGTTACATTCAAGAACAGCAGTTATGTGGTAAATTTTACACTGAATATCCCCTTACTTTCTTGAAATAAATTTTTAATTTTGCAATTGACTAAAAATACCCTACGAGTCATTTACAAATCTTAGTCCCTAATAAGCATCTGAAGTTATGTATATGTAATATAGCCTGTGTTGTGAAAGAGTAACTCAACGTGTATAACTCCTAACGGGGAGTTCCATGACATTGGAAGAATGGAACGCACGATAACGTCATTGTGCAACATAACAATTAAGGACAAGACTCCCGTTTTAGCTCTGCAAACTGCTCAAATAAATGAAGTACACATCTCGCCACTACTGTGTGCCAGCCTGGCTCAGCTGGTAGCATCATAATCTTAATGTACATTTAGTTGTTCCTTGAGTATGTTGATTGAATATTAAAGCAAATAAATAGTCCATCTTCTATTATTATTGTATTAAACTGCATTAAGCAATGTTTTGCATGCTGGAAAAGTTGTCCAAGGTCTAATCGTTCTGAACTATTTTCCAAATAGGTTTGTACTACAGGTACACTGCGTGAAGTACACTGAATAAATTCAAGTTGTTGTTGTAGCATTGCAGCTTTAAGACACTTCAGATCTTTGACCCATTTCAGATCATTCATTCAACAGAACAGAGAGGAAAAGAACAATTGGTTGTAGAACATGAAAATCTATCTTGCTCTTCTATACTAATAAAACGACAATATCGGTCTGTGTGTCAGCCAAGATCTCTATAACCGATTGACATTGTGTCACGATTTATACCTCATCGGAAAGGCCTTGCATTTGGGAGTGTCATGGGTATATCAACTCCTATCACTGATGAATTATGACCTAAACAAGCTGATCACACATTATCGCAGTTTTGCACTGCAGTTACACCTGGTGGCCATGCCGACTCCCAGTGACGATGTGGTATCGTGCGCCACAGAACACGTATATACGCACACAGCACATACTCAGATGAAGCCAAGCGGTGGGAACAAGATAAAACGTGAACATCAAGCCTAATGATAAATAGTGATACCATATGATACCATATGATAAATATGCCAGACAAATGAAGGCCGATTAAATGAAACTGAAGAACAAAGAACAGCACTGCTGCATTGCAACAACTTGAGGACCTGCATCGTAAACATTGTAAACATCGTAAACCCCTTCTAGTGTAGCTTTGATAAGATCTTCTATCATTCATGAGCTACGACCCTTTCATAGGATCTTCTATCTTTCATGAGTTATGACCCAAACAAGCTCATTGCACATGTATGGCAGCTTTGCTTAAGGTGTACACACAGTGTTTATGGCATGTTAAATGGTTTGTGAGTGGTATTACTGAAATCTATATTCCATATTGGATTCTTTGGTGGCAAATAGCTGCAACGGATACAACTGCAACAGGTACAACTGCAACAGCTAGTACTGTATATAGAAGTTTCAAGATGAATGCCTATGACATNAAAAAAATCTCCACAGGAAATCTAATTGGCTAACTGGTCATTTATGACTAATGTTCACCCACATGAGATACAGATACAGATATTAATCATATTACATGCCTGGCTAATTATAGCATTTCTAGAAGGTTTTCAACTGAAAAACAAATTTCTGAATGTGTAATTTCTGATACAACATATTTTGTTGTGATCTGTTTACACATCTATAGAAAAGCAATTCTTATTTCTACTGGAATTCCCCATTCAACCATTCTAGGAATGGGATTTATTATTATAAAAGTAACCAATTTTGGTAACAAACCCGAGATGAAATCAACCAATATCTACTAGCAAGACATTGAGGGTCATTAAATTTATCTGTCAATCAATGTACTCAATTAATTCAAGAGGTAAACACCTGCCATAACTTATACACCCACTATTGGAACTATGACCCACTTTTCTTTCCTATAATTCTCTTACTTTCACTATGGTCCTAAAAGCAGTAGACTCCAGTAACTCGCTTAGGCGCATGCATGAGCCCTGATAATGAGTAATATCATAGGAGACAAAAGAGCTTATCCTCAATTGATATCCACTCTAAACAATTTTCAGCAAATGTTTCTGGTCAGCAAATAGGAGCAGCAATCGTTATGGATTTTCATTTCTACCTCAGGACACTCAGGCAAATTGCAGTGCTGATATCAGCTAATTAAGCATAAATACAATATTCTGGTCAGTTCTGGGTGCTGCTTTTATCCCCTATCAGACAGCTCATGACAAACTTAATATAGTTTTGTCTGTTTTGCCTTTGTGACAACCAAGGACATTTTTATGTCAGTTTTACATGTGCAGGTGATTCTGGAGAATAATTATATTTATTGTCTCATTGGAAGCATTTTGCAACCATTGGAGAACACAAAATATGATGTGCACCTTCTATTGGTCCGTTACCAAATATATTTTTGTTGCCATTTATACAGCTCTTCTTTTTGTGGTGTTTCCATCTTCATAAAAGAGAGCACTTGTTTGAGTTCCTACCAAAACCTATCATCCTAAAGTAGAACAGGTCAGTTGTTCTCAGGATACTGTAATGCTTAAATCAATGAATAATATCGGGCCTTTCAAATATTGGCAACTGTATGATAATAACTCACAATATTCCAAAAACTGTATCCTGAGAACATTATTTGCTGTACCAGATGACTTACTGTTTTTACATTACATGCCTCAGACCAACCAAAATATTTTGTGAATGAAACTCAAATCACTGGAACTCTATGGGTTGCACGAAATATTTTAAAAATTGCACCAAAATGTTAATGTGTGTAAATTATATTTCTTCCGCATTAGTCTGTGGCAGTCAAAATCTGACCATAGCCAATAAGAAGCAATTTTCAAAAAGAGAATGACTTCAATTCAACAACACCAACAAGGTAATTACCGCCATCTGGGTGTGGAGCCTGCATAAAAATGGGACTTTCAACAGGAAATGGCGGCATTTAGGAATCTGAAAAGGGTTAGAAACACTGGGCCATCCTCAGAAGATTCCCAATATTAATTGTCTGGAAATGGCAGCATCATCGTGGAGTGGAGAGGCATGAGAACCACGTTGAAATGCAGCATAGATCTAGGCTTGGCATTCTGTGTTGTACGTCACAGGACTTTTTCGGGATCACTGGCAACATTGTGCGGCAAAGACACCGGAGGAATGATTGCATTGAGGCAAGGTATCGGGTCAACAATGGGGAACTTAATGTGTATGCTTTCTTCTCAGAGGAAGATAGTGCAAATCTACAGCCAAAGAAGGGAGGGGAGCAGGTGGAGGGTCCCTTGAAGATGGTGTGGAGGGGGAGAGGAGCAGTAGGAGTTTTGTCATTAACCAGATATTCCAACTACTTGTAGCTATGAGCCCGAATCTCTCTCCTCCCCACTGCAAACGAACACATTATCCAACAAAAATAATCTCTTCCTGAAGCCAATGACTTGTGATTGGATACAATAACAACTTGCAATTATATAGTGCCCCTCAAGCAGAGTAGAGTCCCAGAGCGCTTGAGTTTCATGAAGAACAGCTAACTTAAAACAGACCATGGATCAATCCCAGGAACTTCCTGGTTGGTGAAACTGAGTATTGTTCACCATGTTGAGTTCTATGGCTGACCCATCAGGGAGCCCTATTTAGTATCCAGCAAGATGTCACACACAGGCAGTAGAGGTAGATAACCAACCGCAGTGCCAGTTCAGTGACAGTGCAGCTTGTTGAAACATCAAGAAAAGCTGAATCTTGAGTGTCTGAGAATTGGAGCATTCCAGAACAGAACAAAGAATATACAAGTTAAGAATATAAATTCTTCGAATAGAGCAACTAACAACAACAACAACAAAATTACATTTATAGAGCGCCTTTCACATCGGGAGGACGTCCCAAAGCGCTGAACAGTCAGATGTTGGGGCCCGAGCATGGGGGAGGGATAGTGTAGGGGTGAGGGAAGGCAGAGAGGTAGGAGGGAGACCAAAGGCACTGTCAAAGAGAAGGATCAAGACTGGCCTTGAAGGAGGCAAGGGAGAAAGCGAGGCAAAGGGACCGTGGGATGGAGTTCCAGAGTGTGGGGGCAGAAAGAATGATGGTAGAGTGGGAGATATGGAGAAGGCCAGAGCCCGATAAACGGAGGGAGCGGGCAGGTTGGTAGGGAGTCAGCAGATCAGAGGTAGGAGGGAGCAAGGCCATGGATGTTGAGGACGAGGATCTTGAACTTGATCCTCTGGGGAATGGGGAGCCAGTGGAGTCAGGAGAAGGTGGGAGTGATGGGGTCACGGAGAGTACACGAGCTGCAGAGTTTTGGATGATCTGCAGCTTGTGAAGGGAAGAGTTGGGAAGGCCGATGAGGAGTGAGTTCCCTTAATCAGCCTTGAGGTGACAAAGACATGGATGAGGGCTTCGGTAGCCTGAGCGGTGAGGCAGGGGCACAGTCTGGCAATGTTGCGGAGGTGGTGGTAGGCAGTGCTGGTCATGGCGAGGATGTGGGGGAGAAAGGACAGTTCAGGGTCAAACAAGATACCCAGGTTCCTGACTGGCTTAGTGAGGTTGAGTGTGCAGCTGTGGAGGCTGATGCTACCAGTGCCTGAGGTGCGGAGGCGCTGGTGCGAGCCAGTCAGGAGGACCTCGGTCTTGCTGACGTTGAGTTGGAGAACGTTGGCTCTTGTCCAGGACTTGATATCGGACAGGCAGTCGGTCAGGACGCCAGTAGTCCTGAGTTGAGGTGAGGGCAGAGAGGTAGAGTTGGGTATCATCCACATACATGTGGAAATTTACCCCATGTCTACGGATGACGTAAGCAAGGGGGAGCGGTTAGAGGGTGAAACCAGTCATCAAATTATAACTGGTTTTAGAGTCACTATTTTGGATACTGTAACCTAAAGTATTATAAACATGTTTCCACATTCCTGTGCCTTTCTCTTCTCAACGACATTAAGGTGTTATATCAAATGCAAGGATTATTATTATCCACCCACTTGTCTAACAACGTGCATATTTTCACTGGTCCTGAACTAAGCTGTAAACCCCAAGCTGAGAAGTGAAATGCTTGAACTCATAAAATCTGATCACATTTTCCCCACTGACTACATATAAACACACCTACCTTGCATGCCCAAGGTGTGCATGGTCATATACTGTTGGTCCACAGCTGTACCTGTGCGTGGTGGGGAGGGGGAAACAAATTAAGATGAGTATTTTGTAAAACTATTAAATTCAAGCTTCTTTATAATAAAAAACAATTTAAACAATCCCAGGGACACTGTAACGATAATTAGTATTTTTAATCTATTAAACAGATTTTTTTGCAATTAGTCAGGAAGCCAAGGAATTTAGATTTTTATTGTATAAATACATATTTGTGTAGAATAAAACGTATTTTAGTAGAAACACATTACCCTTACTGCCACCTTGATCTGTATGTCTCTTGCAACAGAAAATTAATAATTTATTTTAATAAACACCTTAAGTCTCCATATTTACTGCAGTTTTTAAAGTTAGATTTATGTCTAGGGGTTCCTTCTGAACTCGTGCTTAACCTAACAAAGTTTTGAGACATGGCACATCGTTTTCTCTCCCAAAATCTAGAGTGTAGTTCACTGACTTTAATCTACTCTTTTTGATTTTTTAAAAAAATGCATGTAATATCTATCGACAAACAGACAAGACAAAATGTTGCAAAGTGCAAGTAATTTAAGGGGACAGTACCAGGATGCTGTTCTCGAATCGGCAAGTACGAAAGGTTCTTTAGTTCGGGTGAGACTGTTGTACACCTTTATGTCTGTTTCATGACCTTTGGGTTTTTGCCAGGTTTTCTTCAGTCCTGCGTGTGCCGAACAGGGTCTCACAGAAAAATGATCAAACCAACAGAACAATTTGGGTCGCAACAGCAACTCGTTTCCACGAGCAATATTTTTCCCCGATAAAAGCCTACCATTGAAGGAGCTAAAGAGACATCTTGCAACAGTCGCGCTGGTGCTGGACCTCAAGTGAGCAAGCGGGGCTTTCAATTTCGACATTATTTCCACAATCCCACTGGAGTGTGTGGTTTGGTTTATAAGACGAGAGCCGCACGCGCTGTTTACAGGCAGAAAACGCAAAGCACTATTGGTGAACGGGTTTGAAATGACGACAGCGGCAAAGTCACTTTCTGCAAATAATATCTGCAAGTCAACGCTTTCAGCTGCTGATCCAAGTCTGAGCCCCGGGATCCTCCATCCTGCGCGGGAAGGGCGGAGCGATCGTCGTGAGGCACACAGCGGGGACTGGACGCCCCATGTAAATTAAATTACGGCAGTCGCTCCCGCTGCAGCCATTTGTTAGTGAAGGCCGAGCACAGCCAAACGCTTCCCTCCCCGAACACTCCTGTAATGTTCATCGCTTTCCTGACCGGAAAAGGCGGAGTTAAACACACACACAAACACCCACACACACACACACACACACAGACAGACATCTTCTCCTCCCTCCACTCCCCCCCCCCACCCTTTGAACCGGTGTAATTCCCAATGCCAACCCACCGAGCTCTGACTGTGCAACAACCCACCCTCGGAGCGTGGTTACAGGCAGCAACAGACTGGGCGGTTGCGCAGGAAATCAGAAGTGACTCCATTACCACAGGCGAATGACTGACTTGACTGACTGACCGACCGACCGACTGCCTTAGTAACGGCGTCAACCGCTGGCGACACCTAAACAACTCCCCCCCCCCCCCCCGTGACAAAAGTGTGTGTGCGGAGAGGCGAGGAGAGGAGAGGGCGGTGGGGTGGGGGTGTGGGGGGGGGTTACTGTCAGCCCATCACCGGTCTGTGTTAATCCTGAGTTGTGCTGTTTCCCTGTTGGCTGCTGTGAGCTGACAAACCGACCCCGACACGAAAGAAAAAAAACCACAAACACCTGAAGGGGCTCCTCTCCCTCTCTCTCCCTCTCTCTCTCCCTCTCTCTATCCCCCCCAACACCACCTTCCAGTAACCGAACTGAACTCCTGCATGTGAACAAACCACACTCAAGGTTACTCCAAAATCCTTGCTGACGGTGACCTATGAACCCCCCGCTTCCATTTCCCCGCTAATTTCAAACCTCACTCGCTGCAGCAACAGCCCGAGCCGAGGAGGGAGGGTCGGAGGGAGGGCCTGCCGCCCGGCGCGCTGCTTGTCGGGATCGGTAGTTTTCTTCTCTCAACACTGCATGAGCGTCCTCCGGCGGTGAACTACATCTCCCGCCAGCCTCCGCGAGAGCCCGGCGCCGCCTCTCCCGCTTCTGCTGTTGACAACCCGCAGTTGACAACCCAGGTTGGATCAAACCGTTGGTCCCGCCTTCACCCCTTCCGGTCATTGGCTGACGTTTGTCACCGCCCATTCCCCCTCAACTCACGATTGGTCGCGAAGGCTGTCAATCGGGCGCCGGAGCCTGCCCTCCCCACACAAAGTCCCTGTTAACCAATGAAGTTAGGTTTTACCCAGCGCACGGGGAGGGAGGGAGGGAGAAAGGGGTGGAATGTTGGGCTGAGTGTGGGGAATCGTGTCAGGAACAAAATTACTTCACAATCATGGAGGGACGGAAAGAGGGAGTGGAGGGTCGATGCTAGTGGTTTAACGGGCCCCGCTGTCCGTCGTCGCCGCCGCCGCCGTTTGTCAAACAGTAACTTCCCGGCCGAGCCGAGCGAGCCGAGCCGGAGCGAGCGGCGCGGAAAGGCGTCACAATGGCATGCAAATGAGAAGGGGGGGGTTCTCTGCGCGTGCGCGTTGCCGGCCGAGTGTTTCCCAAGTGTTTGAAACTGGTTCGCTTTTTCCACGTTGGATCAAGTGCATCAGTATTTGGATCAGTTGCGAGGGAGGGAGGGAGGGAGTGAGCCTGCGCGGGCACTCACACTCTGGAGGGGCTTTTAATTCACGTTTCCCTCTCCTGTTAAAGGGGTTCTCTGGAAACGGGCGGGCTCCAATTCTGCACACTTTCTTGACGGGCTCTCCTTCCACTACCACCGCCACCGCCACTACTATCACCACCACCACCGCCACCCACTAACCCCCCTCCCACCTTCGTGGCAAAAAAAGTAGTGAGGGGAAAAAAAACAACAAATGTAGCTTTGAAGATGTTGAGTCCTGCAAACGGAGACCAGATACACGTTGTGAACTATGTGGAGGACTATTTGGATTCAATCGAGTCTCTGCCTTTTGATCTACAGAGAAACGTCTCTCTGATGAGGGAAATCGATGCAAAATATCAAGGTAAGGAGGGAGAAGCTGGCTCTGCCTGTCTTTTGTAACCGTCTGATCATTCATTTAGTTTCATGTTGGAAAAAGAAGAGTGAACTGCAACGTCAGTGTGGGGCGGAACAAAAGATCAGCTTTATAACACAGCCATTTTGACAGAAACAAGAATAAATATCGTTAGACAATCGTGAAAGGAAATGCGTTTTAATGTTTTTAATCTGTAACAGTCGTAGAGAAGGTTAGCGGCAACAAGAAGCTCGAGTATGGCAGAGATGTAAACTATATTCGGCAATGTACAGTATTCCGCCAGGTCCATGATGGCTGTAGTGTCAGCAGGGCTGTAGAGCTGTTTGGTGGTGGGCAGGGTTTTGTTTTCCGTTCGTAATATCACAATCGGCACCAAAAGATAACATTTAAAAACCCTGCATGTAGGTTACGCTGTTAAAACTACTACATGCATCTTAAAAATGGGGTCATGTTTTTTCGCGATTGAAGATGAATGGTGGATTTGTAGTATCGGCTGAAGTGTTTTACTATGGGCACCTACAGCACGAAAAAGGTTCAAACTAACAATTTTTTACTGAAACGAATCTGTGTCGAAGCTCCAGTCAGCTGCTCGAGTGCTGATTTCCCCTCCTGTTTATGTGGTTTGTCGAAACTAGAGGCTGGCGATCAGTTCGCGCTGAGAGCAGCTGCTGTAACGCAAATGAGTTGGTGTTGAGCTAGAGCCATTTAAATATGGATATTTACGGCAGAAAAAAAGACAGCGGTCGTCTTCTGAGGGCCTTTGTCTCGGAGGTTTTGTTTCTGGAGTCGCATAAGGAACAGTTTTACTGTTCTTGCAGGACGCTTATGGGGAGAAGCGGGGGGGTGGGAGAGAGGGCTGAGGAAGTAGCGCATTGATCGAGACTCTCCTTGAATCTGGAAAATATCGGGCAGCAATCGCAAAGAAGAGGGTGCAAGAAGTTGTGTGTGGTTCTTAACGTTTGAGCGTGCTTTGCCAAAGCTGGAGAATAAGAGAGTGCAATGTGGTTTGGTGCGTTATTGGAGAGGGGAGAACAGAGCTCGCAGCTGTAGTGCGCGCCTGTCTGTTGGTGAGCGCACCCACCGCGCTTGACTGTAGATGCGCTACAGCCTCAATATATACGTAACCTTCATTAGCATTCACCGGGAGGGCCCGCCCCCCGCCCCTCGCATTGGCTCTCATGTGATTTCCTTGTTGTCTTTGGAATGTTGGATCCCAGGCTGCCGCCTCCTGATAGGTCCGTTTTCCTGTCAACCAGCGCGGAACGGCCCGCCCTCACGTCACGCCCGCGGGCTTTGCGTATGACGTAGCATATAAACGAGCAGGAGCAGGTCCCGCCTACCCCGCGCGTCTATTGGGTCCGCGATCCGCGTTGCTCTGGGTGATGGGACACTGATTGGACAGTCGAGATGTCAGTCAAGGTCCCTGCCGTCGCCTCTCCGGGCTGGGTTCCTCTTTGCGTTATATACGTAACGTGCCGCCCGGGCTACCGAGTGTATAACATTGTGTTATTCTCCATTTTAGGATGTGTAGTATTCTAGAGAATCCCATAGTTTATGCATTAAACAGGAAATTATCTGTTATGCACAAAGGCTTTATAGTCTACGCACGCGTTTCTTGTGCGCAATTTATGATAAAATTGGACGTAATTCTCCCGATTATTGAACACTTTCAGGAAAAAAACATACTCCCTAAAAGTCTGAACTGTACAAGGCAACAGTTACTATTTCGAAAGTAACACACGTCCTTTCAGCTGCTTGAGATATTATGTGAGATTGTGTACCCCAAACGTGGGTACAGAATCTAAAGACCCGCGAGAAAAGCAAAGCAACAGTTCATTACAGTATTTAATCCTAACGTGAAGTACACTTTCTTAAATTAGCTGTTTACGATTCAGACAAGGCAACCTGAAATCTACACATCGTCTATATATTAATAATTGTCTCAAATGTAGTCCAATCAAAATGTGTAGTTGCGGAGAAAGACTGATGAAGTATGCAACAAGAATTGGGTGACTTTTTTGTGCACCTTAACAGCTTGTGATGACATATTGCACTCACGTCGCCTTAAAGCAGAAATAACTATCATGTTAACAAAGAATCAAGTATCGACCTTTTAAATGAACTAATTGTTTGGTCCCCAGTTTGCATGATATACTTCCTTTTTTCGTGCGAATATATATCCTTCTTTGAAATGTTTCCTATATTTTAGTGCTTTGTAGTAAATGTTGTTTTCTTTAAAGGTCATTTCTATTAAATTCGGAATTAAAGTGACTTATTGCTCTATTGCTGACGTTTTCGGTTACAGTACTGGAATATCGACCAATTGTTAATTACACTTTTTAGTTTCCTTATTTGTTTCTTTCACGGCTGTTAGTCAGTGATTCTTTTCAAAAGCTGTGAAGTGTTTTTATAGCTGACTTGCCGTGCAGTATTGATGTCACTGATTTAGTGCAGTGCTACTGCATTTCTATTATTATTCAGTTACTCGATCTTTGCAACCACAATGATCGGTTTTGCTTTTTCCTTGCTATTTTAATCTGTAGGTATATTGTGACTTCATTAATGTTTGCTTTTCAGAGATCCTGAAGGAGCTGGATGAATATTACGAAAAGCACAAGAAGGAAACGGATGCAGTGCAGCGCAGGCGGATCCTCCATTACATTCAGCGAGCTCTGATCCGAAGTCAGGAGCTGGGCGACGAGAAAATTCAAATCGTCAATCAGATGGTAGAGCTGGTGGAAAACAGGACCCGGCAGGTAGACAGTCACGTCGAGCTTTTCGAAAACTGCACAGAAAACAACGACAACAGCAAATCTTCCTTGGATAAGTCTAGGAACGACGGGACAACACAGGCAGAGAAACCAAGCACCAAGAGGTCTAGAAGACAGAGAAACAATGAGAATCGAGAAAATGCATCCAGCAATCACGATCACGACGACAGCACAGTAGGTACACCAAAGGAGAAGAAAGCTAAAACCTCAAAGAAAAAGAAACGGTCTAAAGCTAAGGCAGAACGAGAAGCTTCTCCTGCAGATCTACCTATTGATCCCAATGAGCCCACTTACTGCCTGTGCAACCAAGTCTCTTATGGAGAAATGATAGGCTGTGACAACGACGAGTGTCCTATCGAATGGTTTCACTTCTCTTGTGTGGGTCTCAACCACAAACCCAAGGGCAAATGGTACTGTCCTAAATGCAGAGGAGAAAACGAGAAAACCATGGACAAAGCTCTGGAGAAATCTAAAAAGGAGAGGGCTTACACCAGGTAGTTCCAACAGTGTCCTTTCTTTATCTGTACAGCCACACAAATTAATGTATATTTATTAAAAGTTCACCTGAAGATGCAAGGACGGTTAAATTGTATTTTAAGCAGTGAGCAAGCCATTCCTTCGGAAGACCAGACTTTTTTTTGCAAGTAAACAAACGATGACAAAAAGCCTTCGTTTTTAGTAGCTGCCCAGTGCATGAAGACTTTTTTCTATTTTCTTGAAAAATACAGAAGTTGTAAATTATAAAAAAAACTCACTGTTCAGATTTGATTTTTTTTACAACACTCTAGCTCTATCAGAGAAAGAAAGGAGGGAACGGTTTTATTAATATTTATCAGCAATAGTGACATTTTTAGTTTGTAAGACGTTGTACAAATGTACAGGTGGAGCTTCATGTATAGTGTATGATCATCACCATAGGGTTTAACCATATTGTAAGAAATCATTTTATTGTTTGTTACTTGTTTAACAGAAAAAATACTGTACAGCTGTGATATAAAAGGAAACAAATTAAACATCTGGACAGTTCATTTTGTTCCGTGTATTTAGCAGTTTGCCGAATACAATATTCGACAAATCTAATCTTTTTTCAGACTCAAGAGGAGCTCACGGGGGGTTGCTGCTGATGCATAGTTATTCTGGGGGGTAACGGCTCTCAAATAAAATGCTTTCTCTCATTCGGAATAGCTGTGCACTGATTTGGGAGGGTGCCGGGTTGGAGGGAAGTTGTGTGGACCTTCCCCGTGGAGGTGCTGAGAGTTTCCCAGCCACCAGCACCCGTTGAGAGCCGCAGACTGACAGCAGCTCCCGCTTTCCTGCTTAAGATGGCCGCCTGCTCCTGCTCCTCCTGCTGCTGCTGCTGCTGCTGCTGCTCCTGCGGTTCAGCGGTTCAGTGCCGGCAGCTCGGAGTTGCCGTTTTCATCTCCGGGTTTCCATTGTCACAGCCATTTTTTTCGGGGCCAGAAAAGAGTGGTCTCCCCTCCGGAGACGGCGCTGCCGCTGCTTCAGGGACAACGGCCCGGATCCGGTGCTGTTTGGACGCCCTCTGGAGTCGGCTCAATCCGAGCCGTCCTGCCGGTAAGCAGGGAGCTGAGCCAGCGGGAAGCCCTCGCCCCCGCCCCCTGCAGCTGAGGGGAACAGGGAGCAGTGATTTTCCAGTGCTGGTGAACCCGGTCCGCGCTGTCCGGCAGCGCCTTGATTCTCAGTATTAACAGAAAACCGCAGAAGATGCACATGGTTTGTGTTGCAGATACAAAATAGGAAGCGCCGAACCCCGGGACAGCCGCGGGAGGGGAGGGGAGGGGCGGCCCGGGACAGCCGCGGGAGGGGAGGGACGGCCCGGGACAGCCGCGGGAGGGGAGGGGAGGGGAGGCCCGGGACAGCCGCGGGAGGGGAGGGACGCCCGGGACAGCCGCGGGAGGGGAGGGGAGGGAGGCCCGGGACAGCCGCGGGAGGGGAGGGACGGCCCGGACAGCCGCGGGAGGGGAGGGACGGCCCGGGACAGCCGCGGGAGGGGCGGGGCAGCCGCGGGAGGGGAGGGACGGCCCGGGACAGCCGCGGGAGGGGAGGGGAGGGGCGGCCCGGGACAGCCGCGGGAGGGGCGGGGCAGCCGCGGGAGGGGAGGGGCGGGGCAGCCGCGGGAGGGGCGGGGCAGCCGCGGGAGGGGAGGGGCGGGACAGCCGCGGGAGGGGCGGGGAGGGGCGGGACAGCCGCGGAGGGGAGGGGCGGGGCAGCCGCGGGAGGGGAGGGGCGGGACAGCCGCGGGAGGGGAGGCGGGACAGCCGCGGGAGGGCGGGGAGGGCGGGACAGCCGCGGAGACAGTGGGGGAACGTTCTCCAGTGGAACTGTCAGCGCGCGGCCCGAACGCCGAGTCAATGCTCAGAGAACGCCCGAGTGTGCCGCAAGGTTCCAAAATGGAGGGAGGGAGACGGCCCCCGCGCGAGGCCCCCGCGCTCCTCACCTCAGGTCACCCCATTGCCCACAGCGGCAGCGGCAGCGCGTTGTTGTTTATTTGATGCGAGTTTCCGCAGCCCACAACCCCCCCCTCCCCACACTCTCCCCCCCCACCCCCCCCCCCCACACTCCCCCCCCCCACACTCCCCCCCCCACCCACACTCCCCCCCTCCCCCACACTCCCCCCCTCCCCACACTCCCCTCCCCCCCCACCCACACTCCCCCCCCCCACCCACACTCCCCCCCCTCCCACACTCCCCCCCCCCCACACTCCCCCCCTCCCACACCCCCCCCCCCACTCCCCCCCCCCCCACACTCCCCCCCCCCCCCCCCTCCCCACACTCCCCCCCCCCACTCCCCCCCCCCCCCCCACACTCCCCCCCCCCACCCCCCCCCACACCCCCCCCCCCCACACTCCCCCCCCCCACACTCCCCCCCCCCCACACTCCCCCCCTCCCCACACTCCCCCCCCCCCCCACACTCCCCCCCCCCCACACTCCCCCCCCCCCACACTCCCCCCCTCCCCACACTCCCCCCCCCTCCCCACACTCCCCCCCCCCCCCCCCCCCCCCCCCACACTCCCCCCCCCCCCACACTCCCCCCCCCTCCCCACACTCCCCCCCCCCCCCACTCCCCCCCCCCCCCACACTCCCCCCCCCCCCCACTCCCCCCCCCCACACTCCCCCCCCCCCCCCCCACACTCCCCCCCCCCCCCCCCCCCCCCCCGGCCGTATCTTCTAACCGGAGCCCAGGGGGTGATCCCAAGGCAGAGCCACACACCGCCGGGCTCCGAAGTTACACTTCCAGGGATTTCCTTCTCACTCGCGCTCTGCGGCGTTTTGTTTCGTGCGGAGCACGTGTGCGGTTCAAGACGGGAACGATTTGCAGGAGTTCGTGTGTCGTTACAATGGGACTAATGTGCGTGTGACAACAGGAGACACAATCTGTTACAAGAGGAGTTGCGAGGCTTCACCGTGTTGTACACTATATTCAAATTTCAGGATGCAAATTGCAGCAAAGGGATTTGTCTTCGGACTCCGGATTTAAATACAGAGCGGACTGAAGGGATGATCACCTTTCTCCCAACTGCGAACAAGTACGAGCTATCTTGCATTTCGAGTCGGTTCAGTCACGGGACACAGACTACTGCGAAGTGCCCCAGGATTATTGATCGCAGAGTTCCCTCTTGAAGTTTGCAGAGTAACAAACATGTTTGTAACAAAGCGGAATGCTCAACATTTGAGACAAGGTGGCCAGGGTGGGGAAGTGTAGGGTTCCTCGAAATGGTATTCTTCACCTTGAATAGAAAGATCCATCCTTCCCCTCTCCAAAAATCCACCTGAAATGATAATTGGTGAGGGTTTGCAGACTTGCTTGAATTCCCATCCCGGGTGTGTATGCGATTGGGGTAACTTCTATTTTATAATCTGCAACAATACTGTCTTCTGATTCTCAGAATCCACAAATTACATTTCAGGTTAAGGACACGTTGATGTAGGTGTGTCCTAAAATATTTTCAAATTGTGAAGCTACAGTATACAGGTCCCATATTTCTGTCTTTCTCCTTAATCATTCCAATCATTATTAGCACATGCAGAAACTGAAGCTACCTCGCACGCTATTGGTAAGGAATATTTTTTTTCTTTAATTATATAGAAATTTGATTTACTTTAAAATAAAAGTATAATTCCCTTCTTCAACCTAAGAATGTTTGTGTTAACATATTAAACCCAAACTCAACGTATTTTGGGATGATTAAGTATTCACAAACACACTAATCCCACTCTTTGCGGTCAACATAGTAACAGGTGACAGAGGGAGCTCATTCCACGTCGGTGTATGATAAAAGTACATGGGAAGCAGAAGTAGACTTGAAGTGGGTGAATGATGTTATGAGATACTGGTGTTTATAAGAACGAGTGGAAATAATATTGATGATTCTAAATTCCTCAGTGTAATAATAAGGTACAGTAAACTCCTGATAACTCGACCCTGGCTTAATTTATCATCACCAATTAAGTCATCCTGCTGTCAATATCCAAGTCACATTTATTTATGTATTTATACATATGCCTAATTCACCACTCCAGACAACTCGTCACTGAACACTTTTCCTCGAAGTGACGACTTATCAGGAGCTTATTGTATATTTTCCCCTTTCTTCCTCTCCTGAGGGTGAGGACTTCTGTGGGTGCCAGTTGGCTTCTCACCCATGACCATTCTTTATGTGTGAGCTTTGACTGAGTGTCAACTGGCTATTTTCACTGACTGTCATTGTATCCCAAGGGAGCTAAGATCAATTATAATTAGGGCTTCTGCTTTCCGTGGTTTATTAATTTGATTTTTATTGGGGTTTATTGTTAGCAATTTTTTAAAGCAATTTTAGAGTGTTTATAAACCGAGTTTTGGGGGGTCTTTCATTGCTGTACTGATATGACAAAATATATAGTCAATTCACTTAACAGGCTGTTCTGTGAGTATATTCTGCTTTGAAACATCTCAACAATGTGATAAGGTGCTATATAATTGCAAATATTATTAAATTAATTATGTCTGGACACACAGAGGAGAGGGGAAGGCGGAGAGGGATACATGTACAGTTCGCTTACCAGGATGCCACCTAGATCGAGCAAGAGAGAAAACCTCACCTCAGAGATACGTCAGATTTTATTTTTTTTGTATCAAAGGTATTTTATTGGGGTTTATCGGTTAAAACCCAAAATCAGAAGCCTAATTATAATGTCCAAGCTAGCTCAGCATGGATCAGTGATTTCCTACTCTGTATGAATTACAGTGGTGCAATACCAGGTGATGCTGTTACCCAATAGGCCAGGCAAATCTTTATTTTTGTGTGTATTTTGATAAGACCAGGATACCAGGAAAAGTGAACATAATAGAATTCTATATTAAGCGTGAGTAGAAAAAAGGAAGATCATAAACCAAGGCCAACTTTGAAGGATGGTGAGAAAAATGACTGCAATAAAGTGTGAGAAATTGTTAATGAGTAATTTGATAAACAGAGGGATTTATTTTAAAAATGTGGATTAAAAAATGACTATATATATCCTAAAGTGCAAGAGTAATTCTTCTAGGGTGAAGAAACCATGGCAGAGAAGAATGGTTAATATTAATATATAACAGGAAAAGACTTGTGTAAAGGCAAAGGAACATAATTAAATTTAGGAATGACCGAATTGCAGAAAGCAACAAAATAAAGCCAAGAAAATAACGAGGACAAAGAGAGTACTAAACGATCTTGCAGATAGTATGGAGGGAAATTGTGAGAGTATTTTTATAAGTATA